ACTTCTGTGCATCTTTTTGGTCATTGTCTCACAGACCCCTCTGTTATATGTCAAAATAATTTTTAATATTTTTTTTTTTCTGTTTTCTTCTGATGTTAATAACACCCAACATTTAGATCAGAATCACGTTTATTGCCAAGTAAGATTTTACACATACGAGGAATCTGTCTTGGAGCATTGGTGTATAACATATACAAATCACACATAAAGCTTTGTCTCTTCTCCTGGGAAAGAGCTCCGGGTATCACAGCCCAAAACTGAGTTAACAAACAAAACAAGAAAAAACAATGTGCACCAACACACCGAGGCGACCGTTCGTGGCGCCATCTTAGGTCACAGCTGATGAAGTTACATTTCACTTTGATACAAACTGGGCTGTACCATTGATGAAGGTGGATCACAGAAATAAGTGTTATTACAACAAATAAGGGAAAATTTCATGTTTTATATATTACATGGGCTATGCATGAAATATAATTTCCATTGGTAAAAAATACACAATGTGTTATCCTAAACCTACAACAGAATACAAATAGATTTATTTGGAATTTGGGGGCGTACTGCTGTGTTAACAGTATTGTCGACACCCATCATATATATAATATAATATAATATTAATATAATAGCACAGACAAGTTCAACCAGGATGTACAGCTGGGGTCTCTGAGACGCCACATAGAAGCAATTCTCACAAAGTTGGGAAAAGTCATGAAATAAAGTTAATTATGTGTTGACGTGTTGAAGAGGACAGAACAGAACATCACGACTGATCTAGGCTACCTGAAAGCCGCTCAGCCCAGCTACTGACCTTCTGCTATTGTTTTTACTGTGAGAGTGTGTATATACTGTAGGTACAGCCATTATAAATCACGCCAGATGACAACATTCCTTACTTATTTACCGGCATAAGTACAGGTACTTGTGAAGGAAATAAGTTTAGCATGTACAGGAAACTGAGATTACCAGCTCTAGGGCACTGTTAATGAAAGCAAAGCTACAGTGTGGTAGATCCTTGCATTTGATTTATCTTATCATCAGTCCATCTACCCAGTGTGGGAATAATATCAACAACAGGTCAACTGGAAACATGGACAGCAATGATATTGTTAAATTATACTGCACATATTGTGGATGCCCAAGCCCAATTTTTCTGCCACATTTACTACAATATATGCCAACTTTTAGAGCAGGCTGCCAGCTGAAGATAATAACTGTATTTCATATCACAGGTCAAACCTTTCCATAATCAACTCATAAACACTTGTATAAATTCAAATTCACAATGCACCCTCCCTCAGCAGTATACAGACATACCATGAGTACAGAGTGAGAGCATATGCAAACATACACCTAACACTAACACAACTGGTAAAAAGCAAATAGACCAATGAAAACTCTGCAAATTAAAGATGGGAGTAAATCTCTTGTTTTATTAATCCAATTATTTTAATTATTAGTTTCTGTAAACGTTTGTTGTGTTGCATTTAGAATACAAACATGCAGTTATTTTGGCACACTAACTCTAACGCTTAAACCAATTCAAATAGGAGGTGTTTTTATAGACCGCATAAGATTTAAATTTTTTTTTTTTTATTATTCAGTTACAAATTGCACACACTCTTCAGCTTTGTTCGTCTATCCCTCCTGTCATCTACTTTACAAAGAAGTAGAGGGTTTCAAGGATTTTTAGTGGGTGTTACCACTGTTGTAGCTCTACACTCGCTCACTACAGGCATTCTATACATTTTTCTCTCCAGAGGATGGCCTGTTCCCTATGAACGCCCCCTCTCCCCACACACACACACACACACACACACACACAATTCAGCCCCCCACCCCTGCACCCCTCCCGACTCCTACCCCTGCTCCTCTACCACTCCTGCTGACCTCAGCCTGACACACATTTCAATCAGCTTCATGGTGAATATTACGACCGTCTCGAAAGTTTAAAATCCTTCCACCTCCATCTCACTGGGCTCATTTTTGATACACACAGACACATGCGTGGCTCACATGTGGCAATATTGGTCAGGGGTCAGGGGCATCCATGGGAGCGCCCCCTGCAGCCTATAAGGGGTTCAGCACAAACACTTAGAGGACAGAAAGGAGGAATTGAACCTTAGAACTTCCCGTTACAGGCCTGTCCCCTTCCCCCCACCTCAAATAAAGGGTTTGTTCCCTCTGAATAGCTGCCCCTCCCTCCCACACACACACACACACACACACACACACACACACCTCCATGACTTCCATGTCAGAAAAACTGCACCAGGGGAAGTTTATGGCGTTTAAGCAGTGATATAATATGAATGATAACAAACACACAGGACTGCACTGGATTTATGCAAACACACACACACACACACAGAGCAACTACACACCTGCCAACTTCGCCATGTTCAGAATTTGAGAGGCTACAGTCAGACTGAGGGCAGAAGATTGAACAGATATGGAAGAGGAGCAGCCTGTTACGGGTTTACAGGACGCCATGTTACTGTTTATTATTGAGCTCATTTGAAATAAAGGCACACGTCGTCAAAAACAAAAATCGGTCGTTCGTTCCAATGAACGCTCATTAATAAATACGCCATTACTGTAGTTTTGCAGCTGGGGCATTTTAAACATTTACACAATAATTTTGCACATTTGAGACAACTCCAACATCACACAGGCGCATGTAGAGAGTGTAGCCCCGCAGATGTTTGACATCAATATTTAAGCACAATAACTTGAGACAAAATTTGGATAATTGGGCTCGCGCTGGCTGGGTATATGAACGGCCATTTTAAGATGAGGCTTTAAAAAAAATTGGTTTCCGTCATATGAATGCACTCTTACCAGGATTCCTTTTTTTTTTTTTTTTTTTTAAATACTGAAACACCCCCACACACACACACACACACACGCCAACAAATGAACTTTGCTACTACAGGGCGAGCCGGGCGCTGAAGAGACCCGGAACTACACACAGTGGGGGGAAGAAAAAAAAAACAGCAGCCTGTACAGTTATCCTGCTTCCCTCAGAGCTTCGCCATTTTGCCCTCACTGCCTGACGTGGAGTGACTCCTCTCTGCGTGGACGCACCACGTGTTGTGGAGCCACGGAAGGCCCCAGCTCAGCCCAGCTCAGCCCACGGTGGCCCCCTTTCTCCTCACAAATCATCTTTATCATTATGGCTCTTCCAAGGTTATCACGGTGAAGGTGTGGGACACTCTCCGCACAAACGCAGCGCCATCACAATAACGTACCGACCCGCTGGGAGATTAGAAGAAATTACAGCCTGCTGCCATGTTGGTTCTCTAAGCATGGCGAGTGAACCGTTTCTGCAGTTTCACAATAACTGAGATATTTAAACGCCATTCACCTGCACAAATAGCACACTGCTGGGTTGCTTTTTTTGCGCCACAGCCATACTGCAACATTTCTTCACCGTTTCCTCTGCTGGCGCAAGGCGGGCGCCCCAAAACACCTCCAATTCTAATATTTGGCCACACTGACACAAAATCACAGACTGCAATACATGTTAAATGCATTTACAGCCAACAATGAGCCAATAGGACGATGTCTCCGGTCACTGGTCTCTTTGATCATGGGAAACACACATACGCACACACGTGTGGCCAAATGGCGGAACATGGACGAACTGTGCTCACTGCTCAGATCGTATCTGTGCCAAAGGTTACAGGCATGAATGATGATCTATAGGCGGATTCCATAAAACTGTTAAAAGCAGGTCAAGTCTGGCCCCCAGCACAGAGCAGCTGATCCACAATGGACCCCAGTTTATCCTTTGGACCAAGGACATTCGAAGTCAAACTAAAGTGGAAGCTACAGGTTCATTTATATCTATTAAAATGGTTAATCACGATAAAACAAAGATTTTTTTTTTGACCGTCCAGAACACTTAGACCACTGTCCCATTTTAATTTCACAGCTGACTGCAAAAACAAAACAGCTCAAAATATTATTTTTTTTAAAAACTTACAATAATTATCCATAAAAACTGAAAATACACAGCTGAGTTTTTACCAGAAACGAACGACATTAACCAGAGCATTTATGCTCAATTTATTCAGCATTTTCAAACAATTAGGACTCCGTTAAATCACATCAACTTTAACATTTACATTTCAGCTGGAGATATTTTACAAACACCCCAAAAATAAGGAAAATAATTATCAGACTGCATTTAATGTGCATCCTTAAGAACGAATTGTATCATTTCTAATGATTTACAGCCAGAGACGAACGTGATCCGAATTTGTACACACACACACACACACAGAAAACTAATTAAATGTACATGCATGGAAATAATGTATACGCAATTATTGGGCTTTAAATCCCAAACTAGTTGTTTCAAAAGTTTCAAAAACGTAATGATGAACTTATACACACACACACACACACACAACACACACACACTTCCTAAACGTAGGCTACTATATTCCCCAGTGCATTTCAAAATCCTGTTAAATAAATTTTTAAAAAGTGGTGTAGGATGAAAGGCTCGGCTATAGGACGTGCTTATAGCCTAATGTGATGACTTTGCAAAGAATATCGCCTCTACGTGTTTACAGTCTTCACTCAACCCACAGCAGCATTTTCACATTGAGAGAAAAAACCCCAAACTGCATTAAATGACATTACATTGCACAGCACGGCAGGCAGCTTTAGCTAGCTGTCACCAGTTCAGTTTCACAGCAATGGCCGACAAAGTTGAGGCTCCACACAGTCACACCAAAAAAAAGCACAAACCAAAACTAGCTAGGCCCCACTACTGCGCCGAACACAACCTGCAAATGGCTTTTAACACAAGGAAGACACATGGACACGCTTCAGAGCACCACTTATTGTAAATGAAGCAGTGAAATCGTTGTGTTCAGTTAGAACTCCATGAAAGAAAGGCCTGGACAAGGTGATGCAACACATGAAAGGGGTTTTAGAGAGGAGGGGGGGAGGGGTGATATATAGTGCTGAATACTGTTCAGTAGGCCTACCTTTGCTTCTTGGGGACGGAGTGCTCGACCTCAATACGTTTCCCATGGAGTTCCACTTTACCTGGGAACAAATAAGAATAATAAAAACCGGGGATTCACAACACACTGTAGCTACATGCTAACTGTTTACTAGCAGGCCTATGAGGGAAATGTGGTGTATTCAGGGTACATAGCTAAACTGGTGGACTCTTTGTGGCTAACTTTTGTAAACCTGCAGATTGCCAAAGAAGCAAAAGGGAAGCAAAGCAAGCTGGGAAGAAGGCTTGAGACAGATAGCTTCCGAGGGCCCAAAACATGGCGAAAAGTCACGGAACAAGTGGATTGTGTAGGCACGTCACTTCTGCCCCCATAATGAGCTACTTAAACCCTGAGAGATGCAGCATGACAACCATACGAATATTATTTTTTTCTCTCTGGGACTGCTGGTGTGTCTTAAAAGCCTAAATGGTACACATGCTGTATGGGGAGGGCTGTGTTTGGGAGTTTTGTGAGGTCTCATGTAGAAGAAGCAGAGGGAGCTGACAGGCATGGCGACCTTGCCTCCTCACGTTAGCCTACATATGTAGGAAATCATGAGAAATGGGCTACAAAGCACTGACGCCACGGCGTGAACCAAGCCTTGACAATAGTAGTAATGCTGCTCGTCGATAATTTTGGATTGGTGGTGGCGTGAGGCCTGTTTTGGTGAGTACACAGGGTAAGATGTGTTTTTTTTTTTCTTCTTCTATCTTTGTCATAGTGGACTGCCGGCTTAAAGGGGGAGGGGAGCCAGCAGGGATTCATACTATATCACAGGAAAGTATTCAGTCCTATGCTAGGCGTGCAACACATCGAAACGCCACTCTCACATACACATATTAGCGTAAAAGGCACAAGCCGCACTCATCCCTGGGTTACAAATGATTGTGTGGATAACTTGTTCAATGGCTATATTGTGAAGTGTAGTTCTTTACGTTCGGCTCAGGCTGTACGGTATAGCTTTACGTTTATACTACGTGTGTCCCTCCCCCCTGCAAAAGTTGAATGGCTCCCCGGGCGTATAGTTCTCCACACGCCATTAAGCTAGCGTCAATAAAATAATTGTGTGAATGTGTTTTTATCCGGCATGTTCGTGTAGTAGCCTCCGAGGTGGACGGGGAGTGAAACTGGGGTACACCGCCGAAGGTGGGCATGCACGCCGCTGCTCTACACCGGCGCTTCCCTTTAGAATGAATGAAACTAAAGGTGGAAGGGGGTCTTTGGCGGTCAGTAGTCCACCTTAACTCACCAGAAAACGTCTCGATAGCCTTCATGGCCCATTGATCGTCCGGACAATCCACAAACGCATAGCCGGTTTTCATTAGAAACTGTCCGGAGTATGGGATCTTGTGTTCGTCAAAGGTTTTTCCTAAGTCCTCGGCAGTCACGCTGTCGCCTAGATTCCCAATGTATAGCTTGTGCATGGTGGAAATTGTTTTTCCAAGTCCAAAAACGGGGAAAAAAACAAAGCCCGGAATAACTCAAATTGAAGCCAGAAAAAAAGTTTCTCTCCTGAATTTCTTAATAGCGCAACAAGATATTGTCACACTTGCCACACTAACTGAAAGTGGAAATCACGCTAGATGGCAAGAATAATCTAAAACCAAAAAATAAAAAAAATAAAGCGAAACAAATGTTAATTCACGACAGCAAACTAAAATAAAAAAAGAGATTTTAAAAGTGTAAAAACTGATGCTAACGTAGAATTTAGCTGTAAATCCAGTTGAATAAGTGGAGCAGGAGAAGAAATAAAATCCCTTGACTTGCAGCCGGCCCCAGCAGACGAATAAAGCAGCAGCCTATAGCCTCTCTATCGCACTGTGGAGGAGGTGGGTTGTACTGGGTGGATTTGGTGATGGGTCTGTGGTGGAAGAGTGGGAAAAACTATGGCGGGATCAGATCGGGAAAAAATGTTTTCCTCTCTCTCCGCCTCTCTCTCTCTCTCTAGTTTTCTACCCTTCCCTGTCTCGGCGATCCGCCTGCTGCCGGCAGAGGGGTGACGCCGCCCCTCCGCCGACTCCAATTCACGTTTTTTTCTTTTTTTGTTTGCAAAGAGGAAACCACGTGGTCTATTTGGAGTAGGTTAGAGAGAGGAGGAAGGGAAGGGGAGGGGGCATCCCCCTCTCATCCTAGGGTATACACCAGATGAGCGCGTGTGTACGTGCGCGCGCGTACATGGGTACACAAGCAGAGACCCCTAATTCCGTACTGTGCTCGCGCCAATCTGTACTGTATTTGTGCACGGTGCCGTTTGTGTGCCGTGCCGTGCCTTTTATGCAACGCGACGTGGCCACACATGCGCTTAATGCGCTTCTGCTCGTGCGGGCAAAGATTAGGCTATATAGAGAGACTTCCTCCACAACACCGTAATGTAAGCTAAAAGCTAAGACAGAACAATGTGTGGAGGGTCCAACTGTTTTTATTGCTTCAACTCACTTCTGCCCACACCCGCGGTGTTTGAGTGGCTCAAGGCCTAGGTGGAAAAAACCGTTCAAATTTAAATAACAAGGCACCGCCTGCTAATTCTATAGCCTAGCACCCCCACCCCTCCGCTGTTCCCACCCTCTGGATGAATATGATGCGTGGTGAAGAAGTTAGTCGTCATGATGTTACATAAATGACCTATGGTGAACCTCAGGCTGTTTGGAGCGGGGGGAACAAAAGGTCCAGGGCCCCATTTAGCCTCAGGGGCCGCGGGGGTACTGCTACTGGAACCTGCGGAAACTCACTTTGATACATTGTCGCCTACACCCACCGCCCCATTAACTGAAACAATGTATCAGATATGGCGGCGATACAATGTAACAACAGCAGAGTGCAGGCTGTTGTAGCTATAGGCGGGCTCTCCGTAGCCCCGTAACTGCCCCACCTCTCGTGTTTTTTTACACGTTTTCTGTAAATGTTGTGGTTTTACTTGTTCAGAAAGGTCATGGCTTCCAACAGGCGGTACCCAGAGTTGTGATACAACTTCAACAGCGTTCTCCACACCCAAGCAGGCGTGTTAGCTTCTGTGTCACCCATTTCTTTATCATATTTCTCCGAGTAGAGTTTAGAGGAAATGACAGTATGGCGCAGTCGCCTGGATACAGCGCCATACACACGCCGCGCGCCCCTCTGCGTGGATGGAGGTTTCTCAAAATGGAGGCAGTGGCTGATCCACAGGCCTCCCACACACACACACACACACACACAGAGTGTGGCTGTGGTTCACACTGGCGCTCTGTGCCTCACGTTTTCCTGTTTTGGTATAAATTTGGACATGTGTGGAATTTGGCGTGTAAAAGGTTCTTTGCTGTGTGTGAGACACTTTGTAGCCCCACTGTACACGCCCGGAGGCAACGTGGCACTCTAGTGCGCTCGCTTGGTTAGAAAATGGCTCCTGTGCACAAAATGGATCCAAACCCTGTAACTGGTGGTACGGTTGTCGTTGCCTCAGCATGGGCGACGTTAACAAACGAGAGAATTTCGTTCAAAAGCATAGATGTGTTTTTATATGCAAACGGGAAGAAATCCGCCCGTGTGTCCATATTTGGTTGGCAGTGCTTTTAGATGAAATACAGTCAACAAAACTCATGCTCTCAATTTATTTGGCGAGTATTGTGTTTTGTGCAAGTAAGTACCCCTTAGTTTAAGCACTGTATTTTTTCATAAGGATTTAATGACAATTCAATATGTGTATTGGGCCATATATTAGTCCTGAAACTGTATTTATGTAGCCTATCTGAGAGTAGCCTAAATCAAAACATTGAGTAAACATTTTACCTTACCATATTTTCTTGTTAAATAAATCTAATTATCATATCCAACATCAAACCCATAAACATGACACCACTTAGTCACAGCAATATATTTATTAAACAGTCAGAGGTGAAGCATGAAGAAGAAGAAGAAGGAGAGAAGGAGGAAGTTCTGAGGCTGTTGCACCCCCACCCCATGCTCTTCTACCCCAGCTCTGAGAACATACAAGTTAGCTTTTTTTCTCTCTCCCTTGTCCTGAGATGGCTTGAACCCCTCTTCCCACCCACCCCCCTTTCTCTCTTTCTTTCTCTCAACAAACACACACACACACACACACACACACACACACACACACTGGTCACATGGGAACTAGTGAGGTCACAGGCTAGTGTTTCCAAGGGTCAGATAACCACATATGATGCAACATATATTTGAAGATTGTTGGTGCAAAAGGAGTGTGAGTGACCTTTCTAAATTTAATCAGGAATTAAGATTGCAAACAAAGAGGAATTTAGCTTTACATATTTTTACAGTGTGAGAAAACTATACATTTCTACTTGAACATAAGTTTGACATTGTAATGACATTGGTTTAAGTTTATTTTCATCTTTTTTTCTTTCCTACAAAATATCCTTTGTTTTTTCAAGCGGTTTATACATGTCCCCAATGATTGTAAGTATGCTCACAAGTATGTAAGTATGATCATTAAACTGATTAAAAATGCAGCAAAAATTCCAAGAACATTCATTCACCAGTTGCCTGAAATAAATACTCGTCATTGCCTTGCACCAGATCTCTAAGAAGTGTTGTTGAATTCAGGGACTGAGGAACAAATTCAGATCCTCTTTATCCCATTAAGACCATTGAGATTTGAGGAAGACTGTCAGTGTAAGTTAGAGGTGAAGCTTGTGGGGCTGTTGCTCTTTCATGCTGGTATCAGGAGAACAGGTTTCCTATAGGGGCAAATGGAGAATGACGAGGTCAGTTTTTAAAAGTGCGGAGGTTGTGAGGAGGTAGTACGTTTCTGACCACAGGTGGACTGACGTACATGGCCACATTCTGTAATCTCAAATGAATGACTTCCTCGTGAAAGTTTTCATAGTTTCTCTCCTCCCTCACAACTTCTCATCTCAGACGTGAAAGTTGTCATGCTGAGATATAAACAAACTCTATTACAAGTAGAAGTCCTGCACTGAAAATGACCCAAAAATATGTGATATTATTAGCTAAATGTACTAAAAATATCAACAGTAACAGTAGTGGTAATGCAGAACGATGGTCCCTGTAAGTGTTGTACTCTTCTGTTACATTAATGGATTATTACTGATGAATGTTTGTCTAAGTAGCATTTTAATATTGTAGCTGGTTGAAGTGAAGATCTTTCTTTTTTTCCTTCTTTTTTTTTAGGTGGCAGATACAGATTATTGGCAATTGATTAATCTGCCAACTAGTCCCTTTATTCTGTAACACATCAGGAAGCAGTGAAACATGGCCATTACTATTTCCCAAGGTGAGCCCAAGGTGATGTCTCAAAATGTCTTGCTTTGCCCAACTTTAAAACCCAAATATATTCAACTCATCGTTGCAATATAACGTAAGACAATGAAAATGGCTAACGCTCACATTTAAGAAGCTTGAACCGTTGAATGTTTGGCATTTTTGCTTGAAAAATAACTGCCGATTAATGTTTAGTCCAACTGATCAAATAATTGACTGCTCATTGCAAATCCACACCTCTGAACTCTTTTATATACTGAACAGTGCATCATATTTGTCTTTATCTTAATCAGTAAATTAACAAATAAGTTATAGCTGTACCTTAAAATCACTCTTGGAGGAAGACAAATCAGGAAATGACTTTTCTGTACTCACGCACTTCCTAAGCACGGTAATCAATGGCATCATAAGACCCTGTCAACTGCCTTTGTGTGTGTGTGTGTGTGTGTGTTTTGGGGGAGGGGTGGATAGGTCAAAGGCTGTTGAGAAACAGGGTGAATTGGGCGGGAATGCAGGAGGAGGAGACAAACTGCCTCTGGAAATGCAAATGGGTTAATGTTCATCTTTTGTCCTCCTCCTTAGATCACTGTGTTGCATGTAATATTATAGTAGCTACTTAGCAATGGCTCTGTATCTTTAGAGTGTTGTGTGATGAGGTAATACTGCTTCTGTATGACTACATGGCCTAAACTCGCTGCAAACCAACAGAACTGCTTCAACACACAAACTGCACTCAAAAAGTAGTTTACACACACCATACTATTACTTTTATTTTCTTAGATTTTAACGCAGAGATCATACACAGGTTTTTTTGTGAAAGAGACAGTAAACAGTGAAATAGGAAACACTTACCTGCCAAACAAGCCGGTGAAACACACCTAGAAATATTTTGGCTATATATCCCATCCTGACTGCATCCTCCATAACGTAATTATATCACATGTTCATTTGTCACACAGCCGTCAGGGAAATGTAGCGTGAGCTTAAACGCTTTTGAGTGGTGGTATTCTATAATTTTCTTATTGTCATCAAATCCCATGAAAAGACCAAAACATACACAGAATGTAAACTATATACAATCTATTTGTTTGATTAAAAACTACAGCGAGCACCTGTTTTTTTGTTTTGTTTTGTGAGGTTTTTAAAATGTACGTGATTAAAGCTCTCAACACTTGTAACCTCTGAATAACCCTGGCTGTGGTTGTCAGCTTGAAGTTAAGAGCCACAACAAGAGGAAGTTAGAAAGTAGTGAGACAGCGTGGGATTTAATTATTGCATTTACATAAGTGCTGTACTTGTTTACTCGAGTATTTAAATTTTATCCTACTTTATACTTCTACTCCACTACATCTCAGAGACAAATGTTGTGCTTTTTACTCCACTACATTGGTCTGACAGCTCTCCTGCTTCTTAAACTGAATAAACAATTTAAAACCCTCTTGGATTAGCTGGGAAATGCACTGTCACCAAGCTGAAAACAGGGCTGTGTTTCTGAGCTCATGAAAAAAGGATTTTTAGAGATCCGTGGTTCTCACAGAACAGTGACATTACAAACATATGAGGATCTTAAAGAATATGACTCTTTGCTGTAGATTCAACTAGCCAACAGTATGTATAGTAGTTAAATGAGCTCAACCACAAACAGCTACAGCAGTGCAATGCACAATCCACAGCTACCCAGTTGGTAATACTGCAGTTATATAAATATTGCAATATTTACATCAGTTCATTTTTTCCAGTCACCATTGTGTTACCTCATTCAGCAATAGACAGTGACTTAAGAGACATTTATTCAAAGGAAAATCTTCAAGATTGGTGTTTGAAGTAAATTCTTCTGATGATACTCTGCCTATATACTTACTATATACTATATAATATATACTGAATTTAGGTTTTGAATGCAGGACCTAAACAGAGTATTTACACAGTGTGGTATTAGTGCTTTTACTTATGTGAATGATCTGAGCACACCACTGGAGACAGACCTACATTGTTAGTTTTGGTCTTTTCATAAGTTTGAGGACGTAAAAAGAGTAACACCAGCCATTCCCCAGTCCCTGCAGGATTTCACAGGTTCGGGGGGATTGTTGCAGCCTAAAATGCCCGATTTGGCGGCAAATTGCGATACATGTTGCAATGTTTTGAGGCCAGGGCCTACAGAATTCACAGGGATTGGTTAATTTTGGGTAAGTTGTTGCGATTGTAACTTCCTGGAGGGACTGATATCCTTTCATTTTAAAAGGTCTAGTGTGAAACATTTAGGAGGATCTATTGGTAGGAATGGAATATAATATTCATATTCAGCTGTTTTATCTACAGGTGCTGCACATCGCCTTCTGTGGAGACTGCCATGTTGAATCGCCATGTTTCTACAGTAGCCCAGTGCTACATAAGGGCGTTGGTGTTTTTTGTGCGTATCACGGCCACCATATTGTCTCCTTCACACTTGGAAGAGGAGGGTAAAGAGAGGGAGTTGCGATCTGCAGCTATACCTTTAGACCCCACTAAATCCTACACACTGGTCCTTTAAGGTCTCTGACATAATCACAGCAGCCTGTTGGAGAAACAGTTTTACTTGATGGTGTCTAGTGTAAGGAGAAGGAATAGTAGAAGCAAGAATTTGTCATTTTTTTCAATAGAAACCCTGTTTATGGTGGTGAGGCTTTTTTACGTAAGAGGATCTTATGACCAGCTGATTCTCAATGAAGGATTTCCAGGTCCAAGTGTCGACTGAGGCCAGACTGAAAAGTCACTGCCTGCCAGGAGCTCTTTAAGGGGGAAATGTAAGGCATGATTAAAGATTTTTTTTTTCATTTTAATTCACAATGAAAAGAACCAAAATGCGCCTTGACTGTCATTTATAAACTGCACAATGGCTGTTTTGAGAGGCTCAAAGGGCCTTTACATCTGCGGAGTACCTTCATGCTTTAACTACATGACAAATCTCAATTCAGTGGCATTCCTCCTCAACACAGCGTTCCTCTTCCAGAGCCTGCAGGTAGACAACATCTCGTGTAACTTCAATGGCTTCCTGCAAGAAACAAACAAGACGGAGAGGAAGAGTCCTCATTAGACGGCCTGTGCTGTAATGACGAGGCTGCAGAGGCAGGAGAAAGTCACTTTGTTCAAAACTAAATAATGAGATCCAGGCATTGTTTTTTCTGTAAGTGAAAAAGAACATTTGACAATAGATTTCCATTTTCTATACATGATACAGACAACCAAATGTACTTTATAGTACCCAGGCTGCACAGATCTGCTTATATGCTGCCATCTTTGTTATTTAATATGAAGAGCTTACTTAAAAATGTGTGTAAACCCTATATTTATGGTCCACGGCTGTATTATTTGATGGTGTAATGTGAATCAAGCTGATTATTTACAGGTAATACTTTCATTTTTACATACAGACATTATTTGCTTCCCATAGCAACCATTTCTTCCTCTTAATAAACTCCCTATTTTTTCTCCTCAGATCACCTCCTCACTGTGTCAGATGTTAAAACTCATCCTGTCTGCGGCTCAAATGTGTCCATTGCACGGATTCAAATGCCTGCCATGCATATTTGCTGCAACAAGGACAGAAACAGGATGTCTGCTGCTGGACTAATGAGATCCATCATCAGCGAGCAGACACACATTGTTAGTGCCTGCATGTCATTCCTGTCCATTTTACCTTTTCTCCCTATTATTTATTCCCCCTGGCCTTCCTCCATAGTGTGACGTCAGTTTGACATGCATTGCTGTGTGACATGCTGGTCCACTAACAGTCTGAAGAAGAGTCCGAGCTGAAAATGTAATTGTAGGAATGCCAGAGTGCAACAGTATTTACTGCATCAATGATTTGTTAGTGCGTGCAATAAGTGCCTGGGTGCAAGTGCTTATTAGAAAAGCAGAAAAACAGTCACAGCAGTTGACGTCCTCAAAGTGAAAGCTGGCCAGATGTGAACAGAAATCAGTGGAGAGTGACAGTGTGTGAGCTTCATGCAGATGTGCTCTCGCCACCTGCCAACACCGCGCAAAAACTACTTCTGATAAGTTCTCTTCTTCTTTAGAGCTACAAATAGATGGTTTAAATCAGCCTAGTTCATTACAATGGCTTTAAAGAACAGATTAAGATTCTCTCTTCAGCAATGCTGAGCAAGATTTAATAAGTCAGCTCTTAAATATTCATCTTAACCTCAAGATGTAGCTGTTCTGGAGCTTTCAGTTATATCACACCATCTTCATAAGCAGGTGGAAGACAACAAGAAGTCCATAAAGTGCTCAGAAAAAAATGGCAAAAAAACTACATTTGAGTGACAATGGTCATCTGGTGAAGGAGACCATGTGATATGATTGAAAGATCCATAACGCTTGCTAAAATAGTTCATGAGGTAAGTTTGTGTCTCTGTTTCTGAGGTCAAAAATTAACTTAATTTCTACTTACATAGGTTTTTCTGCTATTTGTTCAACCATATGGCCATGATAAAGTAAGTAAGTGGACCTTTGAGTTGCGATTATTTTTTTTTTCTTTGGTCAAAACTGTGCGTTTCCAGTGTTCTCCTTTATGTGTTGGCCATTTATAAAAACTACAAAGCCCTTTGAGTCTGTATAAATAAAACGGACTTAAAATGTACTACTCAATTATTATTGAACGTCAATCAATTCATTATTAATTATTAACCTCAGCAATGATTTGAAACATTAAAGTGCATTGAATTAGAGATGTTTAAAAAAACTTTATGGAAACATTTAAATAAGCCCCAAGCTTTATGCTCAAAGTTGAATAATTAAAATAATACAAAGACAAATAAATTAATCCATTAAACGTATTTATATGTTGATTAAACAAGCTCTGCACAAGAACTCACTGCCTCGTCCTCATATGGTTTTACTGGCAGTCAAATTAGAAAGTCAACCATTCAATTTGTGAGATTCATTCAATTAACATATATGCAACCAAAACACAGTTGAACAACCGGGGTGATAAGAAACAGACAGAGCAGTCCCTGGAGAACACACAGAAAACAGGATCAATTTGTTACACATCCAAAAGGTAGCAGAGAGTGAAACTATGAAAGAAAGGGGAATGTGTGTGCCACAGGAGCAGCATCAACGCCCACAGTCAGACTTTTTTCATACTTTGTTACTTTTTGGAAATGTCATAAGCTAATCAGCTGTATTCAAAGCTGTTTTTCCATGAATGTTATGGGCCCCCGTCGAGAGCCTGGATTCCTGAGCACAAACCTGCCTATTTTGAAATAAAGAATATGAATTTGTTCCTGTTTAAATGACAGCATGAGAGAAAACACAGCCTCATTCACTGGCTTCGGCCCAAAGGACTTTTTGAATAATAAATATTCATTTCTGACATTGTTTTTCCACAAAAAAGTTCAAGTGTCGGATTAAAAATGATTAAAATCTGCTCTTTTTCTGTAACAGAAATATCCATAATCTATGAAAATGCAAATATTGTTAATTTCAGAGGTTTAACTGCTGGATACAAAATGTCTCCTCCTCCAATGAAAAGTCAATTTTCTCAGGTTTGTACACTGGAGGTTTAAGGTTTTTCCACATTTGTGTTAGTAGTGTACAGATCCAGGATCAGCTTCAAACTAGTTGTGATGTCATAAAGTCCTGCCGGTACGTCCATGTAGAGATTTAAGACGAGCAGAGAGAAACTTCTTCAGCTGAATGTGAAAAACAAACTGCACATACAATATTCTGCACAGTGACGATTAAACATCAGAGAGAAGAAACGATATGCAAAACACATTTTCGACTGTAATATTATATATGATATATATTTGAATGTAAAAAGGTTTATCATAAGGAGAAGGGGACTGACCACATCCCTCAGAACCTGGACAGTCCTGGCTGAATGTTTATTCAGGTGTCACTGCAATTTTTCCAAAAAGAATAAGCATGATTTATTTATATTTGTTCTGTTTTTTGTCACACTACAGTTTCAAGGTCGAGAATGAACTTTCGTGCTTAAAAAAAACAGCTAATTATTATCCATGTTTATAAAATGAGGCCTTCACTTTTCATAGATGTTGAAGTTTGCATTGTACTGACTGGAGTTAGACTGAATTCAATGAACGTGAACTGACGCTGGTTCCGTTGGAATTCTCTTTTGTCCAAATAGTCAAACCGATTTTGTAACTCCCAAAGATTTTGCTCCACAGGCCCAGGTTCGATCATCACTGCAGCCTCAGAAACCAAACCAGACTGCTCTAAATCCACACCTCTGGCTCTGTTGCTACACATGCAGGATTTGAGGCCTAAATGGTTCTAATTCACAACAATTGGGTTTAAATTTAGAACTTAAGTTTACAAAAATACAAAAATAGCTGTAGAGAAATATAAATAAAAGTTGTGTCGAAAATCTCTTGTAACAAATTGGTCAATGCGGACTTAAACAAAAAAAGGTTTTCAAATTCTGCTTGAAGAATTCAGGCTGAACTTTGAGGCTCAAGTAGTTAATCAGCTGCTCGGTGGGCCACGTTTCAAACCATTTTAATTCAGTCGAGGAGTTTGAATGTTAACAACACCTCACTTTCAATCAGAGTACAAAGTCAAATACCTGATTGCACGTAGCTTCACTTCCTGTGCTGACGGAAACAGGATGTGCTCACAGCGACGGAGAGTGAAGCAGCCTCACTTGACACACAAAGTCATTCAGGAGAGCCTGTAGAAAAATCCTGTTTTCAGTTTGATGGATGTATCATCTCATTTATCATCTTCATTTATATGCTTATGAAATGTGTTAATAAAAGGCCACAGACCAGCAGGGAGGAGAGAAATGTGTAGAAATGTATTTCCTGAAACCAGCGTCAAGGAAACTACTCTGATCTGTTACTTAAGTAAAAGATATCAGCCTACAAATACACTCCTGCATTGAAAATATTAGTTCGGTACAAGTCATTTCAGAATAATGCGTGTTATGCTACCTCTCATATTAATGGATCATTATTACTATTCATAAGTTAATAGCATTTTACTTCTTCATATTTTATAAGATCATCATATATTTTCTGTGTAAAATCTCAACTGTCTGCTGTATTAGTCAAATAAATGTAGTGGAGTAATAATTCTAATATTTTCTAATGAACTGTAGTAGAACAGAAGTAGTATTGGTGGCACTTTATTTGGATAGTCCACCCACAGATTTACAGACTGTAATATTTGCTTTGCCTGTAGATGTTTAACAGACTTTCTATAGACTATATGGGACAATTGATGACAAACCCCAACCAATCCTTAACCACTGCGGTAATATCAGTAATGGTTTTATTTGTCAAACAGTGGAATTGTTGAATCTCAACTAATAATCTCAAATAAACAATCTGTAGGCTATCCAAATGAAGTGGAACCAAAGTATTAAGTGGCATAAAATAGAAATACTTCATCAAAGAAGCATCATCATATCTTAAAGTTTAAGTGTCGTAGGTACTGGAGTAAATGTACTTAGTTACAGGGGCGGATCTACAGGGTTGGGCCCAGAAAAATGCCTGGCCACCCCAGCTTGGTGTCAAACTGAATCCATTAATTTAGATTAATTCTAAAAATAATGTGTTAAAAAACTGTAATTAATTTAATGATTCGTTACGGACACAATTTAGATTCAAGTTCAATGAAAAAATATGTGTATTTAGAAAAATATCTAAAGATTTGGAAATGAAACAGTTTATTGCCTTCTAATGCCACCTTTAAAGATTCCTATTCAGTGCTTTGTACCACAATAATGTGTTTGAGTTCATATATCTTCATTTGGGGGCTTTTCCAAGCAAATATTGATATATGTGACTGTTCCCGATTAAATCAGCGTATAAACTTTTCCACCGACCCTTAAAGTCTCTCTTATCACCCAGTGAATATTTCAGATCCGCCCCTGCTTAGTTACTGAAATGTATCAGTCAGAGCTGTGGAAATACATGTAATCAATGCAGTCAGTTGGTTTTCTGTAATTAATAAAAAGAGTTTCCATCAGTTGAAAAACCTGTGTGAGGTAAAACAACTTCCCTCACATTCAGAATACTTCAGACTGATGCATCTGTTGCTGCAAATGATATGGAATATTTCACTTTCAGAGCATTGCTGGCTCAGAGGAGCTTCGGTTGAAAGTTTCTAGAGAATTGGTTTCACGTTGAAGGCCTTTTTAAGTCAAACAGAGAGTCAGAGCTGGTGGCAGCACTGTGATTCAGAAAAAGAGGCACAGTTTTATAAAGAAAATAAAGAAAAGCTCTATCAATCAAACCAAAAAGTTCACATTTTGTAGCCACAATTTGGCCCATGTGGATAACACCCAGAATACCTGAAAAGCCAAATTAATTCAGCAGCAAACCTGACTTTTTATGGTTTTATGACAGTGAAATAGATCCAGCACAACAGCAACATCACCAGGTACAAATGTTCTTCACTATAAATATGTGACCGCAGCTACATGTGCATTAGAATTATTACAGAGGATGCTTTAGAGCAAAACACACTCAAGAGCTTTATGAAATGATCAGAACGAGAAGAAGACACACACCGACATTTAAACAGTGAACAGAGACAAAGTCAACGAATCGCTTCGATTCAGGAAAAATGTCAAATGCATTGTGGGAAACAACAAGTGCTGCTAACAAACTCCCTAATGTGTTCTTGTTCTATTTCAGGCTCCATTTCTAATGTTGGTTCACACAGTGTGAATCCAGTTAGCGCAGGGATACAGTCTGCACCAAACTGCGTCCATTACAGCCGCACGAATTAAACACACACACACACACACACACACACACACACACACAGCAGTTTAACCATCTGGGAATCGGACTCACCGACCACGGGCTCGATCAAAATAATAGTCCAATATCCCTCATGTGGCGGACGGCGAGAAGACCGGAGCTGCTCTCACAAAGCACACAAAATGGAGAGAGGGGAGGAGGGGGGGAGAGAGGGGAGGAGGGAGGGGGTTTCGTCTGAGGGGGAGCCGCTGGTTTGGAGTAACAAAAAAAATAAACCTCACAATGTCCACTTCAGTGCTTTAACTGTCCTTCAGGTTGCACTGGAAGGCGGACTGCTACTACCAGGGGTTGGGGATCGTTCCACTGACCGAAACCAAACGGTTTTATTCGGCTGTGAACACCAAGAGCTTCCCTTGAATTTGTTTTAAAACGTTCAGCTTGTAAAGGATGGGCGAGAGGCAATATTTAGCACTCAGTTTCTATTAAAAAAAGAAAGAGAAGCAAAGGAAAATTAGCAGTGTCCTGGAGGAGTCAGTGCGGATGAAGGACTGTGCTCCTGTAAGCTGAGAGGAAACAGTAAACTTCCTGTCTGTACCTGTATCTGACACATTCACTGGCTAAAACTTTCCATCATTCTTATTTCTATTAGTTCGTTTCTCGTTTCAGTCTCACTACAAACTGCCGTCAACTTCAGTTCATGAAGCCTAACATGACATGAGCCGTTGGTTCTGTCTGCGGTTTAAGTAAAATATCTAACAGCGAATAAAACCGAACGCTGCTTCTCTCCCAGTCCGCGCCACTACCGCCACCAAGCGGCCGGTACGGGCCACTACACCCGGGCCTGCGGTCCGGTAGCGGAGGGAGAGGCCGGGGCCTTCAGCCGGGAGCCGGGCCTGCTGAGGCGCAACGATAAAAAAAAAATTCAGTCGTGACAAAATATAAACTCTTAGTTTGAAGAAAATATATTGAAAAACATTTGATTTATACGTTAACTTATTAAATCGTATTATTTATATGAGACGAAGTTCATTTTGAAACGACCCTCCTCGGCCTTCATGTCACTGCTCGTTAATATCTTCATCATGTTATCAAAATAAATATTACCGAAACACTCATTTCCGCCCAAAAATAATTGATTTCTACACAAATGTGTCGATTTAACTGGAGTCCGCTGTTAGGAAGCAAAGTGTGTTCTTTTAATGACAGATAATAACGTTTCCGGTGGCTAACGTCCACTGACCCAGCTGTTACTAATTAACGTACTCATTATGGACATTATCAGCCGCCAGAGAGCATTTAGAGCTCGCGAACCGGGTCGGGTGTAAGCGAACAACCCGCCGGTTTAAAGCCACCGGAGCTGCATCGGTAGAGGCCCTGAAACGCCAAAAACCGAGCCTGGCCATCGAAAGGATGAATGATTTTTTCTCAATAACCATTATCGATACCGAACAGACGCTCCGTCCGCCGACAAGCGGATATTAATTCACTCTGATCCGCAGCCGAGGCTCGCGCGGCGGATCACTTCAAAGCCTTTAATCGGCCCGATAAAGGCGCGCGTGTCGGCTCGTTCATTTCTTTAAGAGTTGAATTATAGTGCGCGCTCCCGCCACGTGCACGCAGTGTGATGATTCTATTGACAGTGTGGCGTTAAACGGACGACACCCGCTGACAGAGAGGGGACGAAACCACGTGACATGCCGTTTAATGATAATTGAAGGTTGTAATAGACTAACCATAAAAATGGCAATAATAATCAATAACACTTTGATTGAAACCAGTCCAGACTCTAATCCGAACTGCCTGCTTAAACTTTCAAACTTTTTAAAAATAAATAAATTAAATAAATTAAAACTTAAAACCCGTGTTTGTCCTCATCAGGTCTCATCAGGAAGTGTGGATCAGCTGAAATCACATCCTGTATCAGTCACTGGTGGAAGAGTTCCACTGTCCTGTTTTATAACTGAATGTACAACACAGTAGATCTAGTCTTAGTCTAAGATTTTTAGATTAGCTTAAAAAAGAAAAAAAAAAAAGGATCATTGCGAATATCCAGATGTGGGCTGTGGATCACAGTCATTGTAATCGATCTCAAATTGTACGTCTCTGTTTAAAGCCTCAGGAGCCGGTCGGGTCCCACACATCAGGATATAACTGATCAATGCGGAGAAGATCCAGAGACATGGAAGGACACTTGTGTGTATAGGAACTTCATCATCAGTCTGTGCAAAGTCATACAGTCTCAAATCTGTGATCAACAACTCTTCATGAGACTGAACACTGGATTATGGAGCTCCATCCTCAATTTATGGAAAACTGGTGGAGACAGAAGTTAAAACATCTCAGATCTCAGCTATAGTTTGTCAGAGGGCTCGCAGGAGACCCAGAAATCACCTGGATAAACTGGAAAGTCTGATGAGAGCTTTTTGTCCACCAGTTAGCTGAGAATTTGTGGTCACTCCTGTTCCCCATCATGAAACCTGACTGAGCCTCAGCAGGTTTGTGAAGAAGCACGAGGGGAAACGATGTTCACCTACTCTACACTAACATGTTGGGTGAACACTTGTGTCAACAAGCATTTTAAATTTCCCTTTCCAGGGATCTGTTATTTATAATCAAACACATACAACACTGTATTATGGCTGTCACAATATCAGACTGTCACTGCATGACTATCACGGCCAGGAGAATTAACGATAATATTATTCAAAATAAAAATATGAATGCTGTCAGTGACACTGGCAATCACCACCATGTGTGAACCACTAAAAACTGAAAGACTGGATTTAAGAGGGCGCTGATTATTTACATATCATCATGTGGGTTATTAATACAATGTGAATATTTCATTTTTAAATCACCAATATCTATATATTGAGACCCCCCTCCACCATATATACAGTGCTCACACACTCACCTTTACCTGAGGAAGACGCTGTCACAGCCTTATATCATCAAAGAATAACTGGGAACCAAATGGGCCTGTGTGTGTGTGAGTGTGTGTGTACATTATTGTTACCCAGCAGCTGCAAGGATTGCTGGAGGTGTGTGTCTCCTGATGATTGGCTGTCCTCAGAAAGGTCAAGTGTTATTTGATTAAAAGGTTAATATACTCGTTTGGCTGCATCAACAGCCACTCCATAAAGAATCATCAGTGGTGTGAAGTCCAAATGATTCTATTAAAATCTGTTCTTTGACTCAGTGTCTATATAGAGCCTGTTTGAAGTTTGATTAATGGACACGTCGCCCTCTGGTGGCTATTTTCAAGTTCTTCATAAAATTATAGACTAGAAATGTAGACTTTTAAAGGCCATTAAGAATGCAACTTCAGACCTATTTTACATCCTTTCTGGCAAAAAGAGTAAGAAGGATATGAAGAGAAATTTGTTTTGGTTCCATGTTGGTTTCGTTTTGTCATTACAGCATCAATACAGACTCTTCTCAAAAACATTGAGACTTAAAAATTAAACTTGATACACTAATAACACACTCAATAATCCAATCACTTTTTAACCTGTAAAAATCCTATTTATGACATTTTAAGGGCCTAAAATTCAGATTATTGGATTTTGGACTTGAGCCTTGGTTTCCAATATGACAGGTTTTAGAAATTCTCCATGTTGGTGAGCTCATGCTTGACCTCGGAAACAGCAACTGACAGGTTAAGCTCATAAAAATATTAACATGCATCTATTTCGTTTTCGTCGACAGGTACCAGCGATCATCTGGTCTTCTACAGTAAGAAAAGCAGCACTGATGGTGATAATAATAAAACATTTTATTTGTATAGCACTTTTCTAAATACTCAAAGACACTTTACAAGGAGAGAGAAAGCAACGATGAAAACATGTCATGAATAAAAATAGAAACAACTTTAAAAAGAGATAATACAATGTCAGTAGAATCGTGGGTATTTCAATGAACACCATGTTAGCGAGATAACGTAACAGAACTACATACTGGATCCTTGATTAAACTGTTATCCATCAAATTGACCGTTTGCAAAATTCACTTCATCTTTTCTATGTTTACTTGGAAGTTATCCGGTTAACGGCAGCTGGCTGCTTATTGAAACACCCTGCAGGTAGGTGTCATCTAAATCCATCCTGGGAGCAGTGAGACGTAGGCATTTTCTACAGGAAAAGCAACACTGGAGGGTGTGTCGGAGTTGAGGCGGAGGAGGAGGAGGAGGTGGTGGGTGGTGGGGTCCAGAGCTGCAGACATACTGTATTTTGGCCACTGTAGTTTCCAGATGCAGCCGTGTTATGGGCTCAAACCCGGCCCAGTCCTGCTGCTAAGTCACTGGTGATGGTGTGTGTGATTGAGTCGTGATGAGGGGTTGATGTAAGGCAATGTTACATCTTTACAGCCGACACAGCTCTAGACGGGGGGGGGTTGACAGTAATAATTATACAGCACTTGTCTTAAAGTGCTTTGAAGTGAGAGGAACAAACATGTTAACAGTCAGTTCGAAGAAAAAGGAAGAAAAAAAAATAGAGGGGATGGAGACTTGTACTTGCTATCTTCTAGATTTGATTCCCGGCCAACAGATTATTAAAACTACAATAACAATAAGCCACCAGTCAGATGCAAGTTTAGAAAAAGAGTGAGCTTTCAGTTGTGTGTTATAAGAAGGTAACCGCGCCAAACTGTCCTCGTTGGTGTTTGTGGCTGGGTGGGTGGGTGGGTGGGGGGGACTTTGAGGTCCTTTCCAACAGAAGGGCTTTCAGTCTTCACAACACCAAGAAGTCAAACTGGCGTCAAAAATGTTTTTTTTGCAGAACAGCAGTGAGCGGAGTGGTTTCCGCCGTGGTCCTCGCTGCCGATGCTCCGGGATGAGAGGTTGTGGGGCGCTGTAACGGAAACGGCTTTCTGAAATAGTCATGACACCTCCTAACGCACAATATACACAAGCTTCATTCTGGAGTTAAAGAGGAACGTTTGGAGAAAAAAAGAAAAAAGAAAAAAGAAAGAAAAGTTGTTTCCCCTTCTCCTTTCCAGAAGCCTCTTTTGACAAAAAAAAAAAGTTGGGTTTTATGTTCAAAAACATATTTGAAGGGAAAATTTTGTCACATTTACTTTGACAACTTGGCGCCCTGGAATCCCTCGACTTTAAGGGTCTGGAACTCACTTTTGATAAAAATAGCCTCTTCGTTTCATTTAACATATGGAAAAAGGGGGGCGGGGTGGGGAGAGACACTATTCATAATGGGAAGGATAGATATTTTCATAACTAGCGTGGGAGAGGAGGATGGGGAGATAAAATTCTTAGCGAGAGGACAGACATTTTAACTTATATCCAGTACATGGCATAGATCATACATGAGGGTCAAGGCAACACATTTTTTTTAAACCTAACTACTCAGTAATCAATCTCAACTAGTTCTCAATGTGCCCTTCCCCGTTCCCAAACACAACGTTCCAAAGGAGGGGGTGATGTGGTGGAGGGGCATCCCAACTCCTTCCTCCTTGATGCTGGGTCCGAAAGAGGCGGAGGAGGAGGAGGGTGTGGGGTGGGTGGGGGGGGGGTGGTGGCGGTGGAGGACGCGACCGTGAGGGAGGGCGGCTGGTTCCCGGGAGGTCTCATTGATTGTAGAGGGAGCGCTGCTCCCAGGGCATGGCCTGGATGGTGCGTGGCACGGGGGAAGGCTTGAGCGTGGGCGCTCCGTTCGGATGGAGGGAGTGGCCGATGGGGTTGATGGTGGTGAGGGGCCGCTGGGGGGCCAGAGAGAAAGTGTCCTGATGCTTCGGCTGCAGGGGGAGAGGACAAAAAAAACACAAGGGTAAAATATCAGTGTCAGCGGAGTGACTTGTCAGTTTAATGCAGGTACAGTAAAATGGAGGAAAAGACGAGTTACAGACACACACAGACAGACAGACAGACAGACAGACAGACAGACAGACACGGCGTAGAGTTAGAGACAGAACATGGAGAGCAGGGCTGCACTCAGATCTTTTCGTTCTGTTGTGATGACGTTCTCATCTCTCTGTGCAATTCAAATGATCATCAAGACACGTTACTGCCACAGAATCACACTGATACTGATGTTCTTCTCACTGAGTAGGACTGTCATGTCCTGTTTAGAGAATAGTTTAATACATTCAGACCTGGACAGGCTGCAGCATTCACACATCTTAGCAATGAATTTGGTCAGTCCGATGTTATAACTGATGATGGCCACAATGACCAACATTTTGTTTTTAAAATTCCTTTCAATTAGACAAAGAAGTCAATTATCAATGAATCGACTAATTGTTGCAGCTCTAGTTGGCTGAGAGATGACAGGAAATCAAAGGAAGGGCACCTTATATTAAGGTTCTTCATTTTCTTTAAGACATTACTGTAAAGCAGAATGTCTCAATATGGCAACTTGGATGGAAGTAGTCCACAGATGGAGGGCATTGTGTTCGTAAATAACTACTGGCAGTAAGTAATGAAATATGATTCACGTGCAGCACCAACTCCAACATCAACATGGACACACACAGAGTGAGTGATTGATTAGTGTCAAAGTGTGAAAGGTGGGACTGAGTTAGCAGCACAGCCCCAAGTTAGTAGTGTCCTACCGCCAGAGAGCATCCACAGTTGAGAGTTAAAGAAAGGAGCCCATCAGCTGGATGTTAGTCTGCTGCTTTGCTTTGCTGGGCGCTGGGAGCATTGTCTATAAAAGCTAATTAGTAGTACTACTAATCATTCCTATTCAATCTACTGGGTGCCACCATCAGGAGGCTGATAATGCTACCAATACTAATCAGGCCTGTATTGTTTTCAGTCCCAGTGTCTGAGCCAGGACTGGGGGGGTCAAAGGGACCCATTAACCCCTCTCTAGATACTTTTCTGGATCAAGAAAGAACACCCTGTTGTTTGACCCGGGTTTAACTTGCCAGTGACAAATGTTTATTCAGCATTCCTCTCAATATTTTACCTAGAACTAAAGCTCACATTTACTGAGACAATATGTACATAATGAGATACTCAAAATCTACAGTAGCCCACAAGGGACAAACCAAACACTGGCTCTAGACAGAAGCATTTCCCAGCCACCATAGTTCCTCCTTTGCACTTAAATCCTCCACACTGGACCTTTAAGGCTGGTTTAACACTGCAGAGCAGTCTAAAATATCTGGATGAAACCAGCACCATTATTATTATTATTATTTTTTTTTTTTTTTGTCTTTGGTTGAGTGTGATGACTTTCTACCTTCATATTTTCACAAACTGACGAGGACATTGATTAAAATACTGACGTGATGTGTCTCATTAAGGGAATCCAAATATTGTCTCCTGAATACTAGCAATTACTTGTTTGACGGTAGGTGACTGCTCATCTAGTGAGACACACTCAGTCAGCTCACGCAAGTTTATTTATGTGACGGGACATTTCCATTGTCCCCTCGCAATGATGTTGTAGAAGTTTCTATCGGTACCCAAAGAATATATGAAATGAAAACAGCAGACTAAAACCCAAAAGATTTAAGAAGAGAGCTAAGACCGTGTCCACCGGGCGTCTCTACAGACAGCGGCACTCCAGTTACGCTGCACCTCTCTTTGTCTTAACTATGAAAACAGTTAGATGTGCAATCCACTGTCAGGAGGTTGAAAGACCTGAACTGTGAGCAGAGGCTCCCGGTGCACACGTAAAGCATTGAAATATTAGTCCCTCTCTCCTGGTGTTAGTAGCCAGACAGGGAGAAGGGCAGCTAGGCAGCTAGCCAGCAGACAGCGGACGGCGGGGGCGTGTGGCGGTTCGCTCTCCTACCATGGGGTTGGCGCTCAGTCTAGTGTATCCCGAGCTCATCTCCTTTACCTCAGGCACCAGGGGCTGGAGCAGGGAGTAGGAGGAGGACGGGGTGGCGCTGGAGGAGGAGACGTGTTTGTTGGAGGACGAGCTCCTCATGCTCTGCTGGCTGCTCTGGGAGGACACCGAGCTGGGACGGCCCTGCTGGAACAGACAGAGGCTCAACACACACACACTCCCCAGAACAACAACACTACTATTAATATAGAATGATTCCCCTCCCGATCCCTACCTGGTGGGGGTCAGGCACAGACTGGCTGCTCACACCGCCCTGCCCTCCCTGGGACATGGGGGAGACGCAGTGGGAGGGCAGAGGTTCCTGCTGGCCGTGTCCTCCGTGCTGCGGTTGCATCATGGAGTTGGCGCTGTTCTGCTGTTGCTGTTGCTGCTGACGGCGGGCAGCGTTGGAGTAATTGGAACGACGACTGCCGGACTGGATGGGAGGAGGGAGGAGAGCAGGAGGAGGGCAGAGAAAGACAGGAGGAAGACAGGGTTCTGTAAGTCATTTCTGTCTGTGCACATACTGCGTGTGCCACATGCGTGCCAGTCATGCACAGAGTTTGTGATCGGATACAGAGCGGAGGAGAGGCGATGGATGAATGTGATGGACTGTTTTCCACACTCAGATCTCTTCAAGCTTCTTGTGCCGCTCAGCGTAAATATCTGAAGTTGATGCATTTTAATTCTGTCTTACAAAACATAGTAACCCTTCCCTATCCTATCTCTCTTTACACCTATTAATATGAGGAGATGGAGTGGTCACGTTGTACACACATACACACATAAACACTCACACAGCCTAGCAACTATAACTACACAGACTGTCAACAGGAATCTACATCTGTCTTCCAAGTGTCTTAGAAGATGCTTGCCATGTCAACTTGTCCTCTAACCCTGACGGCTACAGAGTTTTTGCTGATCTAAAAGGTTAAACCCAACCTGAAGATTTTAAACTACTGTAGACCTCAAAGCTTTATTTTGCCTCATTGTTCCGCTAACATTAAGCGTGCTCAGACAATTCTGTGTTTTCTTTTACAACCCAGGTCTTATCTTCATACCTCCAACCATCATTCGTGTCTGGTATGTTTACATTTTACAGACCAGATTCCCTGCCATGGCAATCCATAAGGAAATGAATTGAGGCACATTTTTTGCTGTGGGCTCCAAAAACAGTTGAGCAAGAGGTCAGAACTTCAGTCAACTACCATATATACAGTCACATCTTACGTTAGCAAAACATGAATGTTAGGTATCTAATGACTGCTTTAAATTAGCTAGCTAGTTAGCTCATGTTTTGTTCTGTAGCAAAACGCTAGCTAACTAATGAATAATATAGAATTAGCCTAAGCTGTCTGAGGCTCTGACTGAAGCTTGCTCAATGGTTATTGGAGCACAGAGCAAAAAGGGGCGGGACTTAGAAGGGGTCAATTGTGATAGGTTGTTATCTGTTCACAGCCAGTGTGGACAGGAGAAACTTACTTACTGCAATGTTTATATGAGCGTATCAGTACTGTTTTAAGACTTGAAAACAGGTTCATGTTTTTTCACTTCCACAATAGGTAGTTTGGACTTGGATCTGTCGGTTTTAAAGCTGTGTCTACTGGTCAGTGTTGGAATAACCCACAAGGAGGCCCAGAAGCAAAAATGAGCTGCAGGCCCCTCTTGATACCCCACATCTATTCCATTCTATGTGCATGTATTAATCAGTAATTAAGTTTGTATTAGCTTAATTTGATATAAAAACACACCATGTAAGCATACCTCAAGATTACGCATGTAGTCATTGGAGGTCTGGGACCTGAGGTGGTTGCCCACCTAGCCCAGATGGTATTCCAGCTAATACTGGTGGTCAAAAACTTAAAAATAAGACCAAAGTTGCAGGGAAATAGATTTGATTTTGCTCTGATGAGCTTGGAATTATTTAAAAAGTTGTTTTCATTTTATCCTTGAGTTTTAGATGCAATGGTCGGACACCTGCTGTGACAGCCATTAATAGTTTCCCTTTGCTTTTATGTTGAAGTTAACACTGCCACCAGTGCAGTGACACTGAGACAGAGGACAGGACCAAGGGAAAAACTTCAGTCAAAAAGCAGCATAAAAGCAGTTTACAGCAGAGACGATCAGAAGAGTACCAGTCGGTTCCTGACCATCACATCTAAAGCTCCTGTACAAGTTGGCCCTTACTCACAGCTATGATTCAATCTGCTGACACTGACACTGCCTCAGATACACACACAGACACACACACACACACACACACACACACACATGCTCACTCACGCTCACACCAACCTGGTTTTTGGCCGCGGCGCTGCAGCGATGCTGGGCCAGGTCCAGCATGGTTCGGTAGCTCTTAAAGCAGGACGGGCAGTTGAACCGGTTCTTATGAACCAACCCCACACAGACACACACACACACACACACACACACACACACAGACACACACACACATAAATTTGAATTACTATACTTTTAAGGGAAATCCACTGAATTGTTTTCATTCCCTAATGTCTAAACCCTGACCCTTTCCCTAAACTTAGCCTAACCCTGCTCTAACCCTAACTGCACAGCATGCTTTCACTACAGGAGGGTTGGCAACACTTCTCCCAACAGACTGCAGCTGGAGAGAGGACAGAGGGTCAAGAAAAATGTGCTATACTGTTACATGCACACTTCATGAAGCAAATAACAAAATATGCCTTGCCACACATGCATATCTCCACACACACACACACACACACACACACACACACACACACACACACACACACACACACACACACACACACACACACACACACACACACACACACACACACACACACACACACACACACACACACACACAGCAGTGTTTCTCCTACATATGGCCGTCTGGCGCACAGAATTTTACCACGCCTGCCACACAAACATAATGTCTATTCCATTATGAAATGTTAAAAGGGATTAATGTAATTGTTCCTGTTGGCGCAAAAATGGACAAACAACGCTGCTGCCAGATATGTGTGAAGAGCAGTTTAAACTCTCACTGAGAGATGCCAAGTGGGAAAAGCTGCTGATCCCACAAGTGTTTTTCCCTCTTCTGAATTCCCATTTAAAATGCATCTTTTGATTTAACCTCAATGTTACTTCACATAGAGATTTTCTAGTCTTGTGTTTCTATCAAAAAAGTTTGTCATGGCCACCAGTTTGAAATTGAGTTATTTCAACTGTTTTCTGAGATGTTCTCTCTGTCAGTGTGGCACAGCAGAGGGCTCTAAATATTACAATACCCATAAGTCACAGCCTCCAGTGCTATAGAGAGGAAGCTAATTTAGAGGCGTGAATCAGTGTGGTAGCAAATTCAAAACACCTAGTTGTTGCTGTTGGGAACAAAACATGGTGCCATAGTTGCTGAATACAAAATGTAATAAAAACATTTTTTTATTCAGTTTCATCAAGTGCCATCTGAGTTAGGGCTGCACCATGTTGTAAACTCATCATATTGCCATTATTTTGACAGATATTGCAATAGGATTTGAGATTAGTATGGGAATGATCGTTCTCAAATTAAATTTTAAATCAAAATTGAGATGATGGGAAATTTTTTGACAAACATGTTTTCTTAAATCTGGAGAACAATATTTGTAGGCCGGGACATCTCTTCAGAGCGACAGTACTTCATTATCATGCTATTTTGTCTCACATTTTGTCTTTATCTTTTGAGGACATTATATATTTGGATATATACATGGCCATATTGCCATTTTGATAAATTTCCATAAATTGTGCAGCCCTAATCTGATTGGTTGCTTGTTGCCAAATGCACCTACGGATTCGTAGTTACTCATTTTTTGTACAGGTTTAACCAGGAAAGAGATCCAAGCTGCAACTGTGTTCCAACTGTAAATCATGGAACATTTTCTATGGAGACATGAATGGGATTTTTACTTCTGTTTCTATAAAGGCAGATTACCCTGCAGCCTGGATACACATCTTGTAGCTCACATTACAACAGTGCTCTCAGCCTGCGGGGGTCTCCTAACCTCTTTAAGCTCCTTCGATGTTTGGTGTACAGGTGAGGGGAGCTGTAATTAACAAAGGGAGGGAGCAGAGACTGTGTGCTGAGGGTTTTTGTTATGCATCACTACCTAATTGCAGTTATGTTAATTACCATCTTGATTACATGCAGTTAATGTATTGTAGAAATCCCCTTCACCCCCACAGATGAGCCTCACACTTGCAGGGAAACACTGCACACACACACACACTCTCAACAAAGAGCAGAACAGAGCATCGATCCAGCCGCGGCAAAGCCTCATCAGACTGTAGCCGAGTCAAGGTGTTAGCTCACAACACTCCCCCTCACACCATCACACACAGGCCCACATCATTAACTGCTCTATTACGGTGTTCATTTAGTGGCATTAATAGTGCAGTTCCTTTACAGATTCATAGTACCTAACAGTGAAGCTGTTGACATGAGACGCCAACGTTTAGGAAGTGATTTTGCTCTTTGTAGTTTGTAGCAATTGCTACACATATTTCTCAGCAGGGATTTTGACTGTTAACGTCTGCTGAGAATAAGAGCCAACACCAACAGACACCTCGGCAACATTAGAACCTAAAACGACTCTTTTTAAGATGAGGGGTTCTAAAAGCAACAAGGAGCCTATTTAGTTTTGTGGAAAATTTACCAAACCTGTAGATGGTGGGAATGTAACTTCATGTAAATATCACTACATTTAAATGTAACCAGGACATTTATTGAAATGAGTTTTTTGGGCTTTCCACATTACGACAAAGAAGCATATCACAGTGTATATTAATTATTAAGATCAATAAAATAAAAAAAATATGTCATAAACTATTGAAATTTGCCCGTCCTACGTTTTGATTCAATCATAAGTGTAATGACTGGCTGTGATTACATGTGGGCATATTTCATATCTCACCCGACAGTGTGTCTTTTTTTTAAACAAACATGGCAATATACTGATCTCGGTAGGAAAGAAACCCAGTTTCTGTCCCTTTCAGTTCTTTCTGGATTGGTCCTTGGTTTGCCAGACTCTACGCAGTCTGTGACGTTACAGGACTTCTTATTGTTTTTCAGTCTATGAATGGCTTCCTACATTGTGGACATGCTCACTGAATACACAGTGGACAGATCCCTGAGATCTAGTAAAGGTCTCCTTACTATACCAAGTATAAATTCTAAATCAGCTATGGTGCGTTTAGTCATTATGGTCTGACTCTCACTTGTTTTAGAATCAGTATTCCCTTTTTAATAATAACAACAACAATCTATCATATTCACTTTTCATAGTAATCCCTTCTTATGTTTTGTTATACATGTAATACCATCTTTCATGCGTTTTTTTGTTGCATTTTTTTTATTTTAAAGCACATTCAGTGTTAAATGTGCATATGACATGTGCTTTATAAATAAAGTTGACCTGACGGCACTGAGCCGAGCGGATAAAGCACACTGATATTAACCTGAACATTAAACTTTAAAATGCTGTCACTGTTGCTTTCTATACCACCACTCAAGTTCTCTGCCTCGTTCAGGGTAAAGCACGCCGCTCCCCCACCGCCTCTATTAAAGCAAACTTGGAGACATGGCGTGCTGCGCGGTGAGAAAGTACAGCCCTCTGGTAGAGTGCTGGAGGGTGATGTGACAGAGAGTAGACAATTACCAGATCTTGTTCACTGAATGATTGAAGGAAAGCTCTGATTAAAATATGATGGCTTAAGCAGAGCTTTTTTTTAGTGGATGCAACTTATCAACCATTCAGACCAACAATAGGAAGAGCCTTGAGGGCCTCGGCCCATCAAACTAGAGACGCATTCCTGATTTGTCAGCTCCCAGTTCACTCCTCTGTCCATGCAGGACAGGAAAAGGGGTGGCAGGTACCTTGCTGTCAGGTGAAGAGAATTGCCTGTGTGCACGTGACCCTTTACTGAATCAGGACCTCCAGTATTTAGACCAGGTAGCTTGTGAAAAATAAGGTTTTGGAGCTACAGCTGTTATTTCTATTATTGTTATATGTTTCTGATCCATATTTAATCATCATATGGGTAAATTAAAGTATCAGATTCATTATTAAATGCTGTACAGTCTTCCACCATGTAAAGACTGAACAGCTGAGAGGTTTGTTAGGGACGTTTTACAGCACCTATCATAACAAGGAATGGAACTGTAACTGCATTGCTCTGACGTGCAGAATATTTATTCTTGTCCGGTGATATTTTTTGTGTACGTGCATTAATGCCCAGTGGAAACAGTCGGGTCTCCAGTTTCCTCCAGTCTGAGTGATGTTTGTCAACAACTACAGCGAAGAGTTAGTTACATTTTTTAAAATAAAAATATACATTTGTGATTCCCCCCCCCATTGTCATTAGCGGTATGTCACCTTGTGCTGAACACATTATACACACACATTTAAATGTTAGAATTGTTAATTGATTTCACTGGTTTACAATTTCAGACTTTTTATAGACTATTTAGAAATAACAAATGAGTAAGGGGAGTCCTTATAGAGGAACAGCTGCTATAAACTATGATTCATAAAACATCATCGCTGTATCTGTCACATTCAGGAAGCATTTATGTAAACAAAACATCCTACATTTAAATGTCTCATTACATGTCTTCAAATACCAAAAATGCAAGTTCTCACCTGTTTCGCTGCAGAATGACTCTCACAGAACTGTTATATTAGTAATGCAGCACAACATCATCCACTCTTTCAAAGCACCGTCACACACACACATATACCTGGTTGGTTGCAGCAGCGGTGCAGCGGTGCTGGGCCAGCTCCAGCATGGTCCTGTAGCTCTTGCAGCAGGAGGGACAGTCGAAGCGGTTGGGCCCGTCGTCATGGATCCTCTGGTGGTTGCGGAGGTAACGGGCTAAGCGGAAGGCCTTCCCGCAGAGGTCACACATGTAGCGCTTCTGACCGTGGATTCGCATGTGGTTGCGCAGGGACATGTAGTTGGTGTAGGGCTTGCTACAGAAGTCGCACCTGAGTTTTGGAGACAGAAGGTGCGTGGAAGTTAGAGGCAAACAGGGACACCTTTGACCTGACGCTCTCCAATTACAGTGAGTGAGGTGGTAGAAGAACAACATTTTGGCATATTTACCTGACATTAACTGAAAAGGGTTAATACCTGGAATGCTGGAAAATCTGAATCATCTGTGTAGAAAGTGCAAGTGCCTACCTGAAGTCTCCAGTCTTGTGGGTGAGCTTGTGGTTGAGCAGGGAGCTGGCGTGCTTGTAGGCGCAGGTGCACAGGTCGCAGACGTACGGCCTCTCGTCCGACTCCATGTCGTCTGACGCCGTCGTCGCTGGCGCTGGTGCCGGCGCTCGGGACTCCAAGGACAGACTGGAGCTGGAGAGTGACGCTGAGGAGAGACTGGAACTGGAGAGTGCTGCTGAGGACGAAGGGAGCTGATCGCACCAGCTGATGGTCGAACTCGGCTGTCACAGAGGAGAGAATATGTTAGAGCAGAGTACTACAGCAGGTAACAAGTCATTGTGTGTGCAGTGACGCTTTCATGGCTGACTATTTTATCATTCTCAAGACACACGGAATAGAGATAGCGACACGTCATTTTGCTGCTGTGGTCAGTAAACTTCTGTGGTGCATGATAAAATTCTGACATAAATCATGGCTTTACATCTGCAAGCCATAGAACAACCTCACACCTTGTCATAAAGAGAGCACTCTGACACTTATAAGACATGTCAGGTGAAACTGACCTGTAAGAGTAAAGCTTTAAAGAAAAAGAAAGGTCAGCACCACAGACAGCAACTGTGCCCATAATAGATGTGCATGGGCCTAAGACCCAAACCCAGCCAGAACCAGCGTATTTAAGACCCAATCTGTCCAAAACTGAATGACGCTACTAAATGTGAGACGCTTTATTATTGATTACAGTTAATCCAGTACTGACCATAAGCTATCAAGGCTAATGCAACACATTAGCTACACATTACTTGCAACACATAACAAGCATGGACCCAGATGATACATACTGACGGAGAGAAATTCATAAATTACATTTTAAGATAATCAAACGCAGCCATGGACAGAAGCAGAACTCTAGCCTACATCACCCAGTGTGCAATCAAAAGCTTCTCCCTACATGTCTGCAGATCAATATGTTCAGAAAAAAGTTCTTAATGGGACAGCATCATTTTACTGTATCAACAGAAAGTACGCTTTCTTAATTCTTTGAACGCGTCTCTTTATTATGCTGATTGAGTGCTCAGTGTAACCAAAGAAAACAAGTGGACAACACGAGAAAAAAAAAGACGACATCTCCATCACTTTGACTACACACAGACTCCCTGACCACTCAATAATAAACGTAGTTAAAATGACGCCTACCTGACAGTGCCAATCAAAATCAAACATATCTGTGTTAAGGTAGAATTTACGGCCGAGCTGATGCATTAAATTGCATTAGACTTTTCAGGCGTACCTAATAACGTGGCCACTGAGTATACATGCTGCATAGAAACACTCTGCAAATACGTTTTTTTAATGCCCCCTGGAAACATCCACTGCTGTCTGACTTCTTTACGTTGCGTTGTAGTCAGATTTTCAAGATGCAGCAATGAGTTGAGCTCTCCTGGCCACAAATACCAAAAAAATCTACTTAATATAAATGTTATGCATGAATGTTTGACACTGCACCTTTGAAGAACCGTATAGAATTTTTTGAAAAAGGGGAGAAACCCTTGAGAAAGAATCTGCTTAAAACCACCTTCCTGACACTGTACACAAAGAGTGCTGTTTTTACACACCAACTACAAAGGAGACACTGTGCACACAGCAACCTCTTCCCAGGTGCTCCGGGTACAAAAAGAAACACATGTTAAATGATCAATGTGAAGATGCAGCCTGTGAATACACCTGGCTTTAAAGAGACAGACGGGAGAAACTTCAGATGAGTGACACCCAGTAAAGTCCCGCCAACTCCACTTAATGACAACACAGTTGAGTGAGTAACATAAACAAAGAGAAGTCCAGCCCGCCACACTCAGTGGAATTAAACGTCCATTTAACTTGCATGTGTGTGATAGCTGACATAAAAGTAGCCTGTGAGGCCGCCCTCATTCAGATGCGGAAAAATGCTTAAACATATAAATTAATGTGTGGGTGTCTGTGTGCGCTGTGCAGATAATCTGTCGGCTGAGGGCGACCATGAATGAACCGTACAGTCTGGCATCACAAAGGGGTCTTTCAAAGTCCTCCGCGGGGCGTCTTCCGCTCCCGTTTCCTGTGGGACAGCCTGGTCGTGTTTACTTTGCGCTGTTCGCTAACAATATTGCAGGCCCCGTGCACACACTTCTGCCTTAACTGCCTGAATTACCCCCGCAAGGTTCACGGTGTTGGAGCGGACATTTCAAAGCGCGGTTTTAAACGCGGTCCGACCCCAAAACAAAAACACTGCCGTCCAGCGCTGCCTTGTTTTGCACGGGCTCCGTTAGCCAACCAGTGTTGTCTGGTGTTAGCATTAGCTTCGTGATGCTTGGCTACCTTTATATACATTTTCCTAAACCCTTCGCGTCTTTAGATAACACAGTAGTGCCACGGTACAGGGGAAACACGTCCACTTCCACTAAACCCTTAAAGGACGGTGAAATTGATACAACATGCAGCCGCTCATATTGACTAGCCACTTAGCTCAGCAGCTAAGAGTCAAACTAGGCCATAAGCCGCTCAGCATGACGACTGGTACGATAGCAGAAAGCTAACGGAGCGGTTCTGTGACATAACTTGCAGCTTCAGATCAACCAGTGTTACTAAACTGCATTCAACACAACACTCAACAACAACCCCGCGTAAAAACAGACACTTTGCGAGGTGGCTAGCTCGTAAAATGTTGCTCCATTAGCCGTTTCATATAGCTATTTGTTGACTGGGCTCGCTAACGCTAGCTAACGGTGGTGGCAGCTGGCTCTCTTACTCCGGAGTCGTTCGGATCCTTTTTCCAGAACAATTGAGAGCAGTGGCCGAAAGACTCTGTGGATGTCACATAATTCACTCCGTTTCTATCTTGAAAGTCTCCATGTGTGCTGCCGGTATTTGTCCTGGCGTACATCGTCGGTTTTCGGATTCTTCGACTTTTTCTGTCTGAAAAGAAATAGGGCCGCTTTGTAGGGATCTTCTTCCGAAAAAATATTTCTTCTGTGAAATGAGCGTTTTGGCGGCTGACATATTGGAGCACGCGGGGCATTACTGCCGCCTGCTGGCCTGGAGTGTAACAACACCGGCGGCGGTGAGCGCACTGTCTGGGTATTGTCTCTGTTTCACCTACATGTTTTTAGAGGTCAAATTTACGCTGTGAGATAATGATACAGTAATGTATCTTTAAAATACACCTACCACCTGAACAAATCCTTAGGCTACATTTACTTCAACTTTACTCGATTATTTTCATTTCAAGCTATGTTACACTTTGCTTCACTAAACAACAAAGAAGTTATAAAGTAAAATGATATCCTCCTCAACCAACTACAAACTTTAACCTGCTACATAAACACATTAATACAGCACCATCTCTCTCCCTGTTTGCATGTCCACAAGTGCATGAAGTGTGTATTTCAGCCTGTGTGTGTGTGTGTGTGTGTGTGTGTGTGTGTGTGTGTGTGTGTAAATAAAAAAGAGTGAAAAAACAATTTCTCCAATAGGGGATTAATAAAGTACATATCTTATCTTATCTAAATCCAATGATATTTACTATAACGGGGGAAACCATTGAACAGGGGTTTCTAGATTGTTTTCATGCAACTTCTTTTTGGTCTGATTTACAGAAGAGCCTTTCTTTAAAATAATTGGAAAAATATATCATACTAACAGAGATTGATATATTATACATTTTTAATAATCCCAATTTCTGGGCAGATGGAACTTAAATAATTAACTTGATTAAAATATGAAACTAAATGATATGTCTGGAACTTTGGTATACTTATATAGTTCAAGTATTGAATGAATTGACTGACTGTTCTCTCAATTAAGTTGACAAAGTAGTACACTGCAACACGTACAGGGGCCATTATTTTTCACACTTATAGGACAATTTGCTAACGTTAACATGCTTTTATGTAATATTTTCACTGCAGATGTTTTACTAGTAATGCAGTATTTTTACAGTGTCATATAGCACCTGAATACTTCCCCTACCGATGGCAGTCAGACACAGTGTGTGTGAAATCATGTTTACTTGTTTTAATGATCAGTGTGTCTTTCATAATTTATTTACATTTGGTAATTTAGTCAAAATTAAAGATTCTTTTAATTGGAATTTTTTTTATTTATTGCTAATAAAACGTTTGGAAATATAATGGCTTAAAGTTGCTTAACACAGGTAGTTGATGGTATTTAATCTATAGATTAATTTCTATGCTGTATATAGTACCCGGAGGCCTGTGTGCCTCTGTGGCTAAACTCATCAGAACCACAAAACGCTCTGGGTTCAAGTTCATCATTTTAGAAAAACAAAGTGTTTTAAAAGCTACTAGAATTCTGCTTTTAGTGAACTCACATCAGACGCTTTTGTCAAAGCTCATGTCCCCCCAGATTTAAATTAGAGAATATAATTGTGTTAGATTTTATTGCCTGTGAAGCATATTAATAAGATAAATGAATGTAAAATGATGTAAAACATGGTCGTTTTGTAGCATAATGATTTGGTTTAAATAGTTTATGACCTGAGATGTTTCTTCTCTTTCTGCTTTTAGAATAAAATGACATTTTTGTGTTGTAATTTTCCTTCTCTACCTCCAGTATCAGTATTAAGGGACATTTCACGCAACCATTTATTTTAAAACTACAACTAAACACCTTTCTATAGCAGTGTGTGGTGTAGACTTTGGACTGATTTACTGACTATAAATCCTTTCCAATGCTGTTCTTTATTGTAGTGATGATGATTCAATTTCACCATAATAAACCTGCACCACCTGATCTGTAGCCTCTCTGCAGGACAGCAACTGGTTCAGACTTTGATACAAAGCTCATGAGAATACAGTATCGCTTTCATTCAGTCCAGCCCACAATAACACTTTGATTTGAGAACCTTGGTGAAGACACTGGTGACTTGCTGCAGCATCAAAGCATTAATGAGAACAACTTAAGTAAGTGAAACTGCTCATTTTGGGAGTCGAGTCTTAAATCTTTATTTTAAAATTTCCTCCCAGAAATAGTCTATTTTTGTGTATTGGTTTGTTTACTTCATAGAAAGTGAAAATAACCTCATTTCATAGTTGATTTCTCAGATCTGTCTTTGATGAAAGTTGGCTATTGACCATGTATGTCCCAAAATGTTACACATTACTCTAAATTATTAAAGATTGATGTTAATCTCTTTCTCTCTTTCTCTCTGCCATTTGCTGTCTCTTATCGCCACCGCAGCAGCAGGGCCATTTCAACATGGAAAGGTACTGTGGTCAGCCTTTTATATTAATAATAATACTACCCTTTTCTTAAAGCAAGACATTCTTATTGACTGTAATAAGATGAAGGGGTGAACGAATAGAGGGAAAATCATGAAGGGTCAGATCAATGGAAACCCCTGTGCTTGTTCATGCATCAGTGTTGTTAACATTAAAATCTTGGAAATGTTTCTTTGTTGAAAAGATTTCAAAGCTGATTGTATCAGACACAAAGGCTGCTCTGTAGATGATCCAGTTACATTTGAATATTTGATAGATGCTTCATCAATCAACCTGATATGTGATTTCTGGACTCTGGTCTCTGATATGGTTCCATGGGATTGGACTTTGATACCAAAGCTATTTTACAGTTGACAGTTTATTGTTATATAGTTTGATTATTTTTCTAACCAGGACATCAGTGTTTTGACAAGTTATACAATCCTGTTTAATTGTACTGTGGTTGAGGCTTTACATTATATGGTTGTATATGTAGCTGCAGAGCGCCCTTTAGTGGTAAGCAAAAGAAACAAACAGACGATCTTGAGGGAGTTAGAGGGAAGCAAACATTTGGCAGCTCTACAGGAGGCTCTTACCACCACTGTGGATTCAACTTCACTGAGCTTGAGAATAGTAACTGAGACACTCCTTGTGATACTGATGTGTGTAGAGATTTTAAATCGTGTGTTCAGGCTCTGTATGTTCAGGCCCCTGTTCTGACTGGCTGCAGTCTGTTCATTAATGTGTTCCCTGGCTTAACTGTGGCCTGTGAGATTGGTTGGTTTCACAAAGCTAGACTCTGACAGTGTCTTAGAGCAGTGGTTCCCAATATTTTTCATATTATATTCCATGCATAACAATGACAGTACAGAACTGATAAGCTGTGAAACATGAACACAATAGCTGCAGGAAGTTTGTGTAAAATTGTTTTACTAATACTAGTAAAACAATTTTACTAATTGTCCCCCCCCCCAATGAAGCTTTGGTGACCCCCGATCCCGACCCTAAAGTTGGGAACCACTGGCTTACACTAATAGCTTAGTATAAATTCAGCTGTCTAGTTTGTGACTATCTTAAGTAGGACTAATTTGCTTTGAATTCTGGGTAAATTAATATTTTTTTCAGACTAAAAACATGGCTCACTTAGTGGCCACATCATAGCCTACTGCTCAGCTCCAGCAGTCTTCTGGACAACACTTACAAGGAGATTTTACTGTAACAATACAAACATCTTGACGTATAAAACCTCCAGTGGCAGAGCAGAGCTGGCTCAGTGCTTCCAGCAGGATCAGGAGACTGACGGTGTCCTCACTGCTGTATCCGTCCAACAGGCGCTGTCTAAAAACACACTGGTACCACAGTGTCAGCAGGTGTCACTGATTGTTACCATGGAAACATTGGTCGGCGGGTGTCACTGTCTGTTACCGTGGACACATGCCACTTATTGAAACTTGCATTAGTCTATGATTAAAGGAGGTGCTGCAGGTCCATGGTGCTGAGCCTGCTTTAGCTTTTCAGCTGCCTGTTTCTCCCACTACAATATAGCTTATTGACATCATCACCATGCACACCATTAAAAGCATTCCAACTAGCATTTTAAGCCTATAGGAACATCAGTGGAGATTACTGTACAAATATTTTGAAATCATTACACTGTGGGTATTTTATAGGCTACTATGAGTAGTTTTTGAACAAATATATAGATAACTCAGTTATTTATTTAGTAGGTTTGAATGAGATATGTCAAACTGGACACACATCAGTTCTCTGAATCTCAATGAGCTACTCAAGCTTCCAACCTGTTTATCCAACTCTGATGATCATTTTGCATCTGTTGATCAGGATCCAGCGGGAGAGACCAGGCTCTGGTGGCCAGATTGATTTCAAAGATCAACATCTTCCCCCTGAAAACATGTAAGATTTATACCAACAAGTTCTGAGCATTTCAATATGACAGAAAATCATCTTCTCACTGAATGTAGAATAGAAATATTGTGACATAACCAAGGTCTGTGGTGCTTATGTGCTGTTAAACACATGAACTGGTAGTTATATATTAACAATAGTTTACAGCCCAATAGAATCACAGACTTCCACTGTTGGTCACAAAACTCATACAACATAACAAAAATGTCTCACTAAATGGAGACAAGTACCACAAACTACCAGCCCAAGGTAGCTGATTGAGCTTACATTTGTTGGGTCATTGAAAATTCACACATATCATGTTTTCCATAATGTTCCCCAGTAGGAATTTATATGAAGCAATGTAGTGTTTGAATAAAAAAAATGTGTCAATATGTTTTTAGTATCAGCCCAGTAAAGTAAGTCTAACCACCATGTTAATCTCTCATCCGGTTCTTCTCCTCTCTGTCAATCAGCCTTGAGCACGAGAGACCAGACTCTCCCGTACCCAGCTGTGTGTCCATGAAGAGTGAACATTCAATAGGTGGCCTGATTGATTTTAAAGATCAGCCTCCTTCTTTGCAAAAGAGGTAAGTTTGAAGAGCATTAAAGTTCACTGAAACATGTTGTTTTCCAAAGTTGCTTTACTTTACATACATACATATAGTATATACTCATTAAAGGAGTATTACCAGAGGCAGATCTATTGGAAAAATAATAATGGGGTGACCAGAGGGTGGCATGGAGACTTTAAGTGGTGGCGGAAATATATACTGATAAAATCAACAATCAATCAGCACCCAGGATGAGAGGCCAGAGCCACCCAGCTCTGTGTACATGAGTGACCATTCAATAGGTGGCCTGACTGATTTTAAAGATGAACACCATACATTTGAAAATACCAAGGCAGCTGATAGAGCTTACATTTGTTGGGCCATTGAAAATTCACACATGTCATGTTTTCCATAATGTTCCCCAGTAGGAATTTATATGGAGCAATTTAGGGTAAAATTAATTTTATTTGTCAATATGTTTTTAGCATTAGCCCAGTAAGGTATGTTTTATGAGCAACAGCATTTTCATATGCAGCAATTTGCTGTTGGCTTGTAGGTTTGGAAAGAGGGCAGAAAGTTGCTTATCTACCCACCTCACACTGTGCTGGTCATGCTTTATCTTTTATTATTATCAGCCAGGTGGCCAAAGGTACAGAGAACATTTTTACAGCTGGTAATAAAATACTGAAGGGCTTGTTGTTTTCAGTCTAACCACCATGTTAACCTCTCATCCGGTGCTTCTCCTCTCTGTCAATCAGCCTTGAGCACAAGGGACCAGACTCTCCTGTACCCAGCTGTGTGTCCATGAAGAGTGGACATTCAATAGGTGGCCTGATTGATTTTAAAGATCAGCCTCCTTCTTTGCAAAAGAGGTAAGTTTGAAGAGCATCAAAGTTCACTGAAACATGTTGTTTTCCAAAGTTGCTGTACTTTACATACATACATATAGTATATACTCATTAAAGGAGTATTCCCAGAGGTGGATCAAGAGAAATATTAATGGGCTTACCAGAGGGTGGCATGGAGACTTTAAGTGATGGCAGAGATATATGCTGATTTAATGAACAATATAACAATCGCATATATCAATATTTGCTTGGAAAAGCCTCCAAATTAAGATATTTGATCTCAAGAATATTACATTATTGTGGCACATTTCTAAAGCATTTAATAGGAATATTTAATTTATTAAATTTGACCCCATGCCACCCCTTTAGATCCACCCCTGGGCATTCCAATGATTTTGATTTGCATTTCCATAAATTTGGACACACAAGACACAGATTTTAAAAAAGCAATGAAAGCAGCAAAGACCAAGGTATCCTGTCTTTTAGACCCTAGAATAGGTAAAGCTTCAAAAACACTGGAACCTACATTTTCCATAATACAGTTCAGTAGCATGATCACTTAAATGCTCCATGCCCACTTGCAGTAGTTATGTGAGGGAAGAAGAGAGAGTTATTTATTTACTTTGCCCACACTTTATTACATTCACCCAGGGTGATAAAAATGACGATAAAATAATAAAACACTGAAGGGATTGTTATCACACTTGAGAAATAAAATTGATCTGATTGTCTACTCCTCACCCTGGTGCTCCTCCGCTCTGTCAATCAGCACCCAGGATGAGAGGCCAGAGCCACCCAGCTCTGTGTGCATGAGTGACCATTCAATAGGTGGCCTGACTGATTTTAAAGATGAAAATATTAAATATAATGTACAAATTCAATTCTATGCCCCATTGTATTAGAGTAAGAAATTGTATAACATGTGATTATATCGGTGTGTTTCATGCAATCAAGTGTCTCAAAAAATGTATTCTACAATCGTTCCAGAGACCACCAGGAGGGACCAGAGGCTACCAATGAGCCCGCCCTAAAGCATCAACTAGACGTGGAGTCCACATTTAGGGTTTGTAATTGTCGCTACAATGAGTAATAAAATAAAATACAACACACTACCACATCCACAGCTTATGGTTTATCTCCATGTTCATTTCTTGCAGCTGCTTGAAGAGACCATTGCCACGTTTGTGAAAAATGAGCTGAAAGTCTTTCAAAGAGTTCTCAGTCCAGATTACACTGAAGATTTGGAGGGTCAGAAGGAAAAGGGAGGAGTGGTGGACAGTGAGGAAGAGGAGCAGATGAGCAGCAGAGGGGCCCTTCTGAAGATCACACTGCACTTCCTGAGGAGAATGAAGCAGGAGGAGCTCGCTGACTGTCTGCAGAGGAGTAAGAGGTTTATTTTGATGTGAAGAGGAAATAGTCGCAATTAAGTAGATTTGTAGAAGTGTACTATGTGACATGACTTACAAGCAAGTGAAACCTATAAATACTTCATTTTATTAGGCAACACAATAAATGGAAACAGTTTGTTATTGGGTCTAGCAAAAATATGGCAACCTACTCCTGCTGCCGTACAACTTTGGTAGAGGGGGCCTAGCGGAGTGATACGAGGCAGCAGAGAGAGAGAGGTGGAAGGTTTTGCACTGTGTATGTTGAAACCGCCTACCCCAGCTTCTAGCAGCTGATGAATGGCCTCCCTTCACTGGGAGGAATACACCATTGCCAGCTGGCTAGGGGCCAACTGACTAATCAAACTAGCTAGCTAATGTGGGGCTTCTGTGGCCAACTAGTTCATGGGGGCAGCTGATGAAGGGCCAGTATGCTAAGTAGCTATAGGGAGAGATTATTAAGTGTCCAGTGATAGGTACTTCATCTGGCAAATCCAATCCTACAATCAGAGGACAACATTGGTTAAAGTGGTTCAACATTGCTCAACTCAAAGTGAACCACTTTTGCTCAATATCAGGAATCATGAAAAGCCATGAAACTATTGCATCAATGATGATAGTTAATGTAATTGTAGGATATTAAGATATTAAAATGAAAAATGTGTATATTCATCATTAATGTGAAGATTTATCTACTTTACTTTCACATTTACTCATTGATTTGATTTTATCTGTGTGTTCCTTCAGAAGCGGTTGTTCCTATATGCCAACGTAAACTCAAATCTCAACTGAAAGGAAAGTTCGAGAGTTTTTTCGAGGGGATCGCTAAAGCAGGAAACCCCACACTTCTGAATGACATCTACACAGAGCTCTACATCATAGAGGGAGGGAGTGGAGGGGTCAATGATGAACACGAAATCCGACAGATTGAAACAGCATCCAAGAAGCAGTCAAGACCAGAAACTATGATCAAATGTGAAGACATCTTCCAACCCTTACCTGACAGAGATCATCAACCAATCAGAACGGTGATGACAAAGGGTGTGGCGGGCATAGGGAAAACAGTCTTAACACACAAGTTCACCCTGGACTGGGCTGAGGACAAAGCCAACCACAACATTCAGTTCACATTTCCCTTCACTTTCAGAGAGCTGAATCTTTTGGGTGGGAAAAGATACAGCTTGGTTGAACTTCTTCATCTCTTCTTTACTGAGATCAAAGATGTAGAAATGTCCAGTTTTGACAAGTACAAGGTTGTGTTCATCCTTGACGGTCTAGATGAGTGTCGACTTCCTCTGGACTTCCACAACAATGAGATCGTGACTGATGTTACAAAGCCAACCACAGTGGATGGGCTGCTGACAAACCTTATCACTGGGAAACTCCTTCCGTCTGCTCACCTCTGGATAACCACGCGACCTGCAGCAGCCAATCAGATCCCTCCTGAGTGTGTTGACATGGTGACAGAGGTGAGAGGGTTCACTGACACCCAAAAGGAAGAGTACTTCGGGAAGAGATTCAGAGAGGAGGAGCAGGCCAGCAGAATCATCTCCCACATCAAGACATCACGAAGCCTCCACATCATGTGCCACATCCCAGTCTTCTGCTGGATCACTGCCTCCGTTCTGGACCATGTATTGAGAGCAGATGAAAAGAGGGAGTTACCCAAGACACTGACTGAGATGTACATCCCCCGGTCCAGAGTAGGGAATGTCAAGTATCGTAGAGGAGCTGAGACAGATTCACTCTGGAACCCCCAAACCTGCAACATCATCATGACTCTGGGAAGACTGGCTTTTGATCAGCTGCAGGAAGGCAACTTGATCTTCTATGAATCTGACCTGATAGCATGTGGCATTGATATCAGGGCAGCCTCAGTCTACTCAGGGGTGTTCACACAGATCTTTAAAGAGGAATGTGGGCTGTACCAGGACAAGGTGTTCTGTTTTGTCCATCTGAGTGTTCAGGAGTTTCTGGCTGCTCTGTATGTCTTTGTGACATTCATCAACACTGGTGTCAATCTACTGTCAGAACCACAATCAAGATCCTGGTGGTGGCAAAGGCTATTAACATTAAGATCAACTGAAAAATCCATCTTCCAGGCTGCAGTGGACAAGGCCTTACAGAGTCCAAATGGACACCTGGACTTGTTCCTCCGCTTCCTCCTGGGGTTCTCACTGGAGACCAATCAGACTCTTCTACAAGGTTTGTTGAAACAGACAGGATGTGGCTCATATGCCAATCCTGAGACAGTGCTGCACATCAAGGACAAGATCCGGGAGAACCCGTCTCCAGAAAGGTGTATCAACCTGTTCCACTGTCTGAATGAACTGAATGATCATTCTCTGGTGGTGGAGATCCAGCAGTACCTACGTTCAGGAAGTCTCTGTACAGACAAATTGTCTCCTGCTCAGTGGTCAGCTCTGGTCTTCATCTTGCTGTCATCAGAAAAAGACCTGGACATGTTTAACTTGAGGGAGTACTCTGCTTCAGCTGAAGGTCTCCTACGGTTGCTGCCAGTGATCCAAATCGCCAAAGTAGCTCTGTAAGAGCACTTCTAACCAAACAAAATAGATATATTAAATAAGACATAAATTTTACAGATGATAAACTACAAGATAAATTGTATGTCTTCATGCTTTTACAGGCTGAATGGCTGTAACCTGTCAGAAAGAAGCTGTGAAGCTCTGGCATCAGTTCTTAGCTCCAGATCCTCTAGTCTTACAGAGCTGGACCTGAGTAACAATGATCTAGGGGATTCAGGAGTGGAGCTGCTCTCCGCTGGACTGAGGAGCCCCCATTGTAGACTGGAAACTCTGAGGTTTGCAATTTATCTAGCCTTTGTCAAGCACAAGTCTGCAACCCTTACCGGTCAATTTCTCATACTGGACACTGACTTACATTGAGAGCTAGGATTGGAACCACAACAAAAGTGGAACAAAACCCAATAACATGTTGCTATTTGCTTGCTTTCCTGTGTGTTGTTAGAATGTCAGGCTGTCTGATCACAGAGAAAGGCTGCGCTGCCCTGGCCTCAGCTCTGAGCTGTAACCCCTCCCATCTGAGAGAGCTGGATCTAAGTTACAATCATCCAGGTGACTTAGGCATTAGGCTGCTCTCAGCTGCCCTGGAGGATCAACGCTTGCAGCTTACTACTCTAAGGTATGGAGAGACTTGCTGCTTGGCAGAGGTAGTCATTCTGGAGAAAGATAGTTGATTTGTTGAGTCTCATTCCTAGGTCATCAAATACAGATGCTTTGGGTTGGTCAGCAAACTTTTTGGGCTGATGTGTGATCAGCTACCTTGCCTGCCACAGTAGTTCACAAACTAGCCTGACAACTAGTCACTATGTCACCAATCTTCCAGCACCACCTTTTTAGCAAGGACATGCAAATTAATTTAGTTGTGATTAGGCCTTTGCTGCACTAAAACCTGTCCCACAGCCTTATTGGCATCTAATACAACTCACTAGTACTACAGGGATCGGTCAGCAGCTCATCCGAACCTACAGTATGTCTTCTTCTTCTGCTAAATTAAGTCAAGGAAAATTGATCATGGAACTTTGTCCCAAGATGTTGTTTGAACATGGTTTTCTTAGGACCAATCCTTATCTAGCACACATACAACAACTACTCACCACTCTGGTTCCACTTGTTGGTGGTCATTACACTCAATCATGTGCTTTCAGATTAAGCAGTTGCTTAGGGTAGCATTGAAGCCCCACACAGCTGGAGCCTTCTTTAGCACCACATTTACCCCAAGGAGCTGAATACTTACTGACAGTAGTGTGGCATTAAAAAATAATGTTTTTGTCCAACTAAATTCGCTGGTTCCAGGAATGTGTCCTACTCTACTTCTTACTGATCTCTTCAAACCAATCATACACAGGACAATACACATTAAAACTGCATGCCCCTTCAGCTGGTTGTGATAGAGTTGTGGTAAAGAGGGCAATGTTTTTAACGTATGTTTTTCATGTGATGCATGACAAATATATTTATAAAATATACTTATTTGACTTGTATTTCTCATCCCAAGTATGGAACATGGTGGAGTGAAGAGGTTGAAGTCAGGTCAGAGGAAGTGTAAGTGTGTCTTTACCTACCTTGATTTATAATGACAAAGCACCATTCCAGTATTTGATGATTTGATGATTGAGTGTTTGTCAAACTGTTAATACATAAATGTATTAGAACTGTAGGTTTAAAATTATGTTTTGTCTTATTCTCCGCATCAGATGCCTGTGAACTCACACTGGACCCGAACACAGTAAACAGCAATCTCTTTCTGTCCAAGGACAACAGAAAGGTGACAGAGGTGTTGGAAAAGCTGCCGTACCCTGACCATCCAGAGCGATTTCACCACTGGAAGCAGGTTCTGTGTAGCGAAGGTTTAACTGGGCGCTGTTACTGGGAGGTAGAGTGGAAAGGATGGGTTAATATTGGAGTGGCATACAAAGGAATCAGAAGAAAAGGGCAGGATGACGACTGCTGGATCGGACAGAATGACAAGTCCTGGAGTCTATTACGCTGTGATAATAAGTACTCTGCTTGTCACAAGAACAGGAGAGTAATCATACCTATCCACTCCTCCTTTGACGCTGGTAGAGTAGCAGTGTATCTGGACTGGCCTGCTGGCATTCTGTCCTTCTACAGGGTCCCCTCTGACACACTGATCCACCTCCACACCTTCCACTGCACATTCACTGAACCCGTCTATCCTGCATTTGGGATTGAGTTAAAGTCATCGGGATCCTCAGTTTCACTGTGTGAGATATAGCACAAGGTAGAAGAAAACACTGACAGGGGAAGTTGTGTAACTTTCTGGAACTTACAATCCAACAAGCATGCCCTCTTCACACAGTGACTGGTCTTTGTCTTATTCATAGCTCATAAATGTGATCCATCCATGTATTTGTATAAATGTATGGCCAGTTGTTAGCTAGCTAGCTGTTAATGCTAACATTCAATTGTTGTAACTGAACTGATAAAGTGCACGTTATTCTTCTTCTGCTGTTTTGGAGAGTCACCAAACAGCTTTGGATACTCCAACACTTTTCATGTACTTAAAACATTTTGCCTTCCTGGCTCCAACACTTTCTAAAATCACTGTAAATAAATGTACACATTTCATTTTTTAAAATAAAACACCAAACTCTTATGTTGACCCCCTTGCTGTGCTAATAATTTCAGTAAAAACACGCAGTTACGCTTGCACATGAATACTGTGTGAGGCTTATTATGCAATGTCTTTGGATTAACTGCACCGGTTCCCTGAGTTATATATATATATATATATATATATATATATATATATATATATATATATATATATATATATATATATATATATATATATATATTTAATAATAGATTTAGGTGCTTTTTGTACTAACCCTACTATTTCATGTCAAAATAGCTGCTTTCAAAAAAGTCTACACTGCAGGTTAATCTGGCCATGAATTTTAAACCCAGTACTACTGAAAAATGAAAGCACTGGATAACCATGATCTGCTGTTATGTTCAATAGTCAAGGAATGCAGGAACGTCACAGTTTAATTTACGGAGGTATTTTTTTCACTGAATCCTGTTGACAACAAACAACCAGGGCCGACTTTGTCATGCCAAAGCGAATGGATTTTATTTACACATCTAGTTTGTATAACATGGTCGCCCATAATTCCATGTGCAATACACAAGTAAAAGAACTCAAACTGAATATGTGACTTGTGACAAACTATATTTTCTCAACATGTTTAATATTATTCCAGGTAAATACTTTGGCTATGACACTTTTAAAGTGTGTTATATATTATTGAGTTCATATTACAATCTACAACACAGATTTTTTTTATTTTGTGTCAAAACTCTCAAAGAGACTGTTTTAATAAGTGGAATAACTTGCACATAAATAGTAACTTGATTCTGTACAACATTTACAATGCGTGAAATCACAAATGCTGCAACAAAGTAAAAATGTCAATAAGAAAAATCTCACTTACAATAGCAACAATAGACAAAATCATAGCTGGACTGCTTGAATAATGTTTTTTGATACCTCGTATGCAAATGCACAAAACCTGTGAGAGAACAAGCAAATGAACTATGAAAAAAATCACTAGGTGAACAATTTGTGCAATGGAGCAAAACTTTCATTTGTAACTTAACGTAGTGCTCACTATAGCGGCTCAATACTGCTCCTCACCGTGACACTTATTTGAAGTGAGACCAATTTACAACATAGGTAGACTAAAACAGAAACTTGCTCATACAGGCAGGTACTTTTTTAGAACCCTAGAAGTGTAATACAGTATTTCTATTTTTCTAAAAACTATTTGGAAATAATCCTAATTCATACATCAAAAAAACATGTCTTTGTTTGTAATAGGCTAAGCAACAGTGGATGAACAACTGTACTTAAGGTGACTTGTAATATTTTCTTGTAAACAAAGTTCTGTTTAGTGTTACCCACCAAAACACACTGTGTGGATCCCTCCAGTCTCACACACCTTGAGAGCAGTTTCTTCCCCATAAAACCATTGTAAAGCTAATTAAATGAGTCATGTTTTAAGTCCTGCACCGTTTACGTCCATGTTTGCTAGCTTGCAGTCACAAAGGCATTGTTCCCTTGGTCGGCGTAATAGTGTGAAACCAACCATATAAATCTTACATCCTCCTCCTGTAAATGCTTCTGTGAATGTAGAGTACAAACAAAACATTGCTCCATAGCACTACTAGTGGTCAAAATCATCTTTAAGTACCTTTAAAAGGATTTGTGAATGACAAAATCATAATGACATGAGAGGAATTTCCTATAGAGCTGAGAACTCTGCTGACATGAAGACGGTAAACTAAACTGTCAGGGGAGAAAAACTGGTTACAGCTTAACTTTTGCAGTGATCAGCAGTTGCAGCTCTTCAGCTCTAGTTGTTGACATTTCATAGTGGCATCCACCCCAGTTTGATGCCCTTCAACTATTACTTGTGCATGAAAACAGTGAAATGTTAAGATTTGGCACATAATATTGGCTCTTGGCACCTGTAAATACCTTCATCATGAATTGTCTTCAGAAAGCCATCCAAAGGTTTTTAACACCACTGAATTGCCCCTCAAAAGGACAGTTACTGACATTACATACTAACCATGTAGACATTCAGCTGTGTTGATACAGCCAAATTAAAGGGTTCAAAGCTAAAAAGAACTTGTCACCTAAAAAGGCCCATGTCAGTGTTTATGCATGTTCTACTACAAAAAAACTTTACTTCTATCTTTTACTTTTAACCAGTTTACTAATCTTCTGTTTCAGAATAGAATTTTTGAACTATTCATTTAAGTGTTCATCCTCGTTTGATGCTTCCACTGGTTTCCATTCATTACCATACAGTATGAAAATCAACTTGCTTTTATACTGGCAGATTGGTTCAATGAATCTGCTCAGCAATGCCACACAATATTTTGACTCAGACATCAATAGGAAAACATGATGTCCCTAAAAATAGATTTTCATACCACTATGAAATGAAGAAAACTAACAGTTGCCTTAAGGTAAAAAAACATTCAAAATTCTAAAACATGTATTTACTACTGCTTTGGAAAATTGTTTGTAGAGAACGTGCAAAACACTGGAATGGCCCTTTAAATCACTAGCGGTTTTATGTCCTACACTTCTTAAATGTAGCATGTTTTAGTCTGGACCGCCAATGAGCAACAGCCCAGTTTTAATCAATCATTGTAGAGCTCTGTATTGAGCAATTAGTACTGTGTCTACAAGAAAAAAAGTGAACATCAAAATACTTTTTTGTATATTCCCAAATATTTTCCACTCCCCACATTTCAGTAGTTTCAAATATACAATTATAAAACACTGGTGGATAGATTAAACATGGCACAGTAGTCCTACAGTGACTGGCAGATTGCCTCATCAATAAGTGTTTGGTTCTAGTGGTTATGAAGATCGTCTGCTGTGGTGGTGTAGATATACTGTGTATGTGTGCACCCGAGTAACTACATTTGTGAGCAACAGTTTCAAGTCATAAGCAGTGACAACATTTAGGACATTCATAATTTAGGCGCCAGTTTAAAGTTATAATCCTTAAGATTTGTATGAAATCAAACCCAGTTTTTGATTCTATTTATGGTCTGCATTTCAGCAATAGCTAAATGTATTTACATTCTCTATATAGTAGTCTCTGCCGTTAGTGGCGGAGTCCGCCATTCCAGTGCTTGATTCAAATTGCCTCCACATGCACAAGGAATTCACAAATGATGCAGCCTATAATCCAGTGTTACTGTTTGTAAATTAATCTCCATGTTTTTTGTTAACTCTAATGCCATAATCACAGCTGTATTAAGTTACTGCTAATGCTAACCCAACATTTCCGAATGTAAAGCAAAACATGGAACAGCTTTCACTGTGAAGACAGAAAACAGAGGGTAGCGCTAGCCCTGGTCATTCATCAAAAATGTGTCTCCAGAACAACACGTGGTAGTCTTCTGCTTTGTCTGACAGCAAGTCCCTTTTAAATATTATGGAGGAGTAACTACTTGCACCATATTGGGCAAGAATTAGATGGCAGTTCGTGGCATGATGGAACATTTCAGTTTGTTTGGATGCACTGTAAACAGATACACCGGCCGCTCTTCTGTTGCATTTCTGACAAAATGGCTACTCAGAGAGTGACTGCTGCCCCCAGAGGTCTGGGACCTGTTGTGTAGGTGCCCTACAACTGAACTTGCTGTTGCCACAGTAACCACAGGCATCATCAAATCAACCAGGACTGAAATCTTAAGGATTATAACTTTAAGGTACAAGCGAATAGTCAGGTAATGGAATATCCCCACAACTACAGTATTACAAGGATGTGCGTGTGCGTGGTGTTTAACTCTTGATCTCCAGGATGGAGGGGTTATGGTCGAGAATGGCCAGAATGATTTTGTCCATGTACTGCCTCAGACGCAGGTTGATCTCCTCCTGCTCCTTCAAAGCGTCGACCAGCTGAGAGAGACAGAGAGTGAGAAATGCATTAAAGGAGCAGTCATATCAAATGTCAGCACTGCACCTGTCCACCAGCAGCAGACTAACCTCATCCCTGGATGCGTTGTCAATCTCAGCAGCCAGGCACTGAGCCTTGGTCTGACAGGCAAACAGGTTCTTAGCCTCGTACAAACTCAGACTGAGAATCTGAGCGTTCAGGTCGTCGTTCTGATCCCGCAGCTTATGGTTCTCCTGAAGACAGAAAGACAACAGTTTCTTTCAGAGGGGGTTCTGGATGACAACGGCTGGGCAGTTTGGGAAATACTCATTCACCGTTCATGTCTGTACAGTAAAAGCAGCTGGTTAGCTTAGCTTAGCATAAAGACTGGAAACAGAGGGGAACAGCTAGCCTGGCTCTGTTGAAAGGTAACAAAATACACCAGCACCTATGATTTTATGGGGATTATGTGCTGCAGTGTTGCCTGGCAACAGTGATGACAAGACTGAAGGCTGCTCAGGGTGTGTTAGTTAATTTAATCTAATGAAAAGGGCAAGTGTTATTTTGATTAAATCATTAATCAGGGATGTGCAACAGACATCCGTAATGTGTAGGACACTGTGAGGAAAGGTGCATGTTTGTACTTAATTTTAAACTTAAAATTAATCACAACTGCTGTCAAGCAGGGGGGCATTTTACAGTAAAAATATAAAAATGAAAAATAAACAGTAAAGTGTCAGTGCTCTCTGGGGGACAAATTGGGACGGTGGCTCTGTGGTTTCAACTAAACTGGAACTCGCAGTAGTTTAAAAAGGCAGCTGTGTGCTACACTAGACTTGATTGTTGGGTCAAAATGAGCACAGGTTCAGTTGAATCGTCTCAGCCGACGAAGTGCATGATTGAGCACACTGGGAGCAGTCGTGTTTGATTACCAGCATACACTGAGACGAAGAGAATTATCATTGTCATCATTCTAACTGCACTGCAACAATAAGTCAATACAAGTGAATGCGCGAGTCATGGTTATTGAGATTATCAACCTAGAAATCAAGGAACTTGTGATAGCTTGCGACCATATAGCAATATTGTTCTAAATATTTCAATCAAATGTAAATCATATCATGCCACGTTTCCTTCCAATCTACTGCAGTATCAATAATCTGGCAAATATGCAGTATTAGCTTACACTACAACTGCAGTGTGAATTGGTCTGACAACATATATGATCATTGGTTTTGTAGGATTTATATTAAATTAGCTCAAACATGTCTTTGGCTTTTCTGTACTGCAATTTCTTGCAATTTACTGCTCGACATATACAGATACTGATGGATCTATGATAAGCCAGTAACGTTCTTGACAATATATTGTCAGACGCATCTCAATATGTTCTTTGATGTAATGTAGAGAAGAGGAAGGACAGAAGAACAGGGATGAGTGTGTAAACCTGTTTCAGTCTTTTGACTTCATGTTCCATCTCGATCTCTCTGGTCCTGGCGTTGTACTCAGACAGACCCTTGCCCTTTCCTGGATGCTCCATCTCCAGCTTAAAGCACTGCAGATACTCCAGCTCCCGGCGGAGATCATCAATCAACTGCAGAGAACAGCTTGGATCAGATGAACTCCAAAAATGTTTCCATGTAACCTTTCAGTTATTTAGAGTGCCTCACCTCCTGCATGGCCTCCTTTTCCTTCTGAAACTCATGGCGGTTATGCCAGAGCTTGTCCATTATCTTCCTGTAGAGGTCCATCTCATCTTTCAGTCTCAGACTAGTGTCCTCCAGTTTGTCTGTCATCCTCTGCTTCTCCTGCAGAAGAAAGAGGGAAACAACCAAACTGAGGTAAAAAATAATTCTGGTTTATTACAATTTAAGTCAGATTTTTGCATCAGTTCTCAGATCTCAGCAAATTAAAAAGGTAAAAATATTATTAGTTATAAGAATGATGGAAAAAAAAGAAATTCAAAGACAACCCATGTTTTAAATCACTGAATTATCCTTTTAGTAAAAATCACACTCACCTGGTCCAGTTTCTCAGTCTGAGACTTGAGTCTGCACACATTTGAATTCATCTCTCCATTCTCTTCTTCTAACTGCTGCACCCTGTGTATGCACACACAGCTTTAGCACTGTATCCCACAGAACTAAAACACCTACAGTACTTTAAGGGTGCATTCACACCTAACCTGCTTGGCTTGGTTAAAACAGACCCTGATGCTTTTGCCCAGTCAGTGAGGTTCGTTTTGGCTGGTGTGAAAAGCTGTCAATCAAACCCTAATAAGGACTGTTAGAAAAGGGTGGTATCTGTCCTTCCAGGCGGAGGGTCATTTGTAGAGTGAAAGCAACGTACATGCCACAGGGTTTTATGATAGCAGATAGCATGTGATTTTAGCATGATTTAAAAAGCTAAACAACTAAGAAATCCATCTGCTGCTCAAATTGTGTTGTTTGTAACATGTATGCACGTCAGCACAGGTACTTTCCATGATTAAAAGGTCAAAGCTGTTAAAACTGCTGTGCTTGTATCCTAATCTGTGTACTTGTATCTGTGTGTGTGTGTGTGTGTGTGTGTATATATAATCTGTCAGTTCTTTCAGTCCAGTAAAAAGCGTGTGACAGCAACCCCACAGTAATGAGCCCTGAATCATTCTGCACAAGATGTCTCCTTTTCATCCCGTCTCTACTTGTTAGTCATTATTCATAACATGTTTAATAATGCTGCTACTCAGTTATATCTTCGTCAGCTCTTTGTGACACCAAAGAACATAAATATACTCATCAAAAGCATGAAAGTGCTGCGTAACCTTCTGTCACCAGAGTTTTGATCTGGCCACATAGGTCCTTGATGATGCAGGATGACAATTACTAAAACTGTCCAATCAGCGAGTTACCCGTCAGTCTGTATGACTTCATGTTTGTTTGTAAAAAGTCAGTGTGAACAGGAACCCGGATCAGAACTAAAATGCATGTCACAATGGATCATTTTTGTGTGAATATACGTTCAGTCTTTGAGTAGACGAGTTCAGTTTTACTGAATAAATTATCAACAGTGATCCTGGATGCTCCTCCATGCTGGTTTCAGCTTTTATTTACTGTAGCAGCGTCTTTGTGGAGCTGCAGCTGTAATGCTGTCATCAAAATAACACTAAAAGAAGCATTAACAGTAACCTAGCATAGTTAAAGCTTTACTAACTATTCTCTTTTTTTACACCGTCAACTCAGCAAACCATTTAGCTAGCATGTTTAAGTGTTGAGAAGAAAACTGGTTGTCTAAATTGCTACTACAACATCAGCATCCACAGCAGAACAAGGAAGGAAGGAATTTGTTGCTGGGCCCTGTCAAAGTAAAAGTCAAAAACAAACATGACAAATAAATAAGAACACAAAGGACTTTTAAGAGGAAGGCCAAGCATTGTATGCCTCTTCATTGTGCGGCAGTAGTGTGCAGTTTGGACAGTTTAACTTAACTAACCAGCCTAGAACAGCCTTATTTACATGAGCTATGTTTAGAGTCAGAACCAACACCAGTACCAGGGTTTGGATCATAGTGGAAACTACACTTCATAGAGTACTGTTGAGGAGTTTACCTGTTACAGAGCAGGTCTATCTCTAGGTTTCTCTCCCGCTCCATCTTGCTGTAAGCCTCACGGTGCTTCTTCGCCTCCTCCTCCAAACTCTGGTCTGCCTTCGCCTCTGCATCCTTCACCTGCTCCTCCAGCTCGTGCACCCTGGGGCGCAGACAAAGACAGTGTGAGAAAAACAGCATTACACGCAGTGAAGGCATGCAAGGTTTAACATGGTGGCAATAAATTTGGAATCTAAGTGTTTTAAAGACCTACAGAGCAACATGTGATGTAAAACAAAGAAATAAAAACAGATTGAGTTAATGTGTGTCCTACCTGTGTACCAGTTGTGTGTTTTCCTGTTTGAGTTTAGACTTGAGATCACTGTTGGCCAGACTGTCACTTTCCAGCTCTGTCACCTTCTTCTCCAGATAACTGACCTGAGGGAGACAACCAGCTTTTAACTCATCCTACCACACAAGCAGGAGCCCCCAGGAGGAAATGAACACCCGCTGTTTTGCATACTTTTGCATCTTAGACATTCCTAATGTCCGAGCCCTTTTATCACTATTACATAAACTGTCGGCTCCTCCTAACAGGAAATCAGGGAGCTGCAGCTCAATGCGCACAAGGTCAAGAGGTGCAGTAAGCTGTCAACTAGTCTCCTGCTTTTATTCCACAGGCTTTAACGTGACAGTACGTGTGTTGGGCAGTATGTCAGCATTTCCTCTCAAAGCCTGAGGAGACAAGGTCATCAGTTATTGTCCGTCTGTGCAGAGCCAGATTAAAAAGAGCAGGCAACACAACAGACACCCTATTAAAAAAATCTGTAATTAACTTATTTAATGTGTTTATATAGTCCTCCCTTAGTAAAATAATTACCCAAAACAAAGAAAACATGGAATTTAACTCATTTTAGGTTTTTACTTTGTATCAGCTCAAACATTCTTCAAGATGAACAGTCAGTATTGACCAGCAGGATTGTTGAGTCTGTTTTTCGAAGGAATTAAAGTGGTTTGGAGGCACCATACTAGGGGTGGGAATCTTTTGGCACCTCACGAATCGATTACGATTCAGCATCAGCAGATGAATTACCTCCTCTATATTTTATTAGAGAAAAAGCTTTTCTTGTTACAAATTACTTTCTATGAACAATGCAGCTTGCATTTTAACACAATATGTAAGTATGTAAAAAAAAAAAACTATACATTTTTCTTTTCTTTCTTATCTTTCTTTTCTATGTCATTAAAGAAAAAGCTGCTCTTAGTCAATTATATGAATAAGACTTCAAACACAAAATCCTCCTGTTATTGGTAATAAGTAGCATATCCCCGAGACAAAAAAATCCCTTTATGCTACACAATTTTATTGTGCAAGTATGGTCTTAAATTTTAAATTAAATTTAAGCCCTATCCGAGTTCGGTGGCAGCTGTGCCACTGCCTGCTCAATTGTCCTCTGGCTGCCATCAGGAACGGGTCGCTTTTCCCTCCCAACTCTGAGTGGTGTCGAGAAATGTGGTTTCGCAGATTGGTTGTATTTCCAAAGTATTTAATTTGACTTCTTTATGACCTTACACACAGTGTAGGTCTTGTCCATCTTCCCATCGGCCTCACAGAACCCAAAATGCTGCCATATCACAGCTTTTAAAGAAGCTGGTGCAGGCCATATAGGTTTGTCGTTCGCAGCCATTTTGTCGCCACTAAACTTTGGATGTAAACAACTCGCACGTGTTTGGTGCGCATGCGTGTTGGCGGAGAACCGGCAGGCTGAAAGGAGAGTTTTCTGTAGCACTCTGCAGCAGGCGAACAGAATGTTGCAGCACGCGAACTAATTTCATTTTTAAAATTCCGATTATTAACTTATCTACATCGAGATGGAATCGTTCTAGAGAGAATCACGATGCATCGAAGAATCAGTTATTTTTCCCACCCCTACACCATACCCACTTCTACCATTGCTAATACTTGGCAGGTAAACATGATAGGAGTGGATTTGGATTTGAAACAAGCAGACCCTAATATCTGGGCTAATAACTTCAAGTGACTTTCATACAAAATGTACAATGACTGCGCATTTTTGTGCGTTTGTACTTTCTCTGTGATGTCGAGGTCGCAGGAGTCGATGCTGTCTGTGAACAGATCCTCTGTGCTGCTGCCCTGACTGGACCCAAACACACTGTGGTTGGCCTGGAACAGCTGACTGCAGGGAGGAGAGGACACGCACAGAGAGGACGTTATTACCCATTCCACATTATGACGATCATATAGAGCATGTGCCAGCGTCTGAAACTGCTCTTCCATTACAGGACTCATTCATCACCCCGCTAAATGCTGAACCCATCACTGTGATCTGTTACAATTGACTGGCCAGCCCCCCTCTTTCTATGCAAATGAAGATTGACTGCAGTATTTTCATTTAAAAGGCTCATTAGTAGGAAGGTCAGGTCACTCACCGTCCAAATGCTGTGCTGGAAATCTTTCTATTAGGGCTGAAACAAGAGAGAAACTGAGTCACACACACACAGTAACACAGCTTTTTATTCGTTTTTTAAAAACCTAATGACACTACTACTCCTACAACAATTACTGCAACTCCAACTATGTTGTTCTTGCTATTGTTAGCACACAGTTACTTATGTTATCTCTGGTCAAAATTAAAGCATCAAAGATTAAAATGAACAACAACCACATTTTTAAACAGACCAAATCATTTCAAGTTAAGCTGTTTGACTCAGTACGACGGGCACTCACTCCTCTGCCGTGGATTTTTTTGGTCATTGTTGCTGCATTGCATCTCACACACAGAAACTTGCAACCAGCCACCCCAACACATCGGGATACGGTTGCTATAGCGACAGCTCAGGCTCGCCCTTTGATGTGGGTGCAGTGTCTGGTGCCAAGAATGAATAGGAGGGTGGGATTTGGGTGGAAGGCTTATGTGTATGTGAGCATTGTTATACTGGGGTATTAGTTCTTCTCTACCCTCTCCCCGTCATCTACCACTGTTTGGTTCCACTCATCCTTTGTGTGTGTTTATGCTCCTGTCTCCATATGGTGTGTGTGTGTGTGTGTGTGTGTGTGTGTGTGTGTGTGTGTGTGCTATACCTGTTTGCCTTGAGGTTTCGAAGACGAGCCTCCAGGTCATTGAGTAGATTCACTTTCTTGCAGCACTGAGAACAGTAGATGTCCAGCAGCTCACTGTTGTACAGCTGCCGCATCTTCTGAGGAGTCTGCCCAGCACTGCAGTTACAAAGAATACATCAATATATAATTGAAATACATATAAATATGATACAAATATTGCACTGCAATTCATTCTGCGATGCTCAAACCATTTGCCAGTGGCAATGGCATAATTCCACTGAGGCATCCATTGGCCCTTTTCACAGCCGGCACTTGGCTTACTTTGTAATGACAAAGCCTTTGGTGTTTTTGCATTGTTCCTTCCTACCATCCACAAATTGTTTGTATTTGTCTGTTAAAATGTCTGCCAAGGAAAACACCTACCAGGAAAACAAACAGTGATACTCCTGTTACTTCATGAAAAATGTGCTTCGAGATACGTGATATGTGATTCAGGGTGTGTGCTTGTAGCCCGACCACCAACCTGGAGGGAAGGGAGGACCCCAGGTCTGAGAAGCCATTTGTTCGGGTGTCATCTTCGGGGCAAGGACTGCTGGGAGTGAAATCCACATCCTCCCCCTCACCGTAGTCCTCAAACTGCTCCTCCCCGGAGATGACGGACGCAGATGCGGAGCCAATCAGGTGCCTAGGGTTGCATAGCAGGAAGTAGTGGAAGGATGGTTAATTAAAAAAAGGGAGTAGAACCATCCTCTGAGTGCTTCAATAATCAGATAACCACACTGTAATAACCTCCTCTCTTACATTTGTCATTTTCATTTGCTTTTGGGGAACAAGTGATACAGCTACACACAGACACACACACAATTTTCATCTTATCACTCCTGTCACTCATAGTGTCATTAATGGGCCCTTCCTAAATCCCACCCATTTCTGCTCTGTGCTCCAGTAAATTAGCAGTGAGTGATTAGTGTTTTTCTACGTAGCAATCTACAATCTAATCTCATCTACAGCTATGTTAGCTTGCTAATTACATCTGAAAGATAATGTTAGCAACATGTTAGCTTGCTAATTACATCTGAAAGATAATGTTAGCAACATGTTAGCTAACTAGACTGACCTGTTTTGCCGTGTTGGGTCCAGAAAGTCCGAGCTGTTGCCGTTTTCAGCGCTGCTGTCCATGTCACACTCCCCGTCAGCACCACAACCCTCACCATATGCACTGCATTCTGGGTAGGACCGCGTACACATGATGATGGGAGGGCCCAGCTTAGCCTCGCTGTTCTACAAACACAAAAGAGTGAAGTAAAAACAGCAAGATATTTTGTACATGATCCCTCCTCCTACTGTCAGTGCCGTTTTGTGTACAGGGTATTGTGTGCATCATTCCGTACAAAGACACACTTTGAGTTGTAGTTTAACTTTAAGGTACCTGGTCCGTTCTGTGAACATACTCCAGCCTAATACACAATATTTAATTTTAGAATAGAATATACTATGTCCCAGGTAAGTCAACAGTTCAGGTTTCTCTTCAGTTTGGACAATCATTAACTGTGTCTGCAGCCAACACTCACCTGAGACACTTTAGATTCAAGCACACAACTTTAGACTAAACCAAGGGTACAGTTTAAACCACAGCTCCGGAGGACACTGCAGTGGAGTTTAGTCAACACGTAAACCTTAGCTAAGGTAATGACAGAGCAAGATCTGTGTTGTGCTTTTCAGGTGTTGCCTATAGTTGACTGTAGTTGTGTATCATTTGACCTTCCATTACATATATCTTGAATAGAATTAATTCAACTGGCAGACACTTGTGATACTACAGTCGACTTCTAGGATTTGACCCGGAGATGGCCTTCTGGGTTGGTTTGGTGGGGTGTAGCATGCCCCAGATCTGTCTAATTCATTATGCATGTGACTGTCTGGCTACACCCTGTCTCTCACTCACACACACACACACACATTTTCATCTGCAATGACAAAACATGAGATTTCCTCCCTGTTTTTACTTAACACTTTGGTTTGTGTGGTTTTTTTTTGTTTAGACAGACACACACTTTCACATAGTCCAGCAGACATGGTATGGTGTCTGAGGGAGTGCTGCATAGGTTTCATTCATCAATTATACACATGTTTTTGTCTGAGATGAAGAGGAGATTTCGATCTATGACAAAGAGAATAGTAAATGAGGAATTTAAAATAAGTTGAAAGCCATTTCTCCCAGGGATGTGTGCTCTAATGCTGACTTTAGACTGAAACTCATCTGAAGCAGGTGAAGTATAGAGTAAATTAAGTCCACAGAATTGTGGATTGTGCAGATTTCACAGGCAGCGTAGGCACACTCAGAACTGCTAAAATAACATGCCAAAAGGAATCCAACAGCGTCAGATCCCATGCTTTACAACAACTCGAGGCCATATGGTGAATACTGACTACATAGAAGCTGATGAATGTTAGTTTGGATTGCAAATGCTTAACTGAGAAGCTAACATCATTCTCTAGGGAACCAACAACCATCAGCCTGCAGGGCATTCACCACCCAATTATAATACTGCTCATTCTGCCTACCTGGGACTGGTGGAATTCTTTTTGTTAGGACAGACAGCTTCTGACGAAACTCCACCCAACTTCCCCCTCCACAAAGACTAACACCAAACTGTGTGTGCCAATAAGAATGATGAATGTGGAAGCTGTCCCACCCCAACAGGTGCAACATAGCTAAGAGCAGAGTGAGGGGGATGTCAATCAATCACGATCAAGTCCTTAGAAGAAGTCTAAGTAGCCAAACTGAGTGGAAACACCTGTGTGGGTGGACCATGAGTGTACCGGAGCTTTAGCAGTTTTATCGCAGAAATTTTTAGTTTTACTTTTTATATCATAATAAAACCAAGAAATCTCTCAACACACACACCTTACCAATCAAGCGCACATGCCGCGTGTCTTCTCTCCAGCCCCAAGCCACCAGTCACACCATTGTGTGTGTGTAAATGTGTGAGTGTGTCATCCAAATAAACATATCCTTTATCGTGGAGGTAGGACCAAAATCCAGTATACTCCTGAAGCTTGAAGGCTCAGTGTGCTGAAAGCTTGAACACAAGTATCCCTGGCACGTATACTCACTCATTCTCTCACACACACTGGAGCTCAGTCATTCATGTTTGAAAACACACTGATGCTTCAGCCGAGACAAAGCCACACCTCCATCTCTCTCTCGCTCCCTCTCTCTCTCTCCCTCCCTCTCCCTCTTGTTGCTAAGCAACTGCTCAGTTAGGCCAATCTCTAGTGGGGGACTTAAGCAGTTATACTCTGCAACATACAGTACACACAGTAATGTGATGAATTGCATATTCATAGAAAATAATAATATATATATATATATATATATAAAAGATAATGTTGGGAATGACAAGTTAACGCAAAGATTTAAAATAAGAAGATAGTACGTCAAACTTGACTGTTGATTATTATTTATTTACTAACAGGACAGCTCTACGTAACCTACGCTCCTCCAGGGAAAAAATTTAGAGTCAGGAATTATACAACGTAAAAATACTAACTCTCTGCCAGGGCGAGGGACATCTGGAATACCATGCTTAGCCTGAAATGGATGGATGGATGAAACATTATGACACCTTTTAAAGAGGGACAGTTCTCCCCAAAATCAAAAAGAAACACCAGCTGTAGTGCTATTTATCCATCTAGACTGTTTTGCTGTGGAGTTGCTGAGAGAGGTCTGCCTTCTCTCTAATATAACAGAACCAGATGGCACTCGGTTTGTGTGTGGCATGCTCAAAACACCCATAAAAACACATTTGAAAAAACTCAACAGTAATGTCTCTTACAGGAATCACGACCCAGTTACTCACGATAATCCACAGAGCTTGTTGTGAGCAGTTTTATGTTGGAGCTATTGTCTACCCATCTACCACACAGAAGGAAACATGCATTTTTGAGCTTGCAACTCATTAGCCATTAATGTTTAGCATCCTGCACTGACACGAGCGCCTCGTCCATGAGTGGCGATGACAGCTTAGCCCCACCTGCGAGGATGGCCCATGCTAAAAATGTACTGATGTGTGACCCAACTATGTTCTTATTGAGCATATATCCACCTTAAGTCAGAAAATAGGCTCAAAGTTTCACCATCAGAGTGTAAAAGATAGTACCTGGTAAATGTAACCATTGTCAGTAACAGACGGCTGGTTGGAGGTAACACTGCGAGGACCCACAGCCATCTTCAGTATCTCCTCACACCCTGGAAGGAAGGAAGGAAGGAAGGAAGGAAGGAAGGAAGGAAGGAAGAACAGAAAGATAGAAAGATGAGGGGGACAAGTAAGCTACAAAAAGGCCTTCTGTTGTGGTTAAAGGTGAGGCAGCTTAGCTTAGCTTAGCATAAAGACTGAAAGCGGGAAAACAGTGAGCATGGATCTGTCCAAAGATAACAAGATTCCCCTACAGCACCTCTAAAGCTTACTACACATCTTATTAGGGAGAGGAAGGTTATACATTTAGCTAAAGCTCCACTATACCTCTTTGGCACATCATTTACATCGACTGTACGTTTCTTACCTTTGATGGCGAAGACTCCATGGCAAAAGTCTTTGAAGTTGATTTTCCCATGAGCGTTAGGATCCAGGTACCTGGTCAACTTCTTCACCTGTGAGAGACAAGAGGTCTGTCAGATTACAAATCACCAAATTTGCCTCAGCTCTTTGCAATATATGGACACAATACGTCACCCTATCCCAAGTCAGTCAGTCATATGTTTTTTATTGACATACAAGTGAATCACTCTAAAAATCACACTCAATATAAAGAGACACTGTCTCTATGAATTGTGAGTTCTCATTTAGAGAGCAAATGGGAAGGGATTAAAAAGTCATCTCAGACAGATGTGCTGAAGGTCAAACACAGTCTTTAGTGTTGCCTTACTAACATCTATGCATCAGGGAAAATAGGTTTGATTTTATTTAACAGGTTTTAAAATGTGAGAGAAGAGGAGAAGCAGCAGAGAGAAGCATAAAAATAAACATCACAGATGGGGGTAAAGATGGAAGGAGGCATGGAGGTGTGAAAAAAGGAATGAACAGAGGGAGAGAAAAAAGAAGTGAGTGAACCATGCATGTCAGTCAACAGGTTTAACTTGCACACTGATAACTGATAACTGTGAATAGCAAACTGAATACTGAATACTGGTTACATGTACACACAGCAAACATCTACTACATTTGATAACTATCATAAATCAGCATTCGATTGTTTTGGCCACTTGGTGGCAGCACCAGCTGTGAACACGTCAATGACTTTATAAGATCAAACAGAATATACCACATATAGCTGAGGGGATGTGATGAGTCAGGCGATAATAGGGTATGTAACTATGAGCAACATCCTTCATTACAAATAACAAACTACTATTTACCAGGTCAATAATGAACTTTCATGCTCATCTAGAGTTTTAGATCATTCTGAAACTAACAATTATTTTCATTATTCATTAATCTGTCCATCAATTTCTTGATTAACTGATTAGTTGTTTGGTCCATAAAATGTCAGAAAATTGTGAAAAATGTTGATCTCTGTTCCCAAAAGTCCAAGGTGATGTCCTGAAATATCATGTCCATAACCCAAAATATTCTGTTTACCAGAGAATTTGGATATTTTATCTTAAAAAATTACTCTAAAAACGACAAAAAGGACTATTGTTTCCTGTTGTTGTCGCCACACGGTAACTGCTGCATCTAAAATAAAGATTTCCAGCATGCCTCGTCTGAATGGGTTTTTTTGTGTAGGTGACATCAACTCACTGTTGGTACTGTTTCCACTGTTGATATTCAGTTTGTGTCAAACTGTAAAAATGTATTTGCCTACATGACTGCACTGCTGACTAGGCCATTCAGCCTCTCCAGCTTATTTCTGCCCCTTCATTAACTACTCTTCATCTCCGTTGGATGAAATAACTCTACAGTCACATCAGAAGATTATGGCTCTGACAGTCATCGTCAGAGTGAGTAGTGAATACACACACAGGCTTTGATGTTGAAATTAGCTTTGATGGGGTTTCTGACTCCGGATAAATTAATCCAAATAACCCATTGAGAGCATAGAGATAGTGTGGAACTACACCGGCATCTACAGAACCACATGCTGTCTGACAAATGTTATCTCACACACACACACACACACACACACACACACACACACACACCCCCCCCCCCCCCCCCCCCCCCCCCCCCCCCCCCCCCCCCCCCCCCCCCCCCCCCCCCCCCCCCCCCCCCCCACGAGCTCAATGTCACATCATCACACAGGCTTAAATGCAAATGTCAACATGCTGTGCCTAAAGCTAACGCCGCTGTGTCATCCATTTAACATCAAACATCTACAGATTCTTTAATGTCACACAGGCAGAATCCAGAGTCAACTAATCTCTCATTACAACATCATCATACATCTGAAGCTCTTAGAGTTTGCGCTTTGTATCGCTATCTGTAATTCTTAAAAGACTGGCATTTGTATATGAATGCAAATAAAACCAGAGACATTTTTATTATGATGTATTAAAATGATCTAAGCTAATGATCTAAAAGATCTACAGCCACCTGGTACAATAATTAAAGGATGTCCCACAATGTAACAATGTAACCAAATGCATGTGTATGATATAACTAACAAAGTCCATTTTAGACGTGTCTGCATTCCACACTACAGCTTTCCTTGAATGGTTTCCTATATTATTTGATCATTTGTATAATGTTAGTGAAGAGAGGAGTGCCAGTGGATCACAAATAACTGTGGTCACAAGATGTTCAGGCTGGACTGGGACAGCCGCTCTTCAACTCAAACAACAATGGAATACTGAATACAGTTCCAATACAGTTTTCAGCCAACAGCAGCACTTTGGAGACAAGTCCACTTGAAAATGTCATTGACTGTAAGCAATATCCCACTTGGCACTTACTAACACTTAGATATCCTTAATGTAGGGCTGCATCTAATGATTATTTTCAGTCCAGAGCAGTTCAGCTGAGATTAGAGGATTTGTTCACAGCCAAAAACGTACATTATATTCAAATAAGTCTGTAATAGGAAACAATAGTCATGGCTATGGCCAGGGATTTAACTGTTTTTGATTATTTTATTACAACATATGACCACACCACACATCAGTGGTAGACTTTTCAATTAACTGTAACTTGAAATACAACTGTATTACTACACAATGATGAGGTCATTTTGGCAAAAGGAAAACAATATATATTCACTGTGATGGACTGCTTAGCTCAAGCAAATTTCAAACACCTGCAAGCACTTCTCTGTAGCACACTGCAATGAACGGAAACCTGAGCCTGAAAGTACAATAATGTTACATACTTTGGAAATTGTTGTGAGGTAATAATATAAAGGAGTAATATTTTAATAAAGGAAAACACAAATTGTAGGGCTAAAATAAGCAAACATGGTTTGGTCTTTTGAGGAAAAGGAGACCCAAATGATGTTTTAGTTAAACTAATGTTTTAAATAATACTGAAAAAAACTGAAATAGCAAACATTGTATACAATCCATTATATAAGCGCTTTGATAAATATTGCATTTATACTGTAATAATCCCTAGTGTGTATGTGTACATGCGTGCAGTATAGGAACAGCAATGGGGCCGTAAGATAAACATGAGGAATAGAGATGTTATTTAATACTCTGTGTACCAAACTGGCGCTTGCTTCAGGGAACTCATCACCATAGAAACGGATGTTTCTGCATGTGTCACTGGAAAGAAGAATGTTTTCCAAATGAAACAACTGTAAATACAGGACTGGTGCAGTGAGCACCAGCTCATAGGCTGTTTTCAGCAGCTAGGCGGATCATTTCATTACTTAATACCCAACCAATCCGCTCTTAGACTCCCCGTGAAGCTCTCGTAGCCATGGTGACAAAGAACACAGAGATGAGAGGAGCCGCGAGAGGGGAGGAGGAAGACGAAGAAGTAGCTTCCTCTTAGTACGATGGAGTTATTTTTAGTGATGTGTTCAGGGTGCTCGGCCGCCATGACAGCTTAAAGACAAATCTACTCTCACTGTGAGATATCATTTATCTGTGACGCTCAGCGGATCCAGGATTTAACCTGCCTCTTCTACCACTTATTCCCCATTTCTCTACTGGGTTCTATTTCTGCTTTTTCCTAGCTCATGTTTTATACAACAGTCTCCAAATAACATGGCATGAACAAACATTAGTTATTCTAACAGGAACAATAACAGAACTGGGAGTCTACTTTAATGTGAAGGAGGCTGGTCTATCCATCACCTGAAACCATTACTTTGTTGTGTAATGCATGTTTTAACACATGAACACAAATTGTGCGACACATATAAAATTGTGCACAATTTCCCATAATTACCACACTTTAAGATTAATTCCCAATTGTTCCACTGGTTATATTTTTTCAGCTGGGTATGAAAAGATCTGAAAAATTTGGACAGCTTTATTACATTTTTGTGTGTTAATGCAATTGCAAGGCAGGACCATATTAAAAACTCTTTTTGGTGGTGCAGATATGGATGATTCCCACTATTTTAGATTTGGCTGACAAACAGCCACGCATTCCTAAAACCTCAGTGTTTGCAGATACATACGCTTGGCTGTCAGAGCTAATGTAAACACACACCGACAGGCAAAAAGAGCAGAACAAGCAGACAAAAGAGTTTTCATTTTACAATATTGGCATGTTCACACACTCCCTCTTGCATATTTCCAACACACACACACACACACACACACACACACACACACACACACACACACACACACACACACACACACAAACAAACAAACAAACACTGTGGATCAGACCAAGTTTAATCCTCCATATGTATCCACATTCCATTACAAAGAGACTTCCACACTGTAAACAATCCATGGACTGGAACAGAAAGATAAACTGGGCAGAGACACTGCGCAGTAATGTTTGGATGCAGCTCCAAACACACCAGCCAGCTACAACTTTTAGACTAATGAGGATAGATACAGTGTTTGGCTGCAAATCTTAAGATATGATAATGTAAGAGAACAGAGGGGTGGAGAGGTACCACAGAGAGAGAGCCCCAGGCACTGTTGTTGGGTGCTGATCTTGGGACTGGCAGAGCCCTCTCCATGGTACTGAAGCTAAGGCTGGCATTGGCTACCACGTCAGACACTTACACACCTGGAGTCCCTTTGGAGCTAAACTGGGCACTGAACATCTGTTCAATATGAACCCGTTCCCAACTGCGTGCTTAACTGTAATGACACTATAATGACCCCAGGTTCAGTACCACAGTGGGATTTGTGCTGCTGGTGCGGAAGCTCACAGAATGATGTGAATCCAATCAAAAGGTGATCAGATCAACATGGAAATACAGCAAGATAGTTTTGCTTGCTGCACCTGCATGAGTGGCACTGATATGAACACGGAGCACTGCACATCCTGAAGACAGACATTTAAAGTTCCCCAAACAGGGGTTGGGAGCCCCACAAAGAGGCTGCCAGATAAATCTAAGGGTGTCATAAGATGACGTCTCAGGTAAGAAAAACTAATTCTGCCACATTGTTTCTTTGGAGAAATATTGAGTAGTCAGAAAGTGGCTTTTACCTCTTAGGGCCTCTAAAGGGAAAATCACTTTTGGACTAAACTGTTCATAAATTACAAACGTGCAACTTGGAACAACAGGATACTACTGCCCTAAGTGAAGATGTCCTAGGGCTACACAGGTTTCAGCAGTGTTCGTTTCTACAAGTAAATTCCAGTATTATATTGCTGCAGTGGCTCAGAAATCAGAAGTCTCTTTCCCTCATTGCATGTGATCTGATCTAACTGTAATGAGCCAATTACAGCTCTGATAAATGCCTCCCTGTTGGTCTAAAAACGTGCCAACCGCAGCGCTTCACATTCTGCTTCGTTTTTGTGAGATTTTCACTAACTTTATCTCAATATTGATATCATGACATAGTATATTTTTTTGAAAATCCATTAAGGAACTGTTTATTGGTAATATAACCAGACAGGAATGTTTGTTTGCAGTTAATCAAGTGAATGAAATACCTGACAAACTAGAATATTACAAAAATCTAACATTGCCATTAAAATGTTCAATGTGTAACATTTAAGAAGACCTATGGGCAGAAATGGAATATAATATTCCTAGGTATGTTTTCATTAGTGTATAATCACCTGAATATAAGAATTGTTGTGTTTTCGTTACCTTATAATGAGATCTTTTTATCTACAGAGGGAGTGGGTCCTCTTCTATGGAGTCCGCCATTTTGAACTGCCAAGTTTCTACAGTAGCTCGGAACGACCAAACCAAACACTGGCTCCAAATGGGGCCTTTTGTGTATTCTGCAATTTTTGCCTCCACCCTAGTTTCTCCTTCACACTTCACAGCTCGTTCTCATTCCCAAATACTGACATGAACAGTGTCTAGTTGGTTGCAATCTGCCACTTCACCTTTAAAACTCACTAAATCCTTCACACAGGCCCTTTCATAAAAAAGCCATCTAAAACAACATGTTACTGGTTAAGATAAACTTGTGCATTAGATTCTAAGATGCATGGAATAATGGAAGTATACATTACTTTTATTTGTGTTGATATATGCATTATATATCAGCAAAAAATATATATTATTATTATTATATTTATAAAATAAAATAACCACTACTTTAAACCATCAGTACAAGCCACAGTTATGTATGTAATATGTAATATCAATAGAGGAAATTAGTATCTAGTTATTTTTCCAAAACTCATTCTAAATATTTTTTATAGTTAAGCATGTTGGTCAACTGTTAACCCCCATACTTCATCTGGCTGGTTCATGTGATAGTAAGCTGGAAGCTATTTTAATAACACGGAGAACAGTAATGCTTCTGACACATTAAGAGAGAGAGACAACCATGACAGCTCGGTTCCAGACCCCTGTGTTATCTGTAGCAGCACACCAGTGCTACCGGCTAATGTCCAGGTAATGAGTCGCTAAATGCTAGCACCTCCAGCACACCTGTGACATTTAAAACGTAGGACAGGTTGTCTGTCGCCGTCAGGAGCTCTCTATCAGCCGCCACTTGTTACTAAATATCCTTTGGGCGACCACGGCTTGTTACATACACAATACGCATGTAAAGGAGCTAATGTCTGTCTATAGTTGACATTCCCGCCCCACAGCCTCTCACCTCGTCTCCTTGACCGAACTGAAGACCGAGGTCCACCAAGTGCTCCACCCGGATGAAGCCGTCAGCATCCTCGTCACACACGTCGAAAACCTCCTTGAGCCTCCTCAGAAACAGCAAGAGCTGCTCTTGGTCGGGGAAAACATGTCCTTCCATTGTAGAGCTGGCTCCGTCGGCGGGAGATGTGTTTTTTTCCCAAACGAATTGACTGTTAAAGAATCGCGTTGATGGTCGCCATCGTCGTTCCCGTCCTCCTCAGCTCCGCCGGACCGACTGGCGCTGCTGCCGCCGCTGCTGTGACATAAGCGGATCGCTTGTTCAAGAGGCGCGAGTTACGGAAAAGGGCGATGATTTACGAGTTGGGCACGAGGCACTGCGTCACAAGCCAGCTGCTAATTAATAATCCAGGTGTGTTACCACCCGCCCCGTGCACCCCACCAAAATAAAATGGGATACTGAGCAGCTGCCTCCATGACCTAAAATGCCCTTTCAGATGCTCGTTAAAGCTGTCTCTCCACTCCAGCTCCTCTGAAAACCGTGTCATGAAATAAACGTGTCAAATGTATGGAAGCTGATTAATGCCAAAAAAAATCAAATAGATTAAATGCTAGGAATGACAGCAATACAAATACTTCTGGTAGGTTATAAGATAAAGAGATGACTTAAAGTGATAGTAGGTAACTTCTGGGAAAGAAACTTATTTATATAAATAAAAAGTTGCATTCATATAAAACATCTTTAAAAAGGCCACCATATTATCTAATACACGATTGGAAGGCGAGTGGTATTGAGTTTGTTGCAATCTGCAACTTTACCGCTGAATGCCACTAAAACCATAGATACCAATCCTTTCAGTATCCTCTCTACACTAGCTACACTAACATTTAACAATATCCCATAAATTTTACTCAATCATTCCCTGCAAGTGTAAAACTCTAAAGTATGTTTATTTCTTGTAAACTAACTGTAAAAAAAATACAATTACCACATACTGTAGATGAGTAATGCATGGTATACAATTGACCTCATAATTTTGACTCACTATCTCAAACTTAGTATCAGTTTTGACTCATAAAATTAAAAATGTAACTTACCAAGGAATTAAAATATATAACTTCTACCTAATATAACTATTTTCTATTTCTTGCATTCTCAGTATTTCAACCATTTTTTTCTTTTCCTGACAGAAATGGGCTTCTATACAATATAACATTTCCACATTGGAATATACAACAGACATCCACCCAATAGATTCAATGTTTTATTAGAAAAACTGTTTATACAAGGCTGATATCCACAGTCACATTACTGTACAAAACATAAAACCATTATGTCCCAGTTCTGGAAACTGGAATCATTCATTTCACTTTCATATTAAAAAACAGCATTTCATATCTAACCAAATTTAAATTGAAACAATTCTAAAATTTTTCAATATTGACACATGTACTCTGCTATGCAGTGGCTCTTCTGTGCAAAGAGATGACTTACTTAGAAGCAGAGAGGAGAATATAATCAATCATAATCATATCCCTTAGCTGTCATATGCAATATAAAGACTCACAGTTTAACGCTGGAGCACAATTCAAAGGATCCTGAAATAAAATAGAGAAAAGGGAAATCCATCTTGTCAAACAGGGGGCATGTTCAAAGTCCCTGTTTGAACAAATTTAAATGATCAGCCGTGGTTCCAGCAGGGATTCCCACCGTTCTGTCACCTGTGGCAGGAAAGTGAAGATGTTACCTCAACTGTGATTAGATTACAACCGGGTCAGTATGGATATTACAGGAAACTGTACCGCAAACAGCACCCAAATGACAACAACTGCTACTTTCTGCATATGCGGCCGTTTTTGTCCCCTACTTTCTCCTGTTTGGATGAGTAATTGAAAAGAGGGGATCACTGGGTGAATGCGCTCACTATAAGTACAGTGAAGGGGGCTAAAACCTGGGCTCAAAGACAAAACAAAGGCTTTGGCTTTAACTGCTTCTGCTGACTGCCAGCATCACTGTAAGGGTTTATCTACTGCCAATCGTACAGACAGGGACCCCAACAATTCAGCCTCAGTTATTGTTTAATAAGCTTTATTGATACATCTTTAATAGTCTTTAATTGTTTACTTGTACATATGATGATGAAAGCGAATGAGTTGTTTTTGTTGGTGTGAGTGTGAGAGGTCTAATTTTGTTTTAATTTAAGGGTGTTTCCAGTTACCATGTAGTTCGTGGAATCATCATTTACTTTTCATACCGTGGTCTGGGTGAATACCGGATTCTGACTGGCTGCCGGGTGTCTATTAATTCCTGTTTAGGACACCTACTAAGTAGTTCCAGTGAAGCTGTCTGTTTGCCGTTCTAAATGAATGCACTGCAAAATCTGAATCTGAACATCTTGATAATGATTTGGGGACAGTAACATGGGTAGAGGCTAGCTAGTCTTGCTGTGAGACACTGTCAAACTATGTTTACCATTATCATAGCTGAGGTTGAACGAGCCTCTCGTCAATGAGTAGATGCATGCTTCCTGCAAGAAAATAGATCCTACATAAACTGCTCACAACAAGGTCTGTGTATTAAGTATTAAGTAACCGGGTCATGATTTCTCAAAAGACACATTGCTGCTGAGTTTTTCAAATGCATTTTGAAAAGTGCCATCTGGTTCTATTATATTGGAAAGAAAGCATTTCTACGGCCGATATCCCCCAAACTCAGCAACTCACACCAAAACAATCTAGATAGATAAATAGCACTACAGGTAAGAGGTATTTTTGATTTTGAGGTGAAGTGTCCCTTTGTATATTTGATCTTTGGACAGAGACAGGCAGGTGTTTCCCCCTGCTTTTAGTCTTAATGCTAAGCTAGGCTAACCACATCCTGACTTAAGCGCCATACTTTAAGGACCAGTGTGTAGGATTTAGTGGCATCTAGAAGTGAAGTTGCAGATTGCATCTCAACTACACCTTTAAGAAGTGCCATTTATGAGATTATTAATAAAATAGTAGCTACAGTACTGCGTGTGCTAAGGCTTACCCGAGAGCTTCTGGACACTGCATACTCCACTCTCTCGGAGCCATCCGGGTTCTGATAGACCAAGTCAAACTTGCCAGGCTCTACAGGAGCTGAGGGAGAAGCAGCAGGTTATGGGTGATCACAAATGTGTGGAACATGTTTTCAAATACTTTAAAATCTGCTCTGTTCATTTTGAGAAAATTACATTTAAACACTCAATCATTTCTGCTCAGAAAGTGTCAAATTCCCACGAGTGGAGTCTCCTTAACCTATAATAACCATAATACTGTATATATCCATGGTAGTCTAACAATGTTATTTCATGATTTCCACCACCTTTTTTGCTGAATGATTAGCTTCCATCAAAGATTTGGAAGAAAACCAACCTTCTGCATCATCTTGGAACCAGGTATTTTAAAATCGGATTCACATATTATGTGTCAGTGGTGAAATGGTCCTTACCTTGAAAGGCATTATGGACCTCCAGCTCAATCTGTTTGGTTGTGGGATCAAAGCTCACAATCTTTCCCTCCTAAAACATACAGCAACATGGTTAGTCAGTAGTGCGCTGAATAGTATCCAGTATAAATGAATGTATATATAGTCAAAGCTGTGGCAAACATTAGATTAGATTACTGCAGCAGAAATGATTACACTCACCTTATATTCTGATACCTCTGGTGTATAGTTCTCAGTTAGCTCCAGCAACTGTCAACACACACACACACACACACACACACACACACACACACACACACACACACACACAGTTCAGTCTCTTACTTTGCAAAGCATTGTGTTCTGAATGATTGAATGCTACTGGTTTTGCTTTATTGGTGGCAGATATATTAATGATAATATAACAACAATCATAAATATAGCTGATTACTGCCTGTGAAATAATAATTACCTTAGATGTAAAAAAATAATTCCCCTTAAAACAGCATTAAAAGCTGTAATTAGGGCTGCAACTGACGATTATTTTCAGCCTTGATTAAAATCTGTTCACATCAGAAAGTGGCACAGTCAAATTCATCCGCATGTCTTCATAACATATTTGTCCCTTGAAACTTGGAAGCATGGGGACTGCCAGCTGGTGAGCTGGATGCTAATACGCTAGCCACCTGGGAACATGCTCGTGCTAGTCAGTCACAACAGCTCTCTGGGCTTCTGTCTATTTTCTCTGCACTGCACCACCATCAACTCTCTCCTGGCACTCTGTTCTCAGGACATAATATCAAATAGTTATTGAAGAGGGGGAGCGAGCGAGCTTGCTATGTGTTAGCTTGTTAATGGGACATTAAGCTAACGCGCTTAGTGTTGAAATCTTTGAAAAATGCCCTTTTTTCTTTGCATACATATCTGGAGAAGATTTTTAAACTACTACAGTATGATTGTATTGGGTGTTTCTGTGTAAAATGTGAGTGTAAAACCAGGCTCCTGTGTCTGTTTCTCAGTTGTATATTAAGGGTGTTGCTCACTGGTTGTACGTTTCTGTCCTTACACATCTTTATGATCGAATGGAGCTTCTCCAGGACTCTTTGTGAGAAACAGAGTGGATTGATGAGCGGATTTCACCGTTTTTGTTCCAAACAGTGGAAGCAGGGCTACAAAGCTAAACAGGTTAACAAGTAGGTCTGCAGTGTCAGTAACAGAGCACACACACTGGAGCTAATGAGACTAGACTAAGCTTACCTTGAAGGCAATCTTCTGCCCCACCTGTGGAGGGGCGGCTAGCAGGGGCATAGAGCTGTAGTCCTGTTTGGGAGCACTTTCTGCTCCGTTCTGCACACAGAGACACACACAAGAACACAAGAGATTATTAAGGCCTTTTCATCCACAGTATTTCATAATGGACACATAACACAATGGCCATGTTTACAGTGACACATGCAGACAGACCTGGAGGACCACTGACAGGTTGGTTATTGAATCAGTCTGGTAGGACGGCTCCATGGCTCCATTATAGCTGAACTCAAAGCTGCCATTGTGCCCTCTGGTGCCCCCTCTACCTTCGCCCCTTCCCCTCTCTCCAGGGCCACCACGAATTGGTTGTGCCCGGCCGCTGCCTCTCCAAGACGACTGACTACTACCCCCACCACGGACCAGCTGCTGCATCGGCCGTCGGATGACCAGCTCGATCTCCTCCTCGCTGCTTGAGGTACAAGGCTCCGCGGTTTTGCCAAGAGGAGGCGCCGTTGCGCTCGCAGCCTGTTTCTGTGCACAGTTTGTGGACTGCAGGGCGGCAGGAGCCTGCTGACATTTTGAGTTTTCACTTATTCTCCCTTTAGAGGTTGTGGAGGTTAACGGTTTGCTTTTTGGCGGGCTTTTCACACGGGTGGCTTCATCGGAGGAAGAGTCGGTTGCTGAGGAGGAGGACGAAGGAGGGTGAGGTTTGGTCTGGGTGGGCTTGGCGGCCAGAAGTGTCTTGGAAGCAGCAGGGGCGGTGGGTGTTTTGGGTGCAGGTTTTTGGACTGGTGGTTTTTTTGGAGCTTCATCCTCTTTGCTACTGCTGCTACTGGAATCTGAAGAGGAGACATTCTGTGTTTTTGCTTGTGCCACTGGGGGCTTCTTGGTGCTTTTCGGCGGCTGCCCTACCTTAGCTGGGGTTTTTTTGGTAGAGGCAGCCGGTTTGGGGGTGACAGTAAGGCCATTTTCCTCTGCCTTCTTTTTTTTCTTCTTCTCTTTCCGCTTTCCTTGTGACTTCTTATTCTTCTCATCACCTGAAGCCTGTTTGGCATCCCTCTCCAGGCTCTCCTCGCTCCCTTTTTTCCTCTTTTTTTTCTTCCATTCTACGCTCGCTCCATTTTCTCCTGGCCCGTCCTCCCCTGCCGGTCTCTGTCTCTTCCTGCAGTTTTGGCTTGCTGTATCTGGACGGCTGCTGTGTCCGTTCACCTGAGACAGACAGTCCACCTTCACCCTGGCCAATCAAAAATGAAGATAGATGAACAACTCCGGAGCATTTGGAAACACACATTTAAAGGAAGAGTCAAGCATTTTTTAGAAATATACTTATTTGTCACGTTGCCCAGAGGCAGCTTTAAGTCCCACTACAGCTCACTACAAACCAAAGAAAACTCCATTTACTGATGAAGGAAAAGAAGTTAAAGCCCTCCAGGGTTCCTCCCACCGCCTTGCATGTGAATGTACTCTCAAAGTTCACATTAAATACAGTGAACACATCAGTAGTCTGTACATGGCAGTTCGGGTTAAGGAAAACAAGCAGAGGTGCCATTTCAAACAGCAAAGACCAAATATTTAAAGATTCAGAGTCTGTTTAATGACTTTTGGTGTCAAAGATCCCCAAATTGATATAAATGAGGCGTGGACCCTGTCTGCTTGTGGCAGCAATGACAATGACAAGAAAACGAACACTCAAAATAAGCCCATTAAGTACATATGATTGTTAAAAACAACACACAAATACTGACAGAACTGTATCCAAGTTTCCCTAAAAAGCATCAGGAAAACTCATCTGTGACGCAATCGTCACAGGAAATGATCTGATTGTCCAACTGTTGTTACTGTACAGTTTATCAGTTGTTTTGTACTGTTATTGTTATGCATTGAATAGAATGGGAAATATCCATACAATATGTCACTCAGTCACTGATACAAAGGGGGTCCCTGAAGGTAAAAGGTTGGGAACCACTGCTCTAGGTCAAAAAACATGAGCTCATATTATAATTTAGTGGTTTTCTGAGACAACAAAACAACTGACAATACAGCAGGGGCTTTGTCTTTATCTTTAGTTTGAAGGATGAGGAGGACAGAGACTCACTGAACTCCATGCTTGTCCTATCTGGGGCCCCTAAAACCCTCACCTGCCTGCTAGAGCTGACCCTAGAGCTGACCCGAGAGCCGACCCTAGAGCTGACCCTAGAGCCTGGCTACCAGAGCCGACCCAGAGCCGACCCAGAGCCGACCGAGCCGACCCGAGAGCCGACCCGAGCACCCTAGAGCCGACCCGAGAGCCGACCCGAGCCGACCAGACCGACCCTAGAGCCGACCCTAGACCGACCCTAGAGCTGACCCTAGAGCTGACCTGAGGCGACCCTAGAGCTGACCCTAGAGCTGACCTGAGAGCTGACCTGAGAGCTGACCCTAGAGCTGACCCTAGAGCTGACCCTAGAGCTGACCCGAGAGCCGACCCTAGACTGACCCTAGAGCCGACCCGAGAGCCGACCCGAGCCGACCTAAGCCGACCTAGAGCCGACCCTAGAGCTGACCCTAGAGCTGACCCTAGAGCTGACCTGAGAGCTGACCCTAGAGCTGACCCGAGAGCTGACCTGAGAGCTGACCCTAGAGCTGACCCGAGAGCTGACCCTAGAGCTGACCCGAGAGCTGACCCGAGAGCTGACCCTAGAGCTGCTACCCATGAAACCATCAGAGTGCAGCGCGCGCAGGTGGCAGGTTACGACAACTAGCAAAAACAAAGAGCACGCGCACCTGACGCTGTCGTTATCCCGCACCACGAAGACGCTCTCTGTGTGCGGGAGGTAGCAGTCCTCTATGAAGAGGTTGAGGATGCTCCTGCGGCTGAACTCAAACTTTTCTCTGATGATACTCTCCAGGTCCCCCACCACGCGACACGTGTTCAGGTCCACGAGCAGCCAGCACATGCGGCAGTCAACCACAGCCGGCGGCGGGTAGTCAAAGTGTAAGCGCACGCGGATGAAGTTAGTACTGTGAGCAGCCATGACGGCTAGCCTCCACACCGAAGCTCGAGCCAAAACACACAGCTCGTGTTCCGCCGGCAACAGGAATAGTACTTCCGATCGGGGTTTTCAGAATAAGAGCGTAGACTCTGAGCTAATGGCAGTTCATTAGGGTCTTAATGGATTTAACACCAACTTAACTTAACTTAATGGCTTTTTTTTGTTATTCTAAAAGTCGTTTTTGTCTTTAAGTAATCTTTAAAAAAAAATAATAATCCATACATTTATAAGCGGTTCATGGTTTTAATAACTATTTAAATGTAACACCCATTTTGTCCTTTCTGGCTTTTATTTTCAAGGGCCAACGTTTAACCGGAAGTGTAGGTCACTAGTGATTTGGGCCAACTCTTTTACAACCCTGCCCTCTGTTGGCGTGGAGGCAGTTATTACAAGTTAATACAGATGTGAATCACTTTCCACAGAGCCAGCTTCTTCTCTCGGACAGATTGGGGGAAAGAAGGAGCAAAGACTAATACAACAACATGTTGACTGCAATGATTTAAGAAAATAGTTTTTAATTAGAATGACTTCAATAGTTAATGTCTTTGTAGCCAGCTTGAGGAGAAATTCCAGACTGTCAAGTTGGAGCTGCCACCAACAAAAAATATAATATAATATAAGGTAAACAAGCAGGGTTTTCCCCCTCTCCCTTAAAATGATGGTTTATAAAAATATTTATTAAAATAAGTGGAAATGAACCCACTGAACTGGAAGATTTTTTTTTAACTTTAACTATTTGTGTTTACAATCAAAATGCCTCTTACTTTGGTAACAAAATTAGGACCCAAATATGGTGACATGTGATGATGACGTTTTTATATCAAGCAATTCCCATCACTAGGGATAATAGGTGCCCGTTAGCTCATATTTATCTCAGGGACCCCGAGCAGGTTAGTCCAGCCATGTATTGGCAAAAAGTTAGTTTAAATCCACACTTTATTATTTTGTTTAAATTCATCTTTTGTATTATATATTTTAGCTGGATGGAAGCTCTATGGAAGCCCAATTCCGCCAATGTGTTTTTTGGAATTTGTGTCTAGTCTATTATATTTATATATACATATATATATATATAGAATAAGTCTATATTTTGAGAAAGTTTCTCATTAGAATCACATAAAGAATCCCTTTTATGGTCACAATGGCGGAAATGGACTACCATAGGTTTCCCCCTTTCATTACACATTGTAAAGTAAAATGTTAAACAGTGAACTATGGAAAAACAAAACACGACACCAGTCAGCTGACCCCGAGTGCGGTCATGTGATTTCTCACAGCAATAAAGCGCTGCGGATCAGAGCCGTCCGTAGACTCACGCTTCAACAATGGGCCGGGTAGCAGCCTCCAGTTTGGTGTTTTTACTCGCCATTATCGTGGATAAAGGTACGATTTCTGGCTTTTCTAGCTTACATTTACACGTGCTATTAAATGTAATGTTCTTCTGAAGTCAGACATACCGAACAAACAAGCACCGGTTTCGTATTATCTCATGCCTTGACTCACTGCAAAGCGAAAGTAAGCGATGATTTATGCGGGTCATTTTAATAGCTTCCTGCGACTATAGTGGTTTATCCCTTCAGTAGAACTGCTCTGTAAGTCACACTGTAACTGAACACTGAAAAAGTTTAAACTGCGGCTGTCATTGAATCCTGCAGGGCTCCCCAGTCCCCTGGCAGGGAAAGAAGCCTGGAACTATGTGGAAGTGAGAGACGGGGCCCATATGTTCTGGTGGCTGTACTATGCTGACAGCCAGTCTGCAGGGTACAAGGACCTGCCCCTGGTCATGTGGCTGCAGGTAGGACACGAACAGGTCCACTCATTTCTGCTGACAACTTAAAGCTCAAAGGTCCACAGCAGGGCCACATGCACTTAGACTAATGCTCCAAAGCATCCTTTATTGTCTTGTGTTTCTGAATGTGGTTATGCCTAACTCCCAGGATGCCCCACGCGTTAGAGACATCAGTTTGCAGAGACCCAGCTGTATGAGTTAAGGTCTTTCTTGCCAGTGAACCCCATGTCTGCCTGTGTTCTTGTTAAAAGTTGTCTTATTGAGATGCTCTGTGGCAACTTTAAAGAGAATCCACAGATTTTTACACATAAAGATCAGTTTATTAGTCGGGGGGGGGCTTTGTTTGAGACAATAACCCTGGTGATGTCATCAGGGTTATCTCAGCTTGAGCTTGGAGACAACAAATGTATAACAAAGCCTATGTTACTAATCCAGGGCAGGGAGGTTGACAGCCATTGATATTCGGTATAAATGGCAATGGTTCTGTTCCCTTGTTTGACGACAGTTCCTCTTTTTGTATGAAATACCAAAGTATCAATGGAAGGATACTAAAGGAAGTGCAATACTAAAATGCAAATAATAGCATGTTTCAGTCTCTGTAAGGTGATTTTCATATCATAAAAACAAAAAAAAAATAAATATATATATATATATATATATATATATATATATATATATATATATATATATATATAATCAGTGACCGTTGCAAAGATTGGAAACTCTATGGCATGCAATAACTGGTTAGTCAATTTAAAGATCCCCTCCATACATGTATGACATATATACAAATAGTCTGCTTGATACAATGTGTGTCTGATTAAAATCTTTTAAAGTCTTATACTCCGTCTACCTCATTATAAATCCCAGAATCTCTGAATATTCAAATGTTGTTCATTTCTTAAGTTTTCCTGCTGGACACAAGATGTCTCCTACTTCACCGTAAAGTCCATTCTCAGTGGATGAGCACTGGTGGCTTTAAGTTTCTACATCACACTGTACAAGTTGCATACTGGACCCGTCTACCCTTTCAAATCAGATTTTCAATGAGCACAGAGAAACTTTCCACTTTCTGCAGATGGATGTGAAAACATCCTTCCAGTGTCAGACTGACAAACAGATTTCTGACTGGAGGGGGACTTTAAGCTGAAACCTTTAAACATTGATATGGTCTGTTCAAACAATCTGGGTGACAACTGGAATGTAGCTGGTTCAAATCACCAGATAACTGGGGAAAAAAAGCGTGGTGTGACTGAGTAACAGCAGTGCTGCTTCTATTTTCAACTGCAGAGGAGGAAGTGACTAATGCAGCAAGGTGTCTTTGACTCAAGGAGACAACTCTACTCGAGTTTCAAGTTAAACCAGCAATCTTAGGAAAAGCTAACTTTTGACATTGTATTCGTTATCCAATACATGCAGAAATAATAATGATAAATGCATATATGGCTTTTATTGTATTAAAAGGGACCTCTGCTCTGAATGTTGGAACATGATGAGGGTGTGTGTCCGTGTGTCTTTTAGGGTGGACCAGGAGGATCTGGAAGTGGCTTTGGGAACTTTGATGAGATTGGACCTTTGAACAAGGACCTAGAGCCCAGAAAGACGAGCTGGGTAAGACGGATGCATTTTATTGTGATTGACCTATTGATCAACAAGCTGTTTAGTGATCAGAAAGCAGGTTTGTTTGGAGCATTGCAGAGCTAGAAATTGTTATAACAAGTTGGGACTGTGATTCACTCTGACTTATTTCCTGCACGGCGTGTTGAAATCCTTTAACGGCCACCTTGCAGACTATTTGTCTTGTAACTTGATCATGTATTGGAGCAATGAATAAATGAAGGAAATGCACGTTACCATGATGATATATATTCTGTATGTGTGTTGGTTCTTTCAGGTGCAGGCAGCCAGTGTGTTATTCGTGGACAACCCTGTGGGCACTGGCTTCAGCTACACTGACAGGCCGGACGCCTATGCTACCAACGTGGCCACGGTGGCCTCAGACATGCTGGTGCTGCTCAAACACTTCTTTACAGAGAGGGCCGAGTTCCAGGTACGCTCAGAACAGTCCGTTAGCTTCACAGTAGCCATACACTTATCATACATATAGGGCTGTGCACTGGCAAAAATCTGGCGTTACAATACTTATTACAACACAGGGGTTGCTATTCAATATATCACAATACTATGAGCAAGCAGCTATATTGAGATTTCTTTAATAAAAAAAAATAAATCTAAGTTTAGGAAAACAGTTGGTCTGAAGAATATGTATATATCAACAACATCACAGCCCTCAGTTTACAACACTGCTATGTAACAGTGGATGGTTTACACACAAATCGATAGTGTTTTTGAGAAATGTTACAATATCACAAAATCATTATTATTTTTTTTTTTTATATTTCTTCTTACACCCTTGACCATATACTGTAGCCTACATGCCAGTGATAACATTGAACTGATGCTTATCATATTCTCTGCAGGGCGTCCCCTTTTACATCTTCTCTGAGTCATACGGAGGGAAGATGGCAGCTGCAATCTCCCTGGAACTCACCAAGGTGAGTGAGTTAACTGCTTTTACAGTCCGTCAGCAGAATGCTACTTCTCTCTACAACGTCCCCTTCAGGTCCATGTGAGCTCATATAGGAAAGTCCCCAGGCCAAAGAACGGTCATAAGATGGATGTAAAAAACCATACATTAAGGGTTTTGCTTGCGCAAGTAAAGTCTTTCTGGAGTACGGAAGTGATTATGGTCTTATAAAAAAAAAAAAGCTGGGATTTACTTTTCCTTGACTACAATTACACCCAACAGAGATTGATGCCAGCTTTTCTGTTTTAATCATCTTATAGACATTTTCTCATTGAGATATTCAGGGGACCACTGTGTGAGAGAACTCTAACAAGATTCAATGCTCTTCTCTTGTGTGTCCAGGCCATAGCACAAGGGACAGTGAAATGCAACTTTGCTGGTGTGGCACTTGGTGATTCCTGGATTTCCCCACTGGGTCAGTGTCTTCACACCTACACCACAGCCTTTGTGCAAGTTTTTGCAACCCCACTGGAATGCTGCATATCAAGATAGATTAGTATATTACACATTGGCAAAGCCTTCAGACTACCACATTTGTCTGTAAGATGTACTGTGACAATCAAAAGAGGTCAGAAGAACAAAAGGAACTGCATTCCTGCTGTTTGCTCCATTGGTCCCTTAGCAAAATAAATTTGAAACATAGCATTTTTGAAGGAGTTCAGTACATTCCTCAGCAGGAGTCTATTGTAGTTATTACCTATATTAGCCAAATTGATCAAAGCCTCTATAAAAGAGACATCAGGGTGTATCTTTAAATCTTTTTGTGGAGAAATGACCAAACTGCTCACTAAAAGACTTGTGCTTCATCCACAGACTCTGTCATGACCTGGGGGCCGTACCTTTACACTACTGTAAGTAACATACAATGAGCAAATGTCTTCTATAATTCTGTAGTCCAGCTGGTCTGTGGACCTTCCATCTGACTGTGGCTCCTGTTGCTGTGCAGTCGCTGCTGGATGATTACGGCCTGGCGGAGGTCAGCAGTGCAGCGGAGGCGGTGAAGAAAGCCGTGGAGCAGCAGCAGTTTGTGAAAGCCACAGAGCTGTGGTCTGTAGTTGAGACGGTGGTGGAGCAGGTTGGTACGACACAGGAAGGTCCGCCGTACAGGACATGTCTCCAAACTGTTTGATTCTGTCAGGTACACGTTTTATATGCAGGGAAATTTAGTATAGTGTGCATCAGTAAATCTAAAGGATTAAAGTCCTGATACAGGATTTGAAACATTTACTTAGAAATATCAGCAGGGAGTATTAGATGCTAACCTAACATTGCTTAGGAATTGCGTTTATTATCTTGCCAAGAGTTAAATGAGAAGATCAATACAAAAAAATGCAGTCAGCATAGCTTAGCACGAGGACTGCAGGAGGAAACCGCTAGCCCGCTCCCAACATGATGTTGTCTGACCTCCAGTATTTGTACAAAATAAACATACTACACATTTTTTATTTTTTTTATTCGTATTGCATATTTGTTGGTGCTGAATACCAGCTTCTGGTTAATCATCATGGTTTTGCTGGCGTACAGGAAGAAGAAAGGTCTAATTTTTTTTAGCTAACAAATAGGGTGGTGTCAGATTGGTGCACTCGCTGATAGGAATTTCGATATTGGTATCAGAATAATTCATGTTTGCGTGAAGGAATCGTGTTGTTTGATGTAGTCTTGTTTTGGTTTTCATGTCAGAACACCAACGGCGTCAACTTCTACAACATCCTCACCCAGGAACCGGATGACAAACTGGCCTCTATAGCGGGAGAAGACTTCATCTGTAAGACTTTGGTGACATGGAATGAGTGGGCTCATTCTAAATGCAAATAAAAGTCTAAATATAAATCATTTGAAGAGATTTACGCTCTGTTTTTTTTTTTTCTTACCCCTACCAGCTCTGCAGACGCGTCGCCATATTCGACCCCTCCACAGCCAATCACTGAGCGAGCTGATGAATGGCCCAATCAGGAAGAAACTGGGCATCATCCCCCAGAATGTCACCTGGGGAGGTCAGGCAGAGGAAGTGTTCAGCAACATGGCAGGAGACTTTATGAGGCCGGTGGTGGATATCGTCGACCAGCTGCTGACCGCTGGAGTCAACGTCACCGTCTACAATGGCCAGCTGGATCTGATAGTGGACACCATGGGTAACCAACTCAGCGTATTCTTCTGTTCAGCTCAGACCCATTCAGATATTGAGTTCCCGTATGTGCGCCATATGAATTCTTCTAAATTCTTGCCTCAGGTCAGGAGCTGTGGGTGAAGCAGCTGAAGTGGGACGGGCTATCCGGATTTAACAAGCTGAGGTGGACCGCCCTGGATGACCCCACCTCCCCGGGCGTTACTGGAGCTTTCTACAAGACTTATAAGAACTTTTCCTTCTACTGGATCCTTAAAGCCGGTCACATGGTGAGACACTGGCTGATTGTAAAATTGCTGCAATGTAGAATCACAGATCCAACAGCTCTAGTGTTTATGCACTTCACAATGAGTCACTCTTTGTTTTTCGAGGTTAATTTCACATTGGTGATTGAGAGAGTAATAAAAGTCTTATTTCTATCGTGATGGTACGCTAATTAGCCACCAGTCCCCAAGAATTGGAAAATAAAGGCTTACAAGCACGATTTTAAAACAAGATAAAACACTTTAGGGACGCGTGGCCATCTATAGTTGGATTTGCACCAAATTTACCTAAACAAATCACAAACCCTGATTTTATGTTTGTGATGCAAACTGAACCACTGTTGCCTGAAAGTAGCTGTAACTAAGCTACAGTAATGTTTTTAGCATATTCTTTCTTTATATATTTGTATTTAGTCATGTATATTTATTACTATGAAGTCTGTGTTCAGTGTTTTTACCTGGCTACCAGACAACATTTCCACTTGGGGACAATTTAAGTGGAAATTGTCCTATACCACTGAAGCTCAGTGTAACTTTTTTTTTATTTTTAGGTTTTATTATTCATTAAAACAAGCATGTCTTTAATATAGCACCCCTGTATGGTGGAGTAAAAGGACAATAAAATCACTTTTTGTTCCGTTGTTGCAGATTCCCTCAGACCAGGGGCCTATGGCCTTGCAGATGCTGAAGATGATCATCCAACAGGACTGATGCACCCACCCTGATGCCAGCTGGGATGGCTCTGACAATCACAATGATCACTTTTTTTATATTCCACTTCCTGCTAAACCAAATCACGAATCTCAGTTCTCTTTGATTTCAGCAATCACCTGCGTAAAGCCAGAACAACAATAAAGACCATTTTTCGTTTTTTAAGTTGTTGTCTTGGGTTCTTCTCTGGTCCAGTGCAGTTAAAAATGGTTGTCCTTTTTAATTGCAGTCTTGAATGAGAGTCAGATCATTAGTCACATGCTTGGACCGATCTTACATTCATTGTCAGATGGGCATTTTGTTGTAGCATTTAATGCTGTGGGACAAAGGCAACTATTTTGATGACTAAATGAAGTACTTTTATGGCATGCTAGACTTGAGGTTGACACTACAAAGATCCTACAGCCACACTAGCAGCTCAGGCAGTTTCAGCATGCTAACACTGTTCTTAAAGGTCCAGTGTGTAGGATTTAGTAGCACATAGCGGTGAAGTTGCAGACTGCAACTACCTGAACACCACTCGCGTCTGTATTTGTCAATCTGGGAATGACAACGGGCTGTGTAGTGTGTCTACGGTGGTAGCGAAAAACGCGATGGGTCCCATCTAAAGCCAGTGTTTGATTTGTCTGTTCTGGGCAAATGTAGAAACATGGCCGACTCTACAGAAGGTGACTTACAGCACTTGTAGATTAAAAAAGGCTCATTCTAAGGTAACAAACACAATTACTCCTATTTTCAGCTGATTATACACTAATGAAAACATGAATATTATATTTCATTTCTGCCTAAATGTAACACACTGGACCTTTTGAATATCCGTGCTGAGACCTTTTACTACAAACTAAAAATGTCAAACTCGTGGTGGGACTTGTGACTGACAGACACACCAGACACATTCATAAGACACAAACCTGCTACAATTTATTGCACTTTGTGTACACTTTACCAACAGTGCCGTCAGCGAGTATTTAGACAGAAACACGTTTGTTGAGTGGGCTCTGGCCTCCAGCACACTGAAATCAAACAGATTATGAGGTCAATGTACAGACTAATATCTTTAGTTTGGTATTGTAGTTTTTTTTTTTACCACCTTTAAAAACATGATTTTTCACACTGACCAGACACTCTTCATATCAGAGGTAAAACAACGGAATCTAAATTAAGAAGTGTTAACGCCAAGTTGAGCGGCGATGTGTGAACTGGATCCAGACTTATAAAAACTGTATCTGGGTATAGAATAACAGGAGAAATACACTCCTGATGAGCTGTTACAGTTCATTGTATTCTCAAACTGAGAATGATCCTTCAGTTTGATTTCTGAATGTCCCTCTCAAACCAACGAACACCAAAATGTGCACTCGTAATAAACACTGTAGAAATATGACTTTGTGAAATGTTGTCTGACTCCATTGTGACTCCTTTTGGTGTTACATACATATTGCTAACATACAGTTTATAAAGCTTTTAAAATCTGGATAAAAAATGTTAATATTGCATAAACCAAATTAGTATATTGATTAGAATGAGATATATTTGTATATTTGATACAGTAAATATTGTTAATCACGTTTGTACTTCATATATGTGATCGCTGATTTATAAAAATATAAATCTGCTCTGCCTTTAGAGATGATCCGCCAACATCAGTACAGCTCTGACTCCTGATACATTGCTGATATTACAGCCTCTCAAGCACAAATGAACCAATCAAAAGGAAAATGCATTCAACAAGAGATTACACAGCACATTACTACCTCAACTGAAGGACTCCACTGCATGGTTGAGAGAGCTGAGATGTAATATGAGTGCATTTGATATGATTCCACTGTGCAAATCTCATGCTCATGAACGTAACTGGGACCACTGGTTATACTTCATCTGACAACTTCATCACTGGAATTAATTTAATATAATCTAATATTTCATCATTGGGTCAACAACATCATTTCATTCCCTGACATGGAGTGTCATCTTTGGTGGCACAAAGACCTTTGTTGCTAAAAAACATTCACGTAAAAATGTAGTGAAGCCTGAGAGTTCACTCCTCAGGAATTATAGTTTTGACAAAACAATCATAACTTAAAGGAATAGTTCAAAATTTTTGGGAAACACGCTTATTTGCTTTCTTGCCAAAAGTCAGATGAGAAGATTGACACCTCCCTCATGTCTACAGTAAATATCAAGCTAGCTAGCTTAGCTTAGCACAGATACTGGAAACAGCGACTAAATCTGCCTCCCAGCAACTCTAAAACTCACTAATTATCATCTTACATCTGATCTGTTTAATCAGTACAAAAACTGAAGTGTATGAACAACAAATATGATGAAACAAATGAAACATGAAACAAAACAAGACAGAATCATTCAAGCAGAATAGTGTAAAGTTCATAATGCTGTTTGGTCAATAGCCCCACTTCTGAACGTTAAGATATAGAAGTACCAGACCATTGGGGGGGAGTCAGTCTTTTTTACATCTTTTGAGACAATTAAAGAGACAATTGTATGCTATTAACTCCAAACTGGGATAGTTGTGAGCCATGACTGCAGCGCTATTTATTAAACGGTCGAGGAGAAGCAGCCTGATAACAGTTAAGTCATTGTGTAGCGGAGTCGTCTTCTACCCCAGTGGCTCTCCGGCACCGAGAAGCCCTTCCTGATCACTGGCTCCACCACCAGCTCCAGCAGGCCGGGTGCATCCGGCACTGCCAGCTCCGTTACTCTAAAAACATTAGAATACGCCCGGCCCACCAGAACCAGCGGACCTGGGAGGATTCGGGAATGGGGTCCTGTCAGCCGTTGCCAGTACACCCTGAAGTGGCGGACGAGCTCGGTCGGGTACTTCCAGTGTAGAGTGGCGTTGAGAAGCAGGCAGGGGTTGGTGGACTCCGGCGAGGTACCGGCACCACGCAGCCACACCACGTCATAAATGCACAAGCCCTGAACCAGCTCCTGGGGGACTTGCAGACTGGCTGCATCCAAGAGCTTGAAAAGAAAGAGGAGGGACAAGAACCATTAGAATCTTTTATCTGGGTCCAACCATGTACACTGCACACTGAACACAGCTGGCTCCCACTGTCTCACCATGATCTCTCCCACCCTGCAGCTGAAAGGTGTGTCCTGAGGCTCTCCATCCCGCTGGATGTTGAAATAAACTTCTCTAAGAACACAGTCACAAAGCTCCAGCTGCAAACACCTGCACGCAACATCACACAAGGGGGGGGCAGAAAGACCGGGAATTTAGACACATTCGGATGAAATCCATTTACTTAACTGTGACTGTGCCTTACCTGACAGTCCAACCATTTTGATTCAAGTTCCCGCACAGCTGAGAGAACTGGCTCACCAACTGGTCCCCCTCATCCAGGATATCAGGAAGCACACTGGTAACTGCAAACACACACACAGTTAATGCTTGGCTTGAAATAAAAGGCTGCAGACGGACGGCGAGCTGGCCTTCTTGCTGTCAGTAATATTAGCTGTCAAAGTTGTCGACTCGCTAGTTTTCGATCAAGTAATGTAATCACAACTGTCCATATTTACGACAGTGGTATTGCAACCGGGGCCGCCAAATCTTACATGATGTTGCTTTAAATATTGTTTAAAAAGTACTGACTGACAGGAGGTCAGACTGAGAGTCAGTCTATGAGGAGAGGACATGTAACCATTTTATCACATTTATGTTTGTGCTTCACTCGCCAAAGGATGACACTGAAATGATAACACAATCAGTGATATGAAATAATCCTACCTGCAACTTCTGTACCATATTGTTTAGTTAGTTTAACCATAAATGACTTTAAAAACGTGTCTTATTGGCTTGTGAGAAACTCACGTTGGACATCCTGGGCGTGTGTGTTGGCGTCTGTCGTCTTCAGCTCCAGGGAGACTGTGATCCCAGTAGACTGCTTGTAGATGAAAGCCAACAGAGTCCTGGATGCCAGCGTTACATTGAGGGAGAAGACCCTGAGACATACAGAACACACACAGAGAAACAACAGGCCCGAACAATGAGACTTTGTTTGAGGAGATAATGGCAAGATCCCCCCCCCCCCCACTTCAAGGGTGAACAGAAAACACACACTTGGCACTAACTGGAGAGGTGTGTGCGGCAGGAATGAGTCCGTCCAGGAGCAGCGAGGAGCCTCCGTTCCAGGCGTCCTCGGGGCAGCCGCGGCTCGTCAGCCAGCCCTGGCCCTCCAGCTCCGTGTGGTAGTACAAGGGCTGGATCTCCTGGGCGCTCAGGTTGTACCAGCCCTTCTCCGCCTCACACTGCACACACACAAAACAAAAAACTAAAATTTAGTGGAAGCCTGTGATTAATGTTGCTCTTTCTAAATGAACTGTAGTCTGTCCACACACTTTTTTGGTAGACCAATAAAGAGGATGAGTATGAGACAATCTTCCTCTGCAGATTTTAAGCCAACAAGGATGAAAAAGTTCCATAAAAAGCGACAAAAACATACTTTAGCCAGATGAAGTCTGTTGAATGTCACACTGTATGAGACAGCTGGTGAACTGCAGCGCTACAATGTGAACAGAAAATAAATATTCTCTCTCTCATGTATTAAAAGTGTAGCAAATAAATAAACAAGCTACATACAGTGCTTCAAAGATGGTGCTTGCAGTGTTTTCTGAATCCTTTAGGGCCGGTCAGTTTTAGACAGGGGTTTGCAGCAGCAGTCACATTGTGAGAATATGGTCCTAATTGTTTCACACTGGCACAAAACATTTTGGTGCAGGCTGCTTTTGGTCACCAAACCCTAAATCTGTGCCCCGTAATGTGATCCAGGACCAACATTTAGGACTGAAGACAGCATTTCTGTTACATCAACGTTCATCTGAGACATCCTATAATCACAATCACAAAGCTGAAATATCTGCTGTATGCTGACTATCTATAGGACTAATTTACTGTGCATTCTGGGTAAATCAAGACCCAGCTACTATGTTTGTGATGGTGCAGGAAGTACAGTCTAGTATGTTCCAGAGTGCGCAGTGCACAGATGCGAGGGGAGGGACAGACAGGTGGGAGGTTCATTCAGATGAGGCAGAGCAAAGTGACTTGTTAGTATTTCGGTAGAAAATTGTGTTTATGGGGGACATATGGAATTCCTTTGCGGTGCAAACACTGCTGTGATGTGACCCTTTGCAAAACAGCTTCACCAAACTGTTTTTGATTATTAGTTTCAATCATCATGAAATGAACCATTATAGAACCAATGTGTTGGATTAAGTGGCATCTAGCGATAAGTTGCAGATTGCAGCGTCTGTATTTGTTGACCTGGGAATGAGAACGGGCTGGGAAGTGTGTTGGAGAAAGTACGGTGGCCCATATCTACAGCCTATGTTTGGTTTGTCCGTTCTGGGCTACAGTAGAAACATAGCAGACTTCACGGAAGGCAACCCGTGGCATACAAAAACATCTCATCCTAAGGTAACGAAAACACAAAATATTTCCCTTATTCATGTTCTTATACACCAATGAAAACACAGTATTGGAATATGAAGGTCCATTTCTGAGAGTAGATCCTCCTTCAGTACCTGTCCTCTCCAGTAGGAAGCCTTCCCAAAGCCCTGGCAGAAGGAGGAGACGAAGGGGAGAGGGGCCAATGGCCGATGGACGTACAGGTAGTCCGACAGAAGAGCCCAGAACCTGCAGACAGGACAGGGCTCTGTTTAACAGCATCTCCGCCTCTAGCGACCGGGTGAACGTGTAATAGTGTTGATCTCACTTGTCCTGATTCTTGCGGAATTCTGTCTTATCATCGTGGGTCTCGTACACCCAGCCCGGAGCAAAGATGGCGACAGAGAAGTTGTGCTTCCGAATGACTTCCAGCGCCTGCAGACAGACGGAACAAGAACAGTGCATACCGTCAGTGATCTGATAGTGACCGAACGCTTATTCATGAACAGACACACAAGGTCCACACTGTGTACCTTATTTGTTTCCAACTTTCCTCCCACCACCTTGCCTCGGGCGAACACGTCCACGCCGATGTAGATGTCGGCCTGGCGTCCTTGGACCGCGCCGTAGTTGCTCATCCACTCCAGGTTCTGCTCCGTCCAGTTGTAGTTGGTGAAGATACCGTCGCAAGCGTCGAAAAACATGCTGTTATGGAGACATTGAGATAAAGTGTCAGAGGGGTTGAGTTGGTAGTGAACTGACACATTGTTAATAAATGGACCTTTAATGAATCCTAATGTTGAGCTCTGTCACTTATTTTAAAGGAGGTTTCCCTACCTGTTGGACTGGTTGAGCTCATTCTGCCATTGCAGATGTCCGTTATTGATCACACTGTCGTACCACACGACCAGGCTGCCGGCCACTCGCTCGTGCATCTGGTCTGTCAGATAGCGTAGGAACAACGGCGTGTTCTTCACCGCGACCTCCTGCAGGCAGAGGAGAGCACACACGCACACACACACAATTATTAGAATTTAACATATATATTGTCAACAAATTCCAGTTGACATTGCTGAGAGCTGCTTCTTCTCTCTCACTCTGTGCCGCATGCCGCAGTATTGTGAATCACAGTGCACTCTGCTGGGTAAAAAGCACTGACACCAATATATAATATACCATTATATATAGGAACATACTTGTGTTTAAGGTCCAGTATGAAGGATTTAGTGGGTTCTAGTGGTGTAGTTTCAGATTGAAACTCCCTCGCTTCACCCTCCCCTTCCAAGGGAGAAAGAGAAACTACAGCCCTACCCAGAGCCAGTGTTTGGTTTGTCTGTTATGGGCTACTGTAGGAACATGGCGGACTCCATGGAAGGAGACCTGTGGTGTATGTAGATAAAAAGGCTCATTCTAACAGAAACACAAAGATTCTTATTTTCAGGTGATTTTTCACTAATGAAATGCATATTATATATTAGTGTGTTAGCATGCTACCGTGTGCTAGTCATCAGTAAATACAGGTATTTGCATAGTCAAAAAACTAATTAGAATTTGACCTGATGATGGTGCTCACTTTATCTTCTCAGTTACTAATTATTTGTCAACAATTACTAACCAATAAAAGCAACCTGAACAGAACAGAACAGAACACAACCTGGGTTTAAGCAATGAGTGCTACAGTGGGGAGGGCCAGCATCAAAGTATCACTCACACTGAGCGTGTTCTCTATGTTAATGAGCCAGCCATCGAAGCCATAGCAGTGGCTGATCTGGACTAGTTTATCAGCCACTTTCCGGTACGACTCCTCGTCTTTCAAGAAGTCCTCGCAGATCTTGGCTCCATCAGTCCACTCTGTGATGAAGGTCCCTGGAAAGCAGGAGATTATATACTTGAGGGCAGATATAGAGACTAGGACTTTGTATTGGCAATCATCTGGTGATACCATGCATATCACGATACAACGGTTATAATTTGATATATTGCGATACTGTAAACATACTGTTCTGTTATATTTGGCCTCTTTACTCACCGAGAACCACGACTCCATGTTTATGTGCAGCATTGGTCCACACAGCGGGAGGCACAGTCACCAGTCTGTGCGTGAAGTAGTTGAAAATATCGATGTGCTGCCAGTGGTAGAAAGCATACGGAGCCTCTGCAGTCGTCCCCTGGACAAACCTTGACGTCGGGAGAAAGCGTGACATTGGCGTTACGGTGCATGGGTGTAACTGCACGTGCTAGATTTAAAAAATGGCGGAAGGACAAGTCATCTTCATGAAGAATGAAAGAGAATTATGGACCCGAACTGTAGAAATCGCAACATAGAATGAGGGAAACCAAAAAAAAAATGAAAACCACCACTAAGGGCTGCAGAACAGATCTGGAAGGTTAATTTGTAGATTTTGAGGTGTAACTTAAAGTGGAGAAAAGGATTTCTCCCATTTATTCCATCAACATATATAACCCTAAATATGCTTCCTTACCTGTCATCGAGGTAGCCGCCCATCATGTCATGAGACACCAAGGTCCGACGCAGGGAGCTGGCCAGAGGAGGATCCCGAGGCGCCAGAGGGAATGCCGCAACGTTAAAGGGGTTTGCCTCGCTTCGTTTCCACAACAACAGCTCCTCCAATGTTTCAAGACCACTGCTGATTGGTTCAGTGGTGTCGGGGTCGTAATGTTTGGCTGACATGGCAGAGGAAATAAAATATCACGTATACAGGAGCATGAGAAGGTTCTTGTGGTTTGATCTCCAGACATCAGGCTCAGATTGTGTCAGGCTACCTTGCAGGTGAAATACAGGTAATAAAGTCATCTCACCTGGTAGCGGCGAGGGCGTATACTTGATGATTTCGTGGACGTCTGAATCCACTGGCTGATCCAAGCAAGACTCCAGCCTGGTGAAAGTATAAGGTGGCACGTGAGACTGTTGGTTGAACCTTTTTACACAAGTACAGTTTACTCGAGAACTAATCGGGAACAGTTTTATAATGTCTGTTTGTCAAGTGTGAGAAAATAACCCTAGTGATGTCACAGTGATGTCACCAGGGTTAGTTTCGGTTTAGGCTTGGAGATTTTAAACGTATACAACAGAAAGCCTGTGTTACAGCTTGTGTGGAGTTTGAAAGATGAATGCACTTAGATGAGATGCTATCAAATTGCTTCGTGGGTAATGTAGGATCCAGTTTTTCAGATTTAGATTTCGACAGATTTTGCTGATTTTTCCAGCAATGCATAAATACATTTCATTCACAGAAGGATTCTGGTTCCAATCTAAAAACAAAATGATATGGTATGTGACTGTTCAATGATTAACAAATCATTTACTAATACTTTGTTGAGTTATTACCAAGTAAATATGAGTTACCAGCTAGTGAAAATCCCTTTAGTTTACCGGAGATAAGGCCTGTGCAGACCCTAGACCACAGTCCATAATATTAACATTTACAGCTGCACATATTTAAGTAAGAAAAGCAAATATTAATGAAATACCAACATCTGTCCTCTATTTGATTGAATATTTCTTCTGTGAATGGAAACTTTCTATTAATCTAAACTTAGCAACATTGTTAATCATCATTAGGGTGCAAACTACACGAAGTTAGTTAATGATTCATTTTTTATTTTGAGCCAATTGCAGTTAAAAGTAAGTTAACCACTAATTAGGTCGATATTTTCTCATCTTTAAAGAAGTTGGACACCAGCCACCGTGCTGCTGTAAACTGGAGTTGGAGCAACTGCTGCCATGTAAGGATAGTGAAAGTAACAGCAGTACAGTACCGGCCCGCTTCACTTCTCTCCCTCTTCCCGCTGACATTATCGTCAGTATCGCCATTATCGCCATTATCGTCCCCGTCCTGTCGCTTCCTCCGCAGGGGAAGCTTGTTTCCATCCACAGTCAATGCCATTTCATTGAATTCAGCTCAGCAGCCACTGAAGGAACAAACTACGTGAAGAACGAGGAAACAGAAAGGTGTGCTGTACGACCGCGAAAGACTTCCGACGCCACTCCTTCAGAATAAAAGCGTCATTTCCATAAATGACAAAAAATGACCAAAAAATAAAGTAGTACATTTTATCCTTCATGTCAGATACGTTGTTACTTAATGCAAAATGTCGTACTACAATCATTACATTATAGGTTACATTTGCAACGCAACATATGTCTTTTAAAAAAAACTGCTACGGATGAAGTCGAGCTTTTGCCAGAACTGCAATAATATAGACATTTATAGAATGAATTGTTTATTTTCACTGTTTATTTTAGAGGAATCCGTGCAGTTATTGTCCATGAGAGGTGGACTGGGGCCAGCTGGACAAAGAAACCAATCTCTTGTTGTTGTGCAGATCCAGAGCCTTTCAGCTTCGAAGAGATTCAGCTCTAGCAGAAAACCCAGGAACAACAACGCAGAGGGAGGAAGGCAAAGATGGCGGCCGTCAATAATACTTCCACGCGTGGGAAGTACTGCAGTGCTGTATGGGTGATATGTTCAACTTGAACAAAGCAAGTAAATTGAACTTTAACACTTTTGACTTGACAAGGCTTTCTTTACGTTTAAAACTTAGCAGACACTCTAGAAGTTTAGATTTAGATGAGGTTTAAATGTTGTAATTGTAATAATATCATATAAAGCATATGGTAGAGTACAAGGCTGAAATAAAAATAAATAGTTTTATACACCCCTGAGGACTGTGAGCAGTAGCCTGTTAAAATCTCAGAATACATTTTAAGAATAAAGGTTATTTCCTGAAGAAAATGTACGGGTGTCCACTTCAGCTGGAAAGCTGCTCTGCAAACAATTAAAATTCTTCAAATGTGTAAATTATTAAAGTTTGATGCTTTTGAAACAATATAAACAGGTCAAAATACAGTTATTGAAGCGCTGACCTTTTGAAGTTTCACTTCAAGTACAGGCGTCACTGAAGTGCTCGTGATGAAAGCAGTTGACATTTAAAGGTTAATCATGACAATGACCTGAAGTTTCAAATCACTAAAAGCTGTTTAGTTAAAGGTCTAGTGTGTAATATTTAGGAAGATCCAGAAATGGAACTTAATATTATTATTATTATTATTATTATTATACATTATTTTCAATAACAATTGTGTTTTTGTTACTTTAAAATAAATAAATGTATCTACAGAGGGAGTGGATCCTCCTGCAGCGTGGCGGGTCCGCCATTTTGCACCTCCATCTTTCTGCAGTAGCCAAGAGCAGACAAACCAAACACTGCCTTTCATATTTGTCACCACAGTAGTTTCCCCTACACGCTTGTCGGGATGAGCTGTAGTGAAATGTTTGCAATGTACAACTTCACCTCTAGATACTTTACTTGCATATTGCATATAAAGTATATACTTTTCATTCATTTATAGTCTTTTATATTTTGTAATATTCTTATTTTGTGATATCTTAATGTACAACCACTTCTGTACTCTTGCACTACAATCCCTTATGCTGCTGTGTCTAATTTGAATTTCTCCTACAGGGGAAGGTACATCGTATCTTATCTTAGATGGGATCTGAGTTCCCCCTTGACCACTTTGTTTGATTTTTATTAAAGGGGGAGGGTATCCTGCTTCTAGATCACTGTCCGAGGTGCTGATCCTACAACCCCCATGACATAGGAGATCACATGGAAATCACAAGTCATTCCCATTGATCAGGGGGATCCCCCCTACACTGGGTGGGAGCAGCCACAGAGTTGGAGCCTGTTCACAGTTTGCAAATTGAGGGCATTGCATTTTTCAGTGTCACAGAGAGGTTAATCTAACTGTGCCAGATGGTTTGTTACACATCAAACAAAGAGTTTGGAAAAGGGCAGGCACTTTCAAAATATCATTGAAACCTGGCAAGATGGATTTTTCATGTGATGTTGTGGCGATCTCGTGAATCCAGATAACAGGGAGGCTCTTGCTTTAAGTAAAATGAAGAATAAATATTTAGCCCCCACCCCCAATCATTTTCTTACTGTCCCTTAGTAGAAGTGTGCAAATGTGGGGTAACAGATCATGAAGAGCAGCCTCTGAAGAGCCATCTGAATGAATGATTCAATCAATCAACTACAAAAGTGAACAGGAAAAGAAGGGCAGGGACCATAATCTTATCAAATCAATGCTAATCCAAACAGTCAATGGTAGCTGAAAGTATATTGTTACTTTTAAACGGGCTCATATTACAGTTAATAATTACCAGCCGTACAAAGGCTGCCGCTTCACCCTCCCTGTTACCGATAGTGGTATCTGTTGGCAGCTCTCCACTGGGAGGCTCTCTGTCGGTGTCCTCCCTCACCACCCAGCAGGGAAGTGATGTCAGACACCTCCAGCGGATCAGTGAACAGGATCCCAACAGAGCGGAGACAGCAACAGGGACAGGATCCGAGCTCAGTCCACAACCTAACCTTCCTCAAAATCCGTCTTCATCCGTGGACAATTTAAGCGGATCTTCATCAAAAACAGCGAGAGCATAAAGTACACACTTTAACCTTTCTAACAAGCTCCGTATTAGCGCAATATGAGGTTAGTGGTATTTTAAAACGAGTGGCGAAAGATTTGCGAGAGCTGACTTCATCCGGAGACGACACAGAGAAGACACAATCCACCGCCCGAAGAGGCTTTAATGTGTCGGATATTTGGCCTGTTCTGATTGTAACCACACTCGGGCTTTAAACCTGAACATTTTCTGGATATTTCGGAGCTAGCGAGCGTGCTTGCTGGCCGACCACAGATTGCCTATCATGGAGTTGAGAGTGGGGAACCGATATAGACTGGGCAGGAAGATTGGAAGTGGCTCGTTTGGAGACATCTATCTGGGTGAGTTACCGTCACAGAAAGTTGCTGCCGTGTTCCCGGTTGTTTCCATTCACCTCAACCCGGTACACGAAGCTGAAGAGAGCCAGTCCGGTACCTTGGTGGGTTTCCGAACCGAGCTCAGAGTCGATCAGCTGTTCAGTGTTTAGTGTTAGCCACATTAGCCACTAAGCTAGCAGTCTGTGTAGCTAAGCAGCTAGTTAGCAGTGACAAGACTTCCAGTGAACTATTTCACAGTAAACGACGTGTTTGTACAATGTGCTCGACTTGGGGAACATTTTTGACTGTCGTAGTTTAAAATGAATGTCTAAATAAACCGTGTTGACGGCTGCAGTGTCGCTAAACCCTTTATCGCCAGTTAGCTAACACAACTAGCTCATAATTGAGTTTACTGTCTGCCTTTATAACCCGGAATAAGCAGTGACTTTACGGTTCCTGAAGCGCTAAATGACATCTAAATTACTCACTGCTGCTGAGCAGCCACCTTCAAACACAACAGGCCCGCTCAGTTTCCTCCTCTGTTCCTAAGAAGTGATTAATCAGGAGCACTGGCTCCTGACAGGGTTTTATTTCCCAATAATCTGAGTCCCTTCTGAAAGGAACCACGATCAGAAAGGAGTGACACTGTCTGTATTTAGTTTGGGGTCCTCATATGATCAAGTGAGGCTCCATGGCTTAGTGAGAACCAGCTTTGACATGAAAATGGTTAATAAATCCTGCTGCTTGTTCAGTGGCTGAGGGGACATGTTCATATATCACAGCCCTTCATTTATAAAGTGCCAGGGGCTGCGGCCTATTGACTGTGTAGTTTTTGTAGTAATTGATTGGATGGGTTGCCTCTCATTGGCAGTAAAGGTTGAGTACATTAGATGTGCTGATTAAAGATTATTCACTACACAGTCAGAGTGGATTTACATCGGCCATTAGTAAGGTTATCATTAATGTTTGGGTGCGGGAAGTTCAAGATCCATTTGAGGTACAAACGTGGGGGAAACATGGATAATGGAAAATGTAAATATGGAAGAATTCTTGCCCAATCTGATTATAATAAGTGGATGTATTAATCACTCCCTGACATTGTGTTCTGCCACCTTTTATTGTAATGCATCCTCTGGTGGCCATATTGGAGGTCCACAGCTCTTGGCAACAGTGGCTGAGAACAGCTGATCACATTTCTAGGCTTAAGACTTAGTCATCTGAGCAACAATAGAGACGAGACATTGTTAATTCATGAAGCGTTTTTACCGGCTGTGGACTCATCACTTCATCTCTGATATCTAATCAACCCAGAGAGAATAATACCCCAGTCTAGCGGTCACAACATGATTAATGATACAATGTAATAGAATTGATATTCAGTGTCTGATTTGAACAATTTACCAACACATGTTTTGTTGTTGCAAGTGTTACATACAATTATGTGTATTACTGCTATTGAATAGAGAATAGGGGAAGTTTTATATCCGTGGTGAATAAAACATCACGACACTACTGTGCTATAGAGGGCTGAAGGCAGTTGTACTGTTTCAGGCATTCATTTGTAGAAACTGTGCTTTTACACTCCGATGGTTAAGGTTTTATTTCATAAACTACAAAATCAAATATTTTTTATGTCAGCGGAGGTACGCTCAATGCTGCCGTCATACTTCAGTTCCCATAAATGATGAAAGGAAGTGTTTGAACTGGATGGGCTTCCTGATGTTGTGAAGACCAGCCTTCGCAGTGTTTCTGCTTGATTTTTTTTTTTTAGATCCAAGCTTCACACTCGCCATTTTCTGCCTCAAGGAAACACATTGTGGAAAATAGTAGATCTAAAAATGAGCTGTTTTAAGATGTGGTGAATGTGGGTCTGCTCGGATGAACTCTGCACCATACTGCTGATATTCAGCTTCCTGCCTGAACCTGTATAAAGACAACATGAAACAAGGTTGAATGCACCGACTGAGTTAAGCAAGGTTCGACACATCCCATCCGTGTGCTGGACACAGAGGTGAAACTATAATTCTGTGGGTAAGACGGCACACAAGCGGACCCTCAGAGTATTCCTTTAAACCCAGTGTTTCACGCATTAGTCAGATCCACTCTTGTTTTGTGTGACCTGTTGATTGGACTGATGGTGAGAGCTGCCAGCTGCTTACACATTCACTTCCCTCCCTCCTCTCTTGAGTGGCTGCTGACTCATGTGACTTAACATTGTTAATCAGCCAGAACAGAGTATGGTTAAATGCTAATAAAAGAAGACATAACAAAGAGTTGTAAAGTGTGCCACATTAACGCGCTCCCACACAGTGTGTGAGCGCTGCAGTAACGCCGACAGCGTGTGAGCAGCCTGCTGTGCGTTGTGGGGATGTCTGGGCGGTGGATTGGGCTTGTAACGGGGCGAGAGGCTGTTTGTTATTGGCGCAAGGAGGAGATGAGGTCAGCTCTTGGTGTGAAGCCTTGTACTCAGTGTGCTGGGCTGTCAGATGTTCACCACTGCTAGAATAGTTTGCAGTCTTTGAGAGGTTTGTCACTCAGTCCTTAAAGTGTGCAAAAAGCAGTTAGTCAAGCTCTACTTCCTGTTACATGGTGGGTGATTTGCATATTTTGTTCATGTCGAAACAAGCTACAGAAGCCTGGTTGCAGTGTTTGTCACCGTACAAACTCCCTGAACTGGATTTTTCTCAGCAGTGTGTTTAAAAAAATAAATAAATAAACCACAACGTTGAGTTTCTATTTTGTGGCATCAGCTTGCTTTGGCTCAGTATGAATTCTCTGGCTTTTGATGGTGACTGAGGCTGTGTTCACACATTGGCACTGCTTGAAAAAGCCCTGCCCCCTGTCAGAGCTGGGTGTCTACCCTCAATACTTGTCTTTAGTGTACTGACCAAAATCTGACTGTAGCACCAAGTAAGTAAAAATAAACTGGCATTGAACGACGCCTGAATAAAAAAAAAAAAGAAACGGCAGACTTTTTTTTATTGGCAAAGTACTTGTCATTTAAATGCCATTTAAAACGCCATCTTTGTTTGCAGCCAAACAAAAGAAAACCCAAAACCTGCTCTCTTCTTATCCACACTTTGCACACATATGCCATTATTTTGTGCCAGACTAAATACATTTTTGTGTTTATTTAAATTGTATATCAGGGATTTGTTTTTAAATTCATATGAAACAACTAGAAAAACTAATAATCCTTAAATCTTGTAAACCCGATTATATTTTTGAAATCATGCTCCTGCCTGAAGAATGGGGGATGGAGGGCCAGAAATGCCTGCAGTTTGATGCCCCTGGTTTAAAGCAATAGTTGGAGTCTTTGGGAAATACTCATTCACTGTCTTATATGAAAGGATATCACTTGCATACATACAGCAAACTAAAGTTACCGAATGCACCTCTAAAGCTCACTAAGTAAAACATAATTAGCTTGTTTAACCTGTAGAAATGTCAGGTTGTGGTTTTACGGATTATGTGCCAGACGACTTATACGGCCCTACCTCTCATTCATATTAATAATCTTAATATTCTTTATATTAATTGGTTAAGAAACTTTGCAGAATTGTAAAATCCCTCCGTATTATAAGCAGTCTGAGCATGTGGTGTAGTTTGGTGATACAACTGCTTCAGTCGTCTACTACCTGCCCGACAGGCACTTATGTAACAGATACTTGGCCTGCGATACCATTGTAAATTGAAACGGTTCCAGCTGTGTATGCCAAAAGGGATGGGTCCATTTATATAAGCAAAGCTAACAGTGAGGTTGTTTTAGAGCTGCAACAATAATGGAGAACTTTAAGGCATGTTTAAACTGAATGCTGAAACAACCAAAAGAAAATCCAAAACCTGCTCTCTTATCAACACTTTGCAATAATGGAGAACTTTAAGGCTTGTTTAGAGCGAATGCTGGTGGTGACTCAGTTTGTCAGACTTATGACACCATGTTGTTCTGCCTTTCAGCTGACTCTGTGTGCAGTTATTGTGTTTTATAGTGGTTTTGTTGACGTCACAACAACCTCTCAGGAACTTTACAGTTGAGAAATCTAGTCTGAGGTTCTTTTTTTTTTTTTGCTTGCAGTTGCAAAGCGAAGACCCCGTTCAATATATATTCCTTTGCAGTACATTTCAGAGTCAGTGACATCCCAGAAAAGCTGCAGTAACAATACAGCCTCCAGCAACAGGCTGGGTTTGATGTGGTTCTCGTCCTGAACCACAGTACGCGCACACACTGCAAACTTTTGACACTCTCTGTGCAACATGTCTCATCTGTTTGCTCTCACCACCCACAATATGCTGCTACAGTATTTGGGGAAGGGGATTGTTAGCATTCTGTGGCTTTCCTTGACTCGCATCACGTCTTCCTTCTTACCACATTTCCTGTGTCTTTGCTTCAGAATGAGTTAAATAAGAGCTGGCCTGCTGTGATGATTAATGTGCCAATACTGAGATGCATGAGATATTTAGTATTTAATTAAAAGGTTTTTATGCTTTTGAAGTTCATTCTGTTTGAAGATTTCTTTATTTATATTTATGCATTACATGACAAATTAGTGCTACATGGAATAGTTGGAGTCTTGGTAAATGTCATCATATATTAACATATGTAATATTTTCCACTTAGGCACCACGTACACTTGGCATTGCAGGTGTTTTGTACCCGGATAAAATCTAGTTGAGATTAAAGACACTTGAAATCCGCCTTGGATTTCTGGGCTGCGTGCAAATCAGGGTCCGCCCTCCTCCAGTCCAGGAGGAGGCGGTCATAAGGGATGTCATCATGCTTAAAAATGTATTAGTCGATACCAATGCCAGTGAAATTCCACAATTCAAAAATCTCATTCATTAAAAACATTTAAACATTACAAAAAAGTAACTCTCTTCTGATGGCCTGTTTGCTTTCCACTCTTTAGTTCATTGTTTAGTTATCATACTTTTTAAAAAAACCTTTTGGCTTTCTCCATCACGTCTGCTCATAGTTCCGTTATAAAATCCCATATTTGTATTGATATCAATTCAAAAAGTACGAATGAGTCCTTCTCCTCCTCCTGCACGCTCTGCAGGTGCGACCCCTTGCCTAAACCCAAACAGAGTATTTCCAACATGTGAGAGCACGTCTGACAAGTTCATATGTGAGAATAGTTTCACAGTTCTTCTTTTCGATTAGTCGAGGCTGCATCTTCAATGTGCTGTTCTTTTTCCTGTGGCATTTAACAGCACACTAGAACCCCCCAACACCACACTCATGGGTGATTTGCATTTTTGAACTATGCTGACAGTTACAGTAAAGCTTCTGTATGTGTTTTGCAGAGACTTAATACATTTACATCTTTTCAGCATGTGGCTGCAATGGGTCTCTCTCCTTGGATGCATGCATAACTTTTTAATGCGTGCAGCTACTCAATGCAAAGTCTTTAGAAGTTTGTTGCTGCTGCTGTTTGTGAACCAGAGTGCAGAGATGTGTCTGAACATGTTTTGGCAGCAACACCGCTCAGAATAAAAAAACACACACACACACACACCACATATGTACACAGGAATCACACACACTCACAAGCGGGAAGACCAGAAGACAAGCGGGCGTGGGGCTGGGGGCTGCATTCCCCAGGAAAATCTGTCCGGGCAAATCACATTCCTATGATGCAATAAAGCAGACGGCGCACTGAAATGTGTTGTTCAGATTGTAAAGAGCCTTTGCAGACATTTTCGCTGTTGTTGTTGTTTGTTTGCTTGCTTGATTGATTTATTTATTGATTGGCTAAAGCAAGAAGTCACTGTGAGTTAAGTGTCTCTGTGTATGTTTCAAAGTGCTCAAACTAAAATAGAGAGAAGCCCTTGTTTACCTGATGCCCATCTGCACATGAACAGTTTGTTAAATCTAAGATCAGACAGCATACTTTAAATCTAATAATAAATCTCATAAGGTTGCAATGAGCAAAAGTTTTTGCATTATTAATCATTTCAATTAATCCGTGTAGTAAGTGCTTAATCTGCTAACTCTTGCTTGTATTCAGTTACAGTGTTGTGAAACTGAATACAGAAAGCAAATCTATAACTGATGGTGGGCTGCAGTGTTTACTAGATGTCAAAAAAAGTCAATTTTCAGTGGTTAAGTTTTTGTGAATTGACACACACACTATTATTATTGACTATTGAACTAGTACACTAATATTATTGGCATCATACACTCTTTAACTGCCTTAATTCAATGTATCGTATTTAATGTTAAACAAATGGCAAAATGGTCTGGAAGGTGAAGGAGGTGTTCACGATATGTCGGGCAACTAGGGCTGAAACGATTCATCCATTAGTAGATGGACCTAAAATGAATGAGCAACTGTTTCGACAAACTGGTTAATTAAACGAAAAAATATTCCAATAATGGTGAAATCATGACCGCATTTAACAACTTTAACAGCGGTTTATTCGAAAGCTAAGAGTCCAACCGAGTGATCCACAGCAGGGACAGAGTGTACTTTCCATTTGTTAACAATAAGTTAACTCCCCACTTCTCTCACTTCTAAGGAACCCAGTGTTCTCCACGATACTATGAAGGTGAATGGAATTTTGTTGTTTGGCACTTGGGTGAACTGACCCTTTTAAAGTCACTACCCAGAATGATTTGGATATGGATTTGGGTGGCCAGCCAGAGGCAGATCAATGCCATTTAATTTAGTTGCACTGACGATCTGAAGCAGAACTGCCTCGTTCCAGCTCGAGCTTTTTGTTTTCCCGCATCATCGCAAAACCTGGCAGCAGCAACCTGCATACAGCGCTGTACGGCCACGCATTCACAGGCTTTTCTTCAGCATTATCCCACCAGTATAAAATATACAACATATCTGCTTTAAACTGAGTCATAGTCCTAATTGTGTGCCTCGCCCTGCTGGGTGCTGCTCAGCCCGCCCAGATGACATCATACAGAGAAATCAATGATGCTCCATTGGTGCTGCTGTTAGCCTGCACGATTGAACCGCTGCCCGTATGAGACCATGTGTGTGTTGAGAAAGGGGATTACGTAACCTGGTGTCCAGTTGCTGTGTTTATGTGGAAGGAACTGGACCCCATAACCATATTTAGGAAGAAAGCAGCTGAAGCACTGGTTTGTTGGATCACGAGTGTTTCTCACATACACAGTTCCCCAAAACCTTCTGGTCTGTTGAAGGAATTAGATGAATAATGTAATGATGGCTGCGAGGACATTTGGACTGCACATGCACAAGTAGATTCTTGAAAGAAGAGCAGGGTGCACAGAGTGCGCACTGTTGGTTTCCATTTTGGCCGGCTTTGCTGTGTTAACCACCGGTATGTCCCTGTGTACCCAAGCAGCTTTCTTCTCTTTAATCACCGTCGCTAATGTGCTCTTTATACCACTTGTTGACCAGTCAGGCTTTATTATCTTCATATCTAATTTGCTTCATAAGACTTGATGGACTTGGACAGCCATGATATAAATCTGTGATATACATTGGACTTTGACCTGTCTGCACTCCGTGTTGCAGATTGAGCTCTGTTGCCATATTGGCTGTACTCTGGTAAACGCTGCTATGCTACGTCCTTAAAGCAAAATGATGTGATGTGTTTCCATGCAGCTGACCTCTTGTCTCTCTGTCTGTCTGTCCGTCTAGGTACTGATATCTCGGTTGGAGAGGAGGTAGCCATCAAGTTGGAATGTGTGAAGACCAAACACCCACAGCTCCACATAGAGAGCAAAATCTACAAGATGATGCAGGGTGGAGGTACTGTATGCTCTTTAACACACCATGTACACACACATTCTGCCGCTCTAAAGTGTTGTTGCTGCTTTGTGGGGTACTAAGTACCCCACACCAGTATTCAAGCACTTAAACGTATAGGCCAGCATCTGTTTATCATTGTAAATCATTATATAGAAGGATCAATGTGTGGCACCTCAGTATATATTGAGTTAAATGAGGAACCAACTGGAGGTAGGTATATTCAACCTACCTTAAAGAAGTATCTGATTTTGTTATAGTGGCCCTAATTTCCTCCCTGATCACTGTGGATGTTTTGAAACTTAACTGTGAATGGTGAGCGGGGAAAACCTGACTGGCTTGACCCCTGACGACATGACGGTATGCTTTTCATTGTCAACTGAACCTCTAAAACATGCTGGCGCCGCCCACAGTGACTGAGGACATAAAATTCTGACCAGCAGTGCGACAAGGAGAGGCTGACAGAGGTTCTATTTTGTGCAAGGGTCCTCTGCACACACGAGCAACAACCTGGAGGCAACTAATCCCAGAAGCACAGCTCTTTACCATCTCATAATAAGTAAAAGCACTTGAAACGTAACACAAAATACAGGGACAGCCACAGTCATCGGCTTCCTGATTCACAGTTCCAACTAATTTCTCAGGAATTCCAGTGCAGTGAGACGTGACGTGAGAAAAAAATTTCCCAATCAGAGCGGAGTGTAAATTTTGTGCTCGACTCTAAACGTGCCGGTCAGCTTTGAGCGAGAAAGAACCTGTCACCCTGTGTGATGACAGGAGGTTAGCGTTGCTGTTGGGAACTAAAACAAAAATCAGGCAGGGATAACAGAATGAGGTTGGCAGGTTTTATTTCCCAACTTCACTGGCTGATGAACTCTGCCCAGCTTTGTTCTGACTTTGTAGCCAACAGTCGACTGGGACTGAGCACGTACAGGAGACAGTTTGTCTCTGTAAGCACAACTGTGCACACACAAGCATTTGTATTTTTGTTCCAGCATGGTAGGATTTATTGGGGCACGGTGGCTGACCCAGACCGTGGGATGTATTTGCGTTTGTATGTATATAAATAGCTGATGCAGACTGTGTGTGTGTGTGTGTGCGGCACTAGGTGCTGAGCAGCAGCATTTTGTTGCTGTCTGCCTGTACAAGGAAATGCCAGATGGCCCCCTCGCCTTGGGAACGTCAGCCTATTACCAGCTACTACAAAACCAGCTGGCCTCTGCCTTAACACTCCTACTGTGTGTCGGGGGCATGGACACTGTGTGCTTGATGAAGGCTTTCAGATTTGAGCCATTTCTATTCTCTACTGTAGCATTGCACTGCGCTGCACCAGGCAGCTTTTAAAAAATGTGTTTGAGTTGGAAAATGAGGATATCTCTACCCACAATGCCCTCCCCCTAGCATTGAATCAGGCTTTGCATGTAAGCATAAGGAATAATGCTCACTATAAATTCATATCAATCATAAAAAGTCCCCTATGTATTATATTAGCTGGTTATTTAAATTTAATTAGAATAAAAATATAAAAATGACAAACTGCCCAGTGAACTTTTTAAAGAGCGCTTTCATTGTGAGGTTGATCCTCTGAGTTCCCTGTTTTGGAAACACAGAAACAATGAAGTGTATTTGAATTATGAACATTTTATGGGAACTCCCATAGTAATGTCACATGATACGGTAGGATTATTATGAATAGTATTATCAATACAGTTACTCACTCCGAGAGCTGTAGACATAGAGTGAGGGAAGATGGGTAATCGACAGTGGACGGCCTCGGCCTCTCGGACAGATGAGAAGGTAATCCCTGGTCAAAGCTTCAAATATTTGTTGTTGATTACTACCCCAAATAATGATGGGTAATCTTAATCACGACAGAGGGAGTAGGATTGAAACTAAGGTTTTTTTTTTTTTTTATTATCAAGTAATTTGTCTACTTTCTTGATTAATGGATCAGTCGTTGAGTTGATGAGATTTTGAATTTCATGACAGAATTTAAAAAAAAAGAAAGCCCGTCCCAGAAAGTTCAAGGTGACTCCTTCAGATCTCGTTTTGTCCGACTAACAGTCATAACCCAAAGATATTCACTTTACAATAATGATATATATCTACATTCCCCACACTGTGGAAGCTGCATTCAGCAAATGTTTGGAATTTTTGCTTGATGACTGAAACACTTCCTGTTAATTCTGCTTACTCATTTAGTACTTGAGAGAAGGCATTGTGGGTAGATATGATTTGAGTCCTCATTCAACATCACTGATCTGCAGTCACTTAGAATCACACTAAGACTATGCTCAAAGTTACATTCAGCTTCTGTTTATACAAAGTATGCAGTATAAACAATAATTGACGAAGTTAATGAAAATAACATGAAGAGTTAAATGTGACCTTTTCCTCTGTTTTGCGCTCCCTCCTCTCCTCCAGTGGGCATTCCGACGATAAAGTGGTGCGGGGCTGAGGGCGACTACAATGTGATGGTGATGGAACTGCTGGGGCCCAGTCTGGAGGATCTGTTCAACTTCTGCTCTCGGAAATTCAGCCTCAAGACGGTCCTGCTGCTGGCCGACCAGATGGTGAGCGCCAGAGAGGAAGCGAAACAAAGAGGAAGGGGTTGCTAGATGCTAGCTGCTAATTTTGTTGTTTTTTTAACTTGAGGTGTACTATAGTTATTATAGTTATTGTGAAAACAGTGTGCTGGAGACACGAGAGCGTCTTATTCTTTTAGCTCTCGTGACAAATTTGAACGCTGCATCTACTGTAAACCTCTACATGAAAACATAATCCAAAGTCCAGATGTTTTATCCAAGTTCTGCTATTCTCAATATCTACTTATATATACTAATATACTTGACGCTGCCTTTACTGGTGGGCTGACTACATTTAAAGCTACATTTGGCAGTACTCTCTGGTACTTGTATCTGACTCCCTTTTCTCTCCTTTCCGCCATGTTTGCATGTTAACGCTCACATCAGATCTGCTCCCGCTTCCTCCCCTCTAGATCAGCCGCATCGAATACATCCACTCCAAGAACTTCATCCACAGGGACGTGAAGCCAGACAACTTCCTGATGGGGTTGGGCAAGAAGGGCAACCTGGTCTACATCATTGACTTCGGCCTGGCCAAGAAATACCGCGACGCCCGCACACACCAGCACATCCCCTACCGCGAGAACAAGAACCTGACCGGAACCGCCCGCTACGCCTCCATAAACACACATCTGGGCATCGGTAAGGCCGGTCGTTGTAGCGTCAATAAAGTCCCGCCTTATGTCATGAATGGATAGACTCGCCTCGTGGCCGCTGATCTGACTTTGTCCCCCTTTGTGTCTACAGAGCAGTCCAGACGGGACGACTTGGAGTCGCTGGGTTACGTCCTCATGTACTTCAACCTGGGTTCTCTGCCCTGGCAGGGTCTGAAAGCCGCCACCAAGAGGCAGAAGTACGAACGCATCAGTGAGAAGAAAATGTCCACTCCCATTGAGGTCCTCTGCAAAGGCTACCCATGTACGTTTAACTGCTCCCTCCCTTCTTTCATTGGTTCTGTGTGGGATGTAATCACATACTAACTTTTAATATCAGAATGGAGGTTGGTGTGTTTAAGTATTTCCCACAAAGCTACAGTGCATACCGTTTGTGAACTTTTCCCCATCCTCTTGGTCCTCCACAGCGGAGTTCGCCACCTACCTGAACTTCTGCCGCTCTCTGCGGTTTGACGACAAACCCGACTATTCGTACCTCCGCCAGCTCTTCAGGAACCTCTTCCACAGACAGGGCTTCTCCTACGACTACGTCTTTGACTGGAACATGCTCAAATTTGTAAGTTGTTGGGATTCCCTTCATTCTCTGTCGTCTCCAAAGTCTGCATGATTTTTGCTTCCACGGTTGATTACAATGGATTTGGGTGCATTCAGCTGCCTTCATCAGTACGGAGTTGGAGAGTTTAGATGTGGTCAGCAGACGCAGTACTACTCACTGAAATGTGTATTTACAGTAAAACTAAATGTAATCATACACACTACTGCCTCTGTTCAATTTTTATTAAGTGCGACAATATCTGTTCATACAAAGAGCCAAAACTACACAGAGGCAGTTTTTGTACAAGGTTAGCAGACCTTAACTTTCCCTTCATACTAGTTTTGCCAGGGAGTTTTATTAAAGAATATATATCTGATGTTTGAAATGACCATGTGATTTAAATAATGGTTAATTTCCCACCTATTTCACCCATTTCAGGCACTCTGTGATGAACTACTCACTGCTTCTACCAGGAGAAAATATGTTGAATAAATATGTCTCTGTGTGTGTCAGGGTGCCAACAGGGCCGTGGAGGACGCAGAGAGGGAGCGGCGGGAGCGGGAGGAGAGGCTGAGGCACAGCAGGAACCCCGGAGCCAGGGGCATGGCCTCGGCCTCAGGAAGAGCCAGGGCGGCTCAGGACGTCGCAGCCCCCTCACCACTTAATCCCGCCTCACACACAGGTCAGCACACACAAACAGTACTTATCAGGAAGCAATTGAAAGGTCATTAGTTTTGAGTGATCCAGTGCTTGTATTTATTCTATGTATTTGTTGTAATTTGATGTATTGTTTTGGATGCGGGACACAGAAAATAGAAAGTAAAAAGTCAGCAAGATGCCATTATTTTGGGTTTTGTTGGTCACCAGTCTTCTTTGACTATTTTTTTTTTTTATAATCAAGAGATGTTCCTTATCAGTGATCTCCTGTCCCTTTTTTGTCAGGTTTGGAGAAGGAGAGGAAGGTGAGCATGCGTCTTCATCGCGGAGCACCCGTCAACATCTCCTCCTCAGACCTGACGGGACGCCAGGACACATCCCGCATGTCCACCTCACAGGTAACACACAGACACAAACTGCGATTAGTTATGTAACGTACAAAATCCTCAATTCTGTCTGTCTACATGTCTCAGGCAGAGCAGGGAAAGATATGAAAGAGCAAAGCTCAGCGGGTGAGGGGAATTAAAAAGAGCAGAGGGAGGGCTTTGACTGACTAAATCTTCTGAAATAAACCAGCTGTGCTCAGTTGTCTAACAAATATTGACGTGTCTGCAAAAACAGGAAGCATATATCACAAGAGAACACACAGTATGTGTCTATCAGCATTTAAAGATGTGTTTCAGGGAGTGCTAACAGACAAAGAACTTCCCTTTTTTACTTGCCCTAAATGTCAGTTTGTTCCCCTTTTTTTGCATTTTACATATTGGGACAGACTGATGACAACAGTAAAGATGGGCGTTTGTCTTCTTTTGGACGTAGTTTAAGAGCCTCTGCTGCACTCTGCAGTTTAGGTTGTTTGTTCTCTCCTCTTTCTTTTAGAGCCACTGCTCCCCCAGGAGGCCAATGAGTGTAACAGCCAGATAAAGTCTAAAAAAGGATGTTTACTTCCTTCGACTACAACCAACAGCTGTAGTAACTAAACTTGTTCAGCCTGAACTGGCTTTCTTTAGGGGATTTATAGTTATGAAACAAGTTCAAATAGACAGGTTACATTTCTCTGTGCTGATGTGTTGGAATCCAAGGCCGCCTTTATTCCTTTTGAAGAGGAGTAGTATTTGTTGTGTTTGTCTGTTTATTATAGGATGTGATTAAAGTCCTAATAAGACAATATTACATTTCTCTCTGCATTACAATAACCAAACATCTGACCTCACAGTTTTACAAAGAAGACCTAGAATTTAGTTCGGCACTTAAACTAAGCACTAAATGCTAAATTAACTATGGTAATAATTGAATATAATAATATACATGGCTCTGACCATTTCTTGTGTGTGTATACATAATGTTCCAGTTAGTGATATTGTTATTGAGGGGTCTGCTTGTCTATTTAAAGAAGGGAATTTATTTCATTTTAAAGGGTCAATTCACCCAAATTACAAAATAGAAACAGTGTTGTAACTCTTAACGGTATGAAGCAATGCAGAAATACAATGTCCAATTTCTGCCATCACCTGAATACAACGGGAGAATCTGTGTCTTGATTTTCATGTTTAAGATTTTAAGGGATTTTCGTTGACAGTTTGAGGGTACAGAGAGACAGGCTTGAACACGCCCTTCACGTGGGAAAAAACCCACTCAGACCCACCCCTTTGCCCCCGAGGTTACATGACGTTACCTCATGGGTGTGTGTAGTAGAAGGTGAAATCATCAATCAATTTTTCCATACACTCTGTACTTAATACGTACAATAGTAACGGTGTGTTTCCATTGCCTCTGGTTGCTATGGCTTCCAGGTAAACACGGCAGAGTGTGATTGGACGTGACTAAACTTAACATGAATAAAACTTTAATATCTCATCTCACCTCATCCGTGAACATGTTTCCTGCCTGAGTCACATCAGATAGATTGTTCACCATGCTGTTTTAACAATGAAGACAACAAGTCCTGTGATCCAACGCTGCTTCCTGACGTCATTAACCTACGTCTTTTGTTAGTTTGATGTGAGACGCACCTAGCGGCAGAAATTACATATTGTACGTTAAAGTCTCGAGTCCAAGTCATGTGACTTGAGTCCACACCTCTGGCTGATACTGAAAGAAAGGGACTGTGCCTGTTTTTTAACTAAAAAATGTGGATTTAATGTAATGTTACAACCTACAACCTACATTCTGGCTCCTCAGTGGACATCTTTGAACATTCAACAACGTTAAATTGACATATGTTTGGAAGTGTCGTTGCTCAGTGGGTCAGCTTGTCAAATCTCCATTGGCTGATTTTTAGAACTTAAAACACGTTGCCTGTTTCGACAGCCAATCAGCTCAAAGCGAAGTCAGCTGATTCATTTAGTTACAACCGGTTAGCTGTTTGAAATGGTTTTAGACGGAGGGAAAAGAGAGGATCACTATCAGACAGGCTTTCAGAATGCTGCAAACTGACGGATTGCAAGCAGTTGCGAGTTTGAGCTCGCCTCGCCGTCAACCTTGGGTCTGAACTTTGCTCCGCTTGTTACCGTCAGTTAATGTTGTTCTCTTGTCCTCTGCAGGCTCTGTCCCGGGTCACACCCAGCGGCCTCCAGTCCGCAGCGCCACGGTGAAACCCTCCCATCCATCTGTGCACCATGGAGGCCTCAACATGCACCACCTGCTGCACACACACACACACACACACACACACTCTCAAACACACACTCTCAAACACACACATATACACATACAGGACTTAATTGACACAGAGGACTACCAACCATTGCACAAGAGTCTGGCTGCGCTCTTGTTCACTTGACAGAGGAAGAGGTGCACAACCCGAAGTGTGTGTGTCTGTGTGTGTGTTTGTTTGTTTGTTTGTTTGTTTGTTTGTTTGTTTGTGTGCGAGAGAGCGAGATAGGCAGGTGGAGTGCAGTTTGGTTGTCTTAACCACCTTGGCAAAGTAGCAGCCTCCCTTCTTCCTTCTCACGTGGAAGATGTGGAAACACTCCCCTCCTCCTCCTTACTGTTGATGAAGCCATGGATTTACTTCTCTCTGGCATCTGTTTATTTTTTTTATTTTTTTTTAACTTGATTTTACTTATTTTTGTTCATTAGCATTAAAACTTCTTTTACACCAGCTCCACTGAGTCAGACTTCACAAGGGTTTGAAAATGGAGAATGACGAGTCTGTTAGCTGTTGAAAATAGTGTGGGACTTTTTAATTATGAACGCAGGAAGACACGTGATCCATCATGGCAATGTTAAAGGACAGTGCCTAAACTCTATTTGTTTCCTGAAAGAGTCTCTAAATCCCTTTTTTTTTTTGTAGGTGTTTTAGGTTTAAATGTAATATAGATAGGGGGATAACCCCCTTGTTTTAAAAACGGGATGAAAGGACTTTTAATGTTCTATTTTCAAAGGGGATCCCATAGAATGAGTTTGGGGTTTGTCTTCTGTCCTCCTCAGGTGCATTGGAACCAGGACGTTGTAGTAAATCCAAAAACCCGCAGCACATTTTCTTTCTGTCTTCAGGTTGTGACTGCAGTGTGCTGCTTGGGAAAGCTGTGAATGGAGCAGTGAAATAGTCAGGATCTGTCCACACTGAATGGATGAGATGTTGTTTTTAACCCGGTGCATAGTGATGTGGTTTTGTGTGTGTTTGTGTGGTTCTGTCGTAGGCTTATACGAGCTCAAATGGGTGGGGGGAGGAGGGAGGGGGGAGGTTGAACACATTGAGGGGTTATTTTGTTTCAAATTTTCAACTCCTTTGCCTCCTAAACCTCACTCTAGACCATCCAGCCGCCAGCTCCCACTTTGGGTCAAAATGCTGTTCGCTTTTTATGTTTTTTCCAAGCATGCTTTTGGCCATTTTCTACCCCAAGACCTTGTTAAACGCTGTGTCTGGTTGTGCTTCTCCAATACTATCCCAGCAGACGACACGGAAATCAACCTCCACAGGCGCTTAAATAATGTCTTTTTCAATGTAATGACAATGTAAAGGCAGTTTAGTTTTCATTTACATTGCATTACTTTACAGGCAGCCCGGTTAACCCGTGGCTAAGACTGCATCAAAACTCTACATAATTATTTTTTTGTCCTTCTGGGGGATTTTATTGGAGTAAGCAAGAAACAGCTCTACAACGAGTTTGGTCAGAATTGGGCAACGTCTCAATCCAGATCGTTTACTGTTGAGAACGCGCCGTTAGACAATATTTTCCCACGTGATTGCACAGTGCACAACTGAACTGCATGAACAGTGATCACTTTAAATGAGATGTTTTGGTTGGCTGATCAAATTCAAGGCACACTCCACCATTTCGGATCAGTTTATCAGGCATGGGGAGTACTAGACTTCTGTTTGTTGCACCCCCATCCAAAAACACTGGATCACTAGCCCCTGTTACATCTCTTTTGACCATTCTTCTTCAGTCATCAGTCATAATGTGGCCGCTACTGTTGGATTGATCAGCTGCGACCAACTTAGTACATCCCGATCAGAGGGGTCGGGTAGAAAGATGGAGCGGTGTGCTTTAACATCCGGGTGGATGGAAGCATGGAGGTTTTTGGAGAGCTGTGAGTGTTGTCTTAAGAGTCGCGACGGCGCTCGAACCGCGAGCCTCACGCAGCTCTTTCCGGTGTCCTTCCATCAAGAGGTGGCGTGATCCGAGCGGACGGGCCGAGCCGATGAATCCTGCAGATTTTGAAGTAGAAAATTCTCTATGTGGTAGACTGGTTGCAAAGTATTGTAGGCCATTTCCTGTAGTTAAACGGGGGAAGGGGTTGTAGTGGTAATTTGTACATGTCTGTTCTGTTGTTGTGTATAGGATGTGCCTACTCTGTCTGCCGCTGTACGATTTCGGGCAATGACGACAGTGTACGGAGGGACTGGGAATGCCTCACTCCATTAGAGTTCCTGCTAAGGCAGTTTTTTTTAATATACTTCACCTGTGGGCTTGAAAATTAAACAAAAAAAGTGATGGATTAACTTGTTTGTCTCACTGATGATGGCTATGATAAATGCAAGTACACTTTACACGGGAGAATAGTTTCTTTCAGTCTGTCATGTCTTCTTCTTCTCTCCGTTACTACTTTATTTCATCACCTCCTGTTCAATATTTGCTTTTAACTGTGTGGTGGAGATGGTTGCTCGTGTCCCACAATGCATCTCTTACTGTGGATTCATGGGAAATCTTTCTTTCCACTCCCACCTTAAGACTTTTTGCTCCTCATTTGTAATGCCACTGTATTTGTGTATTTTAAAATTGTGTAAATAAATTAATAAGTACTTGTATGTGTTGCTTTTTATTGATTGGAATGAAATGGGGTAAACACAAGTGTAACCTGGACTCTGTCTGACGTGAATGGACCTCCATTGTCATTGGTAACACCTGTGTTTACCCTACCATTTAATGTCGAGAGTGCTGCTGTGAAAAAGGGTCTCGTTGCAAACGTTTCCATGCTAACAAGCTAAATGAAAGTGCTGAACGTGGTAAACATCGGCATGTTAGCGTTGTCATTGTGAGCGTGTTGGCATATTGTGGTACAGCCTCACTGTCAGCTTCAGCCGTTCACACAGGAATAATATTACAGGGGAGAGTGTGTGTGTCTCCCCCCCCCCCCACTTGGAATAAAATAAACTGTTTTAGCTTCTGGTAACTTAAATGATATCTGCAACAGTGTTAAATACACAAAGCTCACTAAACATAAAATTGTGAACTCTACATGTCTGCTGGATGTGTGCAACTGTTAACTAACGTGTTCATCATAACTTCTTAAAGTGAATATACATTAGTGTTTTAAGTATGTTCTGCCCCAAGTGAGAAAAAAAAGTGTCAGTTATGCCATAATGGAAACACTTGACACATAAAGGCCTACTGCAGCTTTAATGTATTTGTATTGTATTTCAATGCCTTTTCATGCTTGTGTGACCAAATTGACAAAGACAATCTAAAGACACTTCCTGTATATTCAGATTTTATTTTAGTTCATTTCAGTTCATTTTATTTTTTTTTCTAGTTTTTTAAATATCAGTTAACTAAAATGTTTCCTCACACCTAGCTTTAGTTTTGAGTTAGTTTTAGTTAATAACCTTGCACCGTACAGTAAAGTTTAAGGCTGTCCAGTGCTAGAATAAAACTGCTCCTTAATGCAATGACATAGTCCAACCACTGGGTGGTGCTGTGGGAGAACCGGAGCACCTGCATGCTGCTGCGCAGTCAGGACAGTTATACAACAGGTCATGATTGCTCCTCCCTGCACGATGTGCAGAGACTAATGAGCCCAGGATAAGAATAACATCCACTGTGAACACTCACTAACCAATAAAAGCAAGGATACAAAGAAAGTGGAAGAAATAGTTAGTTACTTTTTGGATTAAAATGTGGTAAATCAAGAACATTTCTGGGTCTATTTTTAAAACAATGAAATGTGAGCATCTATTTTTACACAAGGCATCTGAAGGAGTATTCTAGGGATGAGTGAGGGACAAAACACACACAAACATGCATGCTTCCTGACCAGGGGTAAAGTGGGGCAGGGGGAGTGTTGACGTCAGCAGACCACAGTCTCTTCCCCACAGCAACAGCACAGTAGTTTATTTATTCCCTGATTATTAACACTCTGTCAGTCAGAGCATCACGGGAAAGAGCCGGAGCACAGCAACACACCCCCAGGTGCCACACAGCTTCTGATCAATGCAAATACATCGAAAGTGCATCACACACACACACAGGGATCTCGTGCTGTGTGGAGAGAGATCAAAACAAACGCAGGCTGGTGATCAGAAACCTGGACTCTGTTCAGCTGCTCACTTTCCCAAGAGGTTCCACATTTATGAAGAAATGACTCAATTATCTTGAGACAGCAAACTCATGAACCTGTTATGAGATGGAAACAGCTTAGTTATTCAGAGATATGAGATGATTGACTTGATATAACTGGAGGAAGCAAACCCTGCATCCACTGCCGCTCCTATCCCGTGGACACTGAGCTTTGCATAGTGGGGTTTTTTATTAAATAGGAGGAGGTGTATGCTGAGTAACCATAAACATTAATGCATGTTGAAAAGACTTCAGCTCTAATTGTAGCTTCTTTCCCAAACTAGCTGAAAAAAACTGTTTTGGTGTCCTGGAGCACTTTTACACCTCACTCTCTCTCATTAGCATATGGAAGACTCTTACAGACTTTTTAAGGGGCCAATTTTACTCATCAACATTAGTGTAGTAGCCACGAGGAGTAACATTCAGCCTGCGAGACAGTACTACAATGTAGGACACTCGTTTTACTAGGAAGACAAGTGTGGACCGGGAGTTTCCATCAAATTGGCTCTGGTTCTTGAACCGGTTCCATTCAGGAGTCAACAACAGTCAGTAATAAATAATCTTATTAGGAATAAACCTGCCTCCTGCCTGAGCTGTCTGTAACTGAACGGGGTCGGCCATCACTACTGCATTTTAACGTCGGTCATAATGCTGATAGTTAGAGAGCCCAATGGATGGTCAAATGACAATGATATCAAGTTGCATTATGGGTGTAAGATCAAGGCCATTTCGAACCTACAGTCCCAGTAGTCGGAACTAAAGCCTGTGTTTCCATCAAACACTTTCTGTAGGCTATAGTACCCTTTGAAACCCGTACCCAACCCCTGTCCCTACCCGTACCCCTAAAGGACACAAGCTTTGTTTAAGAAGAGGCAGCAAGACAGGGAAAAAAAAGTATGAAGTAGTGAAATCCTACATCAGAGCACCGACGATGCGAGGACTCTGTGGTCTGCAGGGCTTTTAGCTCCTCCTCGCCGTCCTGGTTCAGTGCCTCAACAGAAGGGTAACCAAAAAACGGGACAGAATTCAGGTTTCAGATTTCAAAAACAAAAGTAAATTATAAATATATAAATGTTTATCACGATATATTTATTATGATATATTTAAATATATCTTTTTAAAGGTAACATAAGAATCGTTGAGTTGAATGAGTGATCTTCAGACTTTGCGGGTCACCGTCTGCGGAGTCCGCCACGTTTCTACGTTTTCTAGTCAAGAATGGACAACCCAAACTGTAGCTGTAGAAAGGGCCTCTCCCATTTTTCTAAAGTTTTGCTGCCACCATGGTTCCTCCTACACACTTCACAGCCCGTTCTCACTTCCATGTCATCAAATACAGTTAGATTGGATGAGTTAGCAGCTATCTGGAACTGCACCGCTAGATGCCACTAAGTCCTACACGCTGGTCCTTTAAGTTTTGGTTTTTTTATGTGATAATGCATCCAAAAATCCAGCGCCAACCTGCCCAGCTAACTATTGACATTGATAGTGATCTTGTTAGAAATCCCAAAGATATAAAAGAGTGTGCCAACCAGTCCCGCTCTCCCCTACAGTGTTAATAAAACAGAAGGCCAGAAATAGCCGAGCGGGCGGTGCTCCTATTGGCTAGGACAGTGATAGGGAGGCGTTAGGACCCAGCGGCGGGGCGCCTGCCCCTCTCTGCCCTGCTGATGGTCTGCAGACGTGCGGGCAGAAACGCGGCTCCGGTGCTGAGGCAGGAGGCTGGAGGAGGGACGACTCTCAGCAGCATCCCCCGGTAAGAGACTCAACAGTTTGTAACTGCGTGTGGTTTGGGCCGCTGACATCACCCTCCCCTCTTATACACAGATATACAGGGGGCTGGTGTGAGTGGAGCAGGAAGGCGTCTGTCACAGCCACAGGGACACAATATTAATGGTCACATTCTGATATCTGGGACCGTAATGTCCGTCATATCGCGTGATTTGTCATTTTAGATGCACGTTCTCTGGCATGATGCAGGCGCCCACGTCGTGACACTGACAGCAGGAGTGCAGAGGCATCCATGCAAAACAGGTTCTAGTGGTACAGGCTCCCAATGATGTAAACTGCATGCGGGGATGCTGCGTGACCTTAGTTAAGAACTGACTGTTTTAGTCTTGAAAACATTTTATTTTGAAATTCAGATTCATTTAAGAAGAAAAATAAAAGTGGTTTAAAACATGTTCATGTGAAGGGCATGGTGTTGGTGTGAAGGAAACTGGATCTGACATAATTATAATATTTAATAACCTTTTCTTTATTTAATAGTAATTTTTTACTTGATTTGTTATGTAGGCCTATAATGACGCAATTATATTGGATCTTACTATGTTATAATTGCTACTTTAATTGCATGATCTCTTTACATTGCTTCTTAAAACTACTTTGTTCTCACGTGTTTCCTTTCTACATAGACCTACAGGTCACATTTGCTTTAAATGTCTCACTTAACTTAAATAAAATCTAAATATCCCACTCCTTCACACCCCAAGTACCACTAGTGTCTGAAAACTTCAGTTATTTCCCCTGTGTTTTCTTTGTGAAGCTGTTTTCACTGTAAGCCTTTAAAGCTCGATTCATTTTTTTTTTAACAAGTAAGATTTTCTTTTTTTTTAATTGCCACTTGGGGGCAGCAGAACAAGCTGAAAACACAACACTGACATAATATCGTTTTTATAATAATAATAATCCTTTTGTTAGCAATCAATAGCTCATTAGCATTCATTTGCTGTCGTTACTCTCTTTCTCTTTAGATTCTAAATGCTCCACTATGTTCACAAGCTAGTCATTCATTTTTTTCTGTCTGCTGTTTGGTGCGGGGCAGATAGCGTACAGTGGGTTTCTCTTGCTGAAAACAGCTGCTTGCTGCTGGAACTGAGGCTGACGAGAGCGGTCCGACTGAACCCAAACGTTAAAGTAGCAGACTAAAATACTGAAACAATTAGCTTAACAAAGCTAAAAAGCTCCAAAAGCTGAGGGGAACTGTAGATTCTGGTAAAAAAAAAAAAAAAAAAACCAGAGTGACAATCCAAGTCCAACCAAGATAATCTGAGCTATACAGTACATTCCTACCCTCATGATGTTTGTTTTTTTTATCCTATAAATGACTAACATCTGGAGGTCAGAGCCGACTTTATAGCCTGTAAAATTACATATAACATTATATATGGCATTAAGAACAGCAGCTATATATAAAGTCATACGTTTTAAAGGTGCTGTAAGGGAAATTTTGGCTAACTTCCTGTCCATTCCTGCCTGTTTTTGGAGTTCTCTCTACTGATTGGATAAAATGGGAATGGGATACTTGAAAATGTATTCTCTGTTTAATGCAGGAAGGAAGAACTGAGAGACCCATAATACTGAGTGAACACTCTATATCAGTGATGGCTGATCACTGATATAGAGCTGAAATATTGAACGCTTATTTTAACATTACATATATCGCTTACACCACCTTTAAAGACAGAGAAATCATTAATGACAGCTGAAATGTTTTTGTTTTTGGATGTGTTGAATCTTTCAGTGAGTCATGTTGACCCTCTCAAGGTCTAAAGACCCCGCCCAGTAAGCGTCCCCTACTTTTGAAAGCAGCAACGATCAGTACGATTTTTGGCACAGCATGTAACTTAAAGACTTTATCTGATATCCAAGGAGACTCAGAGGACGTTTTTATGAAAGCATATATTACAGTCTAAACAATATTCCCAACAATGCATTCTGGATATCTTCATAGCAGTGTATGACTGCGCAATAATGCAGCATTCTGCCCCAGGGACTGACTGAAACACACAGACTCTGGTGGTCCATAGTTTTTTTTAGGCTGGTCACGTCACATTCCCGTCAGCATGAGGCTCAAAATGATCATGTTACCCGGAGACACTGGATTGCTGGCTCTTCTGGCCTGAGCCCAGCTTGCATTTTTACCACACAACTCGTTCCTTTAGCTTTTTCAACAGGTTGTAAATTAGCCAATGGAGCCTCTAGCCATTTCCTCACTGTCCAAACATTAGCTAATTGTCTTTACTGCTTTGATTTGTGGAAATCCAGAGAGCGAATTTAAATTGCGACTTTAAATTGTTGACAAATGTATGACAAAAACATCCTCCATCCACTGTCTTTTGCATGATTTTGACTCACATACACATACATACATGTACACATGAATATGCATGTGGGGGTGTTCTTGGCTGAGGTGCATCATGGTTGTGGTTGTGGTAGTAAAAGCCATGAGTCCCAGTGGAACTATAAATTACAGGGGCCAGCACTTAGCCCGATGCAAGGCATAATAGGATGCAGTTTATCAGTAATTCACAGTTGCTGGTTACAGCTCGTAAATACTGACTGCCTTGGGGTGATGATCAACTGCGAAGGACTATATTATATTTCTAAATCTGAGAAATTTCATGCCTAAAAGTTTTTTCCACAAAAAAGTATAATTTCCACCTTAAAATCCTTAAAAACATATATAGCCTACCTCTTCTACCTCATTAAAAGCTTCCAGAATCTCTGAATATGTAAATGTTGTTCATTTCTAAAGTTTTCCTGCTGGACACAAGATGTCTCCTACTTCACTGTAAAGTCCATTCTCAGAGGAAGTTTCTACATCACACTGTACAGTTGCATACTGGACCAGGGTATACTTCCTAAATATTTGTAATGTAACAAATCATGCTGGTAGGCCCCGCCCCTTAAAATCAGATTTTCAGGGAGCGAGTAACTTTCCACTTTCAGCAGATGAATGTGAAAACACCCTTCTAGTGTCAAACTCTGCACAGACAGCATTCAAACAGCACACTGTAGGGACAAGAAGAAACACTGATTTCGACTGAAGGAGGACTTTAAGGATGTTTACAGTCACATTACATTAACAGTTTACTAATTGTAGCCTTTTTTATACACAGTCTGCTAATTTTAGGAAACCAGCATTTATATGACATATGAGCATCTACAACTGCTAAGGCTCTGTCAGGCCTGTGCTGCAGCCATCTTCACCTCCTACTTGTTTCAGTGAGGGTGGTGTGGGGAACGGAGGTGCCTTCAGCCCGGTATTCAGCAGTAAAACCCATGATAGGTGGTACAGAGGTCAGGTGTCACACTCAGTCAGTCAAGAACATTCTACTGTGTAGTCTTAAAAACTCCTTGGTTGCCTGGTTTAGCTTCATTGTCCCACTGCATTGTTTTCAAATTAAAAGACTATGTGCAGAAAAAAATGTCAGCACCCTCAAATACAGTTAAAGCTGAAAATTGGTCATTTCATCTTAAACGCAATGTGCTGGAGTATAGAGCCATAACAACGAACAACATATCACATTTCACCAGGTTTATATTTTTTCTGTACTGTATTTTTCAGCACTCTATATCATCCACAGGCTTTAACAATTTACTGATATGTGTCGACCATTAACATACAAACTGCAATCTCTAAATGTTTAGATCAGGGTTGTCAAACTCCTTTGGTCTAAACCTAATTTGATCTCAAGTGGACCAGACCAGTAAAACCATTGCATAATAACGTATAAATAACAACACCTCCAAATTGTCCACTTCCTCTAGTGTTAAAGAGTACAATTCTGAAAACAATCACAGATAATGAACCATCCATTTACAACACAGATGATGAACAGAAAAAATAAGTGCAGTTTCAACAATATGTAACAATATGCTGTCATTACACGTGCATTACAATTTACAGGTCACTGTGGATCTAAAGGCACAAAATGTTTCACTATGTATGAACTGAACAACAATAGTACTGTCCTTCTTTCTTTGTGCATCTGGAATAGCAGTGCATTTTACTGAAAATTGGAATTAATAATTTTTTGCAAGGTCATCCAGTGGTCTTGGACTGCATGTATGTATTCCAATGTAATCCCTGTACAAATCAGTCAACCACAGTGGTTGCTGTAGCTCAGGTGTTAAAAGAGTCAACTATGAAAAGTAGCGTTGGCGGTTTTATCTTTCATCTCCGGCTCCATCTGTCCACATGTTGTCATATCATTGTAAACTGTATAGTTTACAGTCTGGAAACCTAAGGGGGACACTGGCAGCACTGAAAAACACATTTCTAGGTGTTCTGATGTTTTTTTGATGTTTTGAAGACTGATATCAAAATGTTGCTCACTTTTTGGTTCTTTGTTTTAGTTCCTGTTGGGTGTTGGTCCAATCTCAAGAAATCTCTCTCCCCTGCTCAACCAATCAGCAATATTTGACGCCAGGACTGCTGATACACATCATGTGTGACTGGGAAGATATCTGAGGGGAGCCCATCAGAACCTGTGTGAGCCTCTCAGATCCATTGTTAGTTACTTCACTGCATCCCCACACATATTTGATATTTTTAATAGGGCGTGCCTAGTCAGAACTGTTATAATCTGCAATAAGGCGCTTTAAGGGGCCAAACAGTAACAGTGGAGGATGCTTCTGAGCTCAAAAGGAGTTTCTGGCAATTCCAGTTAATGATAATTGATATGATTTTTAATTATAGTAAAATAGTGTTGCTGCACTAAATATGTTAAATCTGGGAGTGGTCTAATTGCTGGGGGCCTGTATTCTTGGTTTCATCTCAATTAGATGCACCCACAGAGAAACTCTCTATCGAACTGCTTGTTGTCATTTTACTTTTTCCTCCAGCTTCTCTGTCTGCCTCCATTAAAACACAGCCCTAGAGCACCATGGGAGGCGCGGCGGTGGACGTGGATGCAGGGGCGGTGAAGGCTCCAGATGGTGGGTGGGGCTGGGCGGTGCTGGCTGGCTGTTTTGTCATCACAGGCTTCTCGTACGCTTTCCCTAAAGCGGTCAGCGTCTTTTTCAAAGAGCTGATCAGGGAGTTTGGGGTGGGATACAGCGACACTGCCTGGATCTCCTCCATACTGCTGGCCATGCTGTATGGCACAGGTAGGCTGCTGTTTGTACTGTATATACGGCAACAACTGCCCCTCATTGTCTTCGCCAGCAGATGGAGTTTGCTTAATTGCTGGAGATGAATCAGTTGGTTATCACAGGTTTCAGTTATTTTACTATTAAATAATAACACAAAGATTATTGTACTGTTGTATATTTGTTGATATAATAATACTGTTCTGTACCTTAATATTGAACTCAATACTATTATATGTAAATAAATGTAATAATGTAGTTTTAAATGTTCTGCTTGTTTTTCTAAAAATGTCAGCGTAGAAGTAAGTGACACATTTCAGAACATTACATTAAATCGCCCTTGTTCTCATTGCATTCTCAGGGATATTTCAACATGCTTAAAGGAACAACAATTGCAATTTTGGGAAATGCTTGTTTGCTGCCTTACCCAGAGTCAGATGAAAAGATTGATATCAGCTTCATCATCCCATCTTCTAAAATCACCAAAGCTGTCTTAGAGTGAGCCTGATAACTGTGACTTATTTTCAGGTCAGAAGTTAGCGTCACCCTGGTTCCTCCGACAAAAATCCAGAGGGATTTTTCCATTTGAGTTTGGATTGTTGCAGAAAATGCGTTCTGTGGTTTTTACGACTCAATCCTGCCACACGCTATAGAAGCACCAGACCACCTAGGTCAAACACAGCCTGACTGAGTGCGTTTACACTTTGTCCAGGTCCTCTGTGCAGTGTGCTGGTGAACCGCTTCGGCTGTCGTCCTGTGATGATGGTGGGCGGCCTCTTTGCCTCTCTGGGAATGATCCTGGCCTCCTTCTCCACCAGCATCATCCACATCTACCTCACTGCTGGAGTCATAACAGGTCAGACCGTCAGCGAAAGTTTCCCACCTTCCAGTAGAGTGTTGCAACATCTCCTGACCAGATGAGTCCTTGAGCTGACATTAGGATATATCTTAGCATATGAAAAGGAGTGAGGACTGTTGATTCCATAGTGTTGATTTTTACGTGTGTGCAATTTTAGTCAACAAAAACGACATTTTAGCCAAAATCTTAATTAAGCTACTAACGCTTTTGCTTTCAGACGATACAATTTGTACGAACTTTTTGTACAACAAATCCCTGTTTGCACCACAGCAACAGATCGACAACAGATGTTAGATGGTTAAATATGAAAAGTTAAAGCTTTCTTTTCTTCGCTGCAGGTTTGGGGTTAGCCCTGAACTTCCAACCATCTCTAATAATGCTCAACCGCTACTTCAGTGAGAAGCGACCTCTGGCCAATGGGCTCTCAGCAGCAGGAAGCCCTGTGGCCCTGTGCTGCCTCTCGCCGCTGGGCCAGGTCCTCCAGTACCAGTACGGATGGAGGGGGGGCTTCCTTATCTTGGGTGGCCTTCTGCTCAACTGTTGTGTGTGCGGGGCCCTAATGAAGCCTCTGGTTGCCCCCAAGAAGGCCATGGCTAAGGACGTGGAACAGGACAACGAGGGAGAAACAGAGGTGGCAGAGAAGAATAAGAAGCCCAAAGCCAAACTGCTGGACTTCTCTGTGTTCAATGACTGTGGGTTTCTCATCTACACGGTGGCGGCGTCCATCATGGTGCTGGGGCTGTTTGTGCCTCCAGTGTTTGTTGTGAGCTACGCTAAGGAGCTTGGGAATGAGGACACCAAATCGGCTCTGCTGCTCACTATCCTGGGCTTCATTGACATTTTTGCACGGCCCACATGTGGTGTGATTGCCGGACTGAAATGGGTGCGGCCTCGCTGCGTCTACCTCTTCAGCTTTGCGATGATCTTCAATGGAACCACTGACCTCATCGGATCACAGGTAGGTGAAAGCTTGCTCATTATGAACAGGAAAGAAGAAGCTTAGTCCACCGATTTAAAACCCATGAACATGTTTGTTCCCAGGCGAAGGACTACTCAACGCTGGTGGTCTTCTGCATCTTCTTTGGCATCTCCTACGGCATGGTGGGTGCGCTGCAGTTTGAGGTTCTGATGACAATAGTTGGTACTGAGAAGTTCTCCAGTGCCATTGGCCTGGTCCTGCTCATGGAGGCTATTGCTGTGCTAGTTGGGCCACCTGGTGCAGGTCAGTAATCACAAAAACTAGAACATGAACATGCTGGACTATGGACTACTACAAGTACCCAATTCATTTTAAAGACTTGCTGACAGTAATACATGCAACTGAAGTACTGCAGGCTGTGTAATATTACAAACTTTTATTTCTGTGTGGTTCCTCCATTGTATGTTCTCATCTGTTCCCCTGTTACCCCATCTTCTGTCTCAGGCCGGCTTCTTGATGCCACCAAGAACTACATGTACGTCTTCCTGCTGGCAGGAAGCGAGGTGGTCCTCGCAGCTGTGGTTCTGGCTTCTTGTAACTTCCTGTGTATCAGAAAGAAGTCCTCCACGCCGGCGGACAAGCTTGAGAACATCACAGTGACAGAGGACGTCAAGGCGGAGGCGTGCAGCGAACCTGCAGAGATGAATGAGGAGGAGGAGAAGGGAGCAAGAGAGGAGCAAGAGAAGGAGACAAAGAAAGAGGTCTTGAAGGAGGAGGGGGAGACAGACAAAGAGGTCAGGCCAGAGAGTGTAACAGTGGACTCACAGGAAGTGGAACGGTTCTTGAAAGAGCCACAACAAAATGGTGACATGGCCATCAGTCCTGAAACATGCCTGTGAGCAGGGATGGAGGACGCTGGACTACTCGCAGGCTGTGCTCCTTCCTTTTTTAAAATAACCCAACGGCAGGACAAAGTGTACTTTGAAGTGTCCTAACGAGCACACTATTAGATAGTTGTGCTTTCCTCATCATTCAGTGTTTAATCCAGGTGTTCATCTCGTTGTGGGGAGGCTTATTGGTTTTACTGCCATATGAAATCGTAAGAGTTGTCAGCAATATGTTATCTCTAGATGTTTTAAAATGTGGTGGTTAATAATAATCAATAGAACAACTCAGCACTGCCTTGTGTGTACAGTTTATATCAAAGTTTTATTTTGAAGTATAGTCACCAGCAAATAAAGGTAAGGGATCATTTTCACAATATTCTATATTCTCAATGTCAACAAATCCCATGAAAATACTAAAATAACTAAGGTGACCGGATGTCCTGATTTGCTTGGGATTTTCCTGGTTTCAAGCTGCACCAAGTCCTGACAAATATCTGTAAAACACTGACATTTCCTGGTTTTAACATCTGGTACACAACTACATAGTAGTAATAATAATTATTATATTATACATGTTTTCAGTCCTTACATAGACGTTTATCATGTACCACTTATTATTACCTAACCCAGTATAAAAACATAATGCACCACGCACCAGAGTTCAGCACTGATTTGTCAGTATGTCAATCAATCAGTGTGACATTGTTAATATGTGGCTAGCCTCTGAGTCATAGTCTGACATCATAGGCTCAGTCAGTAAGATAATGGTTAGCTAAAGAGCTCCAGGGGGCTTACTCCTTTGTAAAGTATCCTCCAATGAAAATGCTGTGTTCATGGCGTCCATAATGTTGAAAGGTGCGCTTGGTAGGTATCCCCCCAGCCTCAACACCTATGGTGTGCGCATGAACATGCGGTACACTTGAGGGTCCTGGTTTGGGAATGTTAAAATATTACCCTTACTATAACTACAGCTGGGAACTAGCTTTTAGCTATATCTGATGCAATAAATATATTATTCATTGTCCCTGTTAAATAAACAGCTAAATTAAATAAAAAAATAAGGTTTTTATCAGGTGTTGCCTATGTAGCCAACCCCTGTTAGTTTATCTTATTCCTCTGTGCCTGCTGCAGGAAATACTCACTATAGCACCAAATATTTATTCATCCACATCTGAAAACAGTCCTCAACAAATGCACTATTTACTCCTGTTTTAGTAACATTTACAGTGTTTTAGGAAATTACATAAAACTTGAAACAATATATCGCTGAGGCATTTTTAAAGATTAACCTCTGCAGTAGGAACCAATGTGCTTCGGACTGAGTTTGGACCAACACATTGTTAGTGTTCTCATTCGATTTGTTGGCAATAAGAAATATAGAATCATGCCAGCCTTATCCTTTAAAAACAAAAGGCCGCTTTTTTCTCACAAAGTGTTATAAAGAACAGCTTAGCTGTGTAAGTAGGAACACCTTTCTATTAATGCTTAAAATGGTTTGTGTTTGCTTTAAAAGGCTCGTAATGCCCTGACCACCTGGTGTCATCACAGCGTAAGAATCTTTCCTTATGATCTGTGCTGCCACAGTTAAGGCGGGTTAGATGTTTAAGTGAGAAGTGGTTTCTGTCGTATCAGTATTGAATGGTTGCTACATGCATTGAGCATCGGTGTTGCAGTCGTTTGAAGATTGTTGCTGGTCTTGTGGTATCTTTGTGATCCCTCCCTGGATTATATGCAGGGCCCAAATATTCTCCACGTCTTTGTTATTCTCTTCATCACTGTGTTACATGATATATTTACAGTATTTTAGCTTCACTCAACAGACTTTGCCTTTGAAGATCACTTATCTGTATGTGTGTTACTGTGGTTAACTGCTGATATCGAGCTTCTGTGAGCTGACAGTGTCGTTTGTTGTGGTTTTGGGTCGACTGATATGGCCTACTGATGGGGGGGTGAACATAGACTTTGAGAAAACGTCACTAAACTGACTACTAGATTACTTTTACTCATGCTTACATGCTATGCATTGTCTGTACTGTTTGTGTGTTTCAGTGAAGCAGAATATTAAAGGAAAATTTAGTTTATTAACAACTTTGCTTGTTTTTTAGTTTCATAAAAGTTGCCTGTAAAATGTAATCGGAACCAGTGAATGGTGGAATGATGGCTGAAAATACAAAAGAATGACCCAGGTTGTACCATAACTAAATTGTCCTTTAAAAGGATTCAGAATAACAATATTTACAGTTACAACTACAAGCATCACATATTGGTAGACTGTCGTGATATCAGGCTCCCTTTAACATGTTTACTGCACATTCAACATGCTTAAAGCTGCGCTAATGAATATTTTCAGATTAAGAATGGATCATATAATGTGTGACGAACCCACAGAAAATTATCATTCCAGGCTGCCGTCATCAAAAGAAACCTCCCATTTTTAAGACACGTAAAAGCTTTACTGACACATTTTATGTCGTAGAACAAAATGGGAAAATCTCTTCTAACTAGACAATTCAAAAAACAAGGTAACCAGATGTTCGACCTAGAATGTTAACTAATTTCAGGGTTTTAGAGCTCATTCCTGCACTCTATACACAGATCTTTCCGCGCCATTACATAATATTTTACTAATACACATTAACCTTTCCTACCTTTCCCCAGAGCATGTAATGAAGTTAAAATGAAAAGAGAAAACATCACTGTGTTTCTTAATTCAATAGACCTTTGTTGTACAGGCATGCATTCATTAATTTATTGCTGGTGCATTTTCAGGGCAACAGAACATAATATAACACAACAGCTGGGTGAGTGATGCATCTATCGGTATCCATGGTGATGGATGATTTCTACAGTGTAAAACAGTGAGTGAGACTTCATGTGAGGTGTCACTCAGCTGATGATTTCATCATTTATCAGAGAAGCTGGTCAGCGGGACAATCTACCAAAACAAGGGTGTGATTCTTTAACAATCTACCTGAACTAATGATAGATGAACATTTATTTTATTATTTTAATGATTTCTAATCCTACTATATGACATTAAATATTATATTTGGTATTTTATTTTCAGATGGTATAGAACATTTTATTATAATGTAAGAAAATGTATGTAGCTGAATGTCATGATCTCCTCTATCCTAATTTTGTGTTTTCTTATAAAAGTGACTAACTGTGATTTGAATGTGTGTCTATGTGTGATTAACAACAGTGGTTCTGTTTGACAGTGAAACGGAAAACCTCACATCTGAGCCTAATACATATTCTCCAGCCACGCAGCTGCTTGAACTGATATTTTGGATTTATTTCCAATATGTTTAATTGTATTATGTGTGTTTCACTGTCGACTGTTACTGTTGAAATGGGGCCGCACCCCTGTTAATTCACTTTCATGCTCTTCTAACCAAAGCTTCCTACCGAATGTCACTGATGTCAGTCTGATAACAGACTGAACTGTAGTTTCATTTTAGCCAGTCGCTTTTCTGTTATAAAAGTCTCTATCAATGATGTGAAAAAGCAAATATACTCTGAAAGAAAAATCCAAGTTAACCTAATTGTGTAATTGTGTTGAGTGTAAAAGTGTAAGAAGTGAAGTCATCTGCCTGTGTCAGATTTATCATTTGGCCTGTATCCCTGTTAAAGTCCAAGCAGTTGCTTATTCAACGATGAAAGAAAGCTGCTTTTCAGTAATGTGTTCCTTTGTATCATTACTAACTTTAAAAAGGAATCACAGGAGTATGTGAATCACGTAGCTGTGACGGAGAAGATGGTGGTGAATAAAGATATTTGGAGCCTAACAATGTGTTTAGTGATGAATCAATGAAGTTGATTTCTACCACTTCTTTGTAAAAGATGTAATAGTAATAACTTTTGAAACACAATCTGTTGTTCATACATTGGCAACTATTACCAATGGTGGTGTCGCTGACGTAACTAAGTAGATAACCAAGGACTGTAACTAACTGCAGTTTGGAAGTAACCTATACTTATATATCTATAAGCAGATATCTGAATATGAATGCAGAATGCAACGCTAAATTGCTGTCAGATGATAGCTGATGGGCTCTGAGACCTAATCTTAAAGGTTATATATACGCAAATTCACTTTCCACTGGATGTCTTACCAGCATGTAAGACCAAAACAATGTGATAAAACAAACAAAACTCAGTCTTTGTTAGTCTTTCCACAGTATTTCCAACTCTTAATACACTGAGTTACACGTGAAAATATATGTGAAAACAACGTTTTAACGTTAATCCTTGGGGACAAATTCAAATTCATGTCCACTAAGTGTTTGTCTTTGCTACTGACAGACTCAGATTGTAGTTTTATAGGAAAAGGAGCTGTACAGAGATAGACCTTTTGTTTAACCAGAAACAGCCATAATATCATATTTACCTCACATACCATTGTAACATCATAACTTCATTCAAAGTGGACAGAAACAAAATAAAACTCACCAAAGCAGTCTTTGTTAGTCTTCCCACTGCTCCAACAATCACCAACTCTGGTCTGGTGAATAAATAAATACATTTTAAAAATCCAGCGATTTCAGTCTCTACTCGGCTGCACATGGAGCAAACAGCCATGTGAACAAACCACAGACAGGCTGCGATAGCAACACAGGCAGACGGTGTGTGACATCACTCTCTGCTCAGGACACCATGACTCCGCTATGTCTTTACAGAGCTAATAGTTGTTTGCTGCTATATTCACATTTTAAATCCACTATGACCTTCAACTAACATTGAGCATTTCCATATAGTGCTATAATAGATCATTATAAGTTTTTACATGCTGTACAAAACATGAATATATAGTTTTAAATGGTTTCTAGTTTGTTGAAGTCTTCTTTTACACCACTGCTTTCCTCTGTATTCAGCACCCCGCACCAGAAGGGGGCGACAATACACCAAATTAGAAACCACCTTTACCAAGAAGTAGAGGCCACAGGAAAAGTTTCCCACCGGTGCTATTTCGCTGCTGCACACATTTGCAAAGTGCTGCGCCAGGAATACTCCACAAACCTCTTAAAGTTACAGGTGAAACAACAAACTATCCAAATATATGTCGTCAAGTACAGTTAGTACATGGCCGGAGCAGTGCATGGTGCTCCCAGAGAAACCTCACTGTGATACATTTTCTGTCAGACTCGTTACAGTTGGGTAACGCGGCGGTGCATCATGTGCTACATGGCAACTGACTGCAGTTAGCTGTGTCTGTGTCTGTGTGTCTGTGCTCAACAACAGTACAGACACACAGACACAGCTGTGGAGGCAGACAGTAGAGAGTTAGAACTACTCGAAGCCAACCAAAGGATAATTGAGTTGTCAACGTTGCTCTCGCTGACATTAGGAGACGAACCTGCGATGTAACTTAGCTAGTTGAGCTAAAGCATTTGAAGTGTTTGGCTAGCTACATTTTGGACTCTGCTTTTAGTGGTCGACGTCCGAAACCTCTCAGTCCAGTCTGTACACGAGCAGTCCGCTAAAACTGCTCAATTAAAGATATTGTTAGAATTACTTCAGCATGCTACTGAAGCCACTTGCCAGTATATTTAAGTTATATACTTAAGAGGTCCATGTATTAACTGCTGGGTTGATTTTTATAAATAGTTTTTACTAATGCTAAATAAGCTAACCACGCCAAAGTAAAGAGGAAATGGCTAAATTAGATGGAGGGCTTATGCTGGGGTTGGACAGAGAGCCCAAATACCAAACTCCAGAAGACATTTTTTAGATTTTATTGCCAGAGAAGTGAGGGTTAGTGAGATGTTTCACTTTTAAAATTCTTTGATTCTGTTAGCTTCCAGAGACCCTCTATCATGTTTCAACACATTGGGATTTGGTGAGACTGCCGGTAACGACAACAAAATCAGATAGTGTATCTTTCACACATTATTTCATGGCGAACCTTTTCTTATTCTCTGCAGTGCACTCTGTGTTGCCAAGCAGGAAGGTCAGCTATAATGGACAAGCTCCAGGGCTTTGAGTTCTGGAGAACGACCCTGAAAGAAGCGCGCTTTGTGGTGGCACCCATGGTGGACCAGAGCGAGCTGGCCTGGCGCCTGCTGAGCCGCCGGCACGGTGCTCAGCTCTGCTACACCCCCATGCTGCACGCTCAGGTGTTTGTCCGCGACGCCAACTACAGGAGAGAGAACCTCTACAACGAGGTGTGTGAAGAGGACAGACCTCTCATTGTGCAGGTGAGGGTCCACACAGGCGTTATGTTAACATTGATCCTCGTGTAATGCCAGTGACTCACAGTGTTGCGTTCCCTGTGTGTTAAGTTTTGTGCCAATGATCCAGAGGTGTTCCTTCAAGCGTCTCTGCTGGCTCAGGACTACTGCGACGCTATCGACCTCAACCTGGGCTGTCCGCAGATGATCGCTAAGAGAGGTATGTACAGTTCCTACAGGAATGAACCCCCGAAAGTTCGGACTTTGGCAAACCCCTTGTGGTTGTATCAGAAATGTCACTCACAGATGACCGAGTGAAAGGAAAACTAACCCTTCATGATGCTTGTTTCTAAGGGCACTATGGAGTTTTCCTGCAAGACGAATGGGAGCTGTTAGAGAAAATGGGTAAGTCCGTGTTTAACTTATTGTAGAACTCTGGGAGGATCTCTGACAAAGTCTAAAGTCTGAAACCTGCTAAGTCAAACACTTAACATTTCCCTCTTATTTTACAGTTAGGTTAGCCAACGAAAAGCTGTCTGTGCCCATCACATGTAAGATCCGTGTGTTCAAAGAGGTGGAAAAGACAGTCCGCTATGCCCAGATGCTGGAGAAAGCTGGATGTCAGGTGTGATCACGATGATCTTAATAAGAGTCCACTGCTTCTCTGGTTCTGTGTTCAGTGTTTAACTAAGAGGAGATTGATTAACCTTCCTTTAAAGACATCTTGAATAGTGAGCTATGTGTTATTTCAGAATGTTTATTATATATTTATCTGTAAAAGCTGGCTTTAGGAAGCATTGCAAAGGGTCTTTAAAGATTTGGTCAAATCTCTTCCCAGCTGCTGACAGTGCATGGCAGAACCAAAGACCAGAAAGGTGCCATGACAGGTATCGCTAACTGGGAGCACATCAAGGC